TTCCTCAACACACACATATAAGCAAGAGATGATTCTTGTCAAGACTTACAAAATCATATACTGTAACAAAGATGAGCCTCATTGAGCTCACAGTGAGCTCTATATCCCAGACACTCTTCCTAGAAAGTATTCCAGAATTCGGTACGAGAAAGCCCTTTAATTTTCCTCACAACCTCTGAGGATGCCTGCCATAGATGCAGGTGAAACGTCAGGAGAGGATGCTTCTGGAACGTGGCCATACAGACCAAAAAAACTTACAGCAACCCTCTAATTTTCCTTTTGATGTTGACTCTTTGCTGAATCTTTCCCTGGACTGAGAATCCTACTTAATATTGTTAGAAGTTTCATCATTTTTTGGACTGATGAGGCATTTGGCATTGCCTCCCCAGGGACAGGAGGAAAGTTAAAAGTGTGGCTGAAGGAAAGCAAAGCTCTGACCGAAGGCAGGCAGTGAGGGGAGTGGAAGGAAATGCCAAGGGATTACCTGGGTCAGGTTGTGACTGTGTGTGTTGCGTAGGTTTCTCCTTCGCAAGCGCCACTTCCAGCTCTGGTATTATTTGCTCATTCCTTCTTCTGCAAATAGGAGACATACCATTCGCTCTTTAAAATAAGGATTTGCCTCTTTGCTGCTGTTGCTGCGTCAGAAGCTGACCTGGCTGCTGACCTTAGCAGAAGCCCGGGCCCAGCCTCTAGGTGAGGAAAGGCACACTCCTCTTATTTTGACTTTTATCGCAATGCAGAAGACTCACAGTTCACCAGAATTTGTGCGACTGGGACTCTTTAAGTAAAAAACACCAAAGAAAGGATACCTTAAACCAGTGATTCTCAAGCTTCCTAATGCCACAACCCCGAAATACAGTTCTTCATATTGTGGTGACCCCCAATCATAAAATTATTTTCATTGCTACTACATAAATGTAATTTTACTACTGTTGTTAATCGTCGTGGAAATATGCAGGATGCATTTTCATTCACTGGACCAAACTTGGCACAAATACCCAATACGCCCAAATTTGAATACTGGTGGGGTTGGGGCGAGGATCTATTTTGTCATTTGGGAGTTGGAGTTGCTGGTGTTTATAGTTAACCTACAATCAAAGAGCATTCTGAATGCCACTAGTAATGGAATTGAACCAAACTTGGCAGCCAGAACTCCCATGACCAACATAAAATACTGGAAGGGTTTGATGAGCATTGACCTTGAGTTTGGGAGTTGTAGTTAACCTACATCCAGAGAACTCTGTGGACTCAAACGATGATAGATCTGGACCAAATGTGGCATGAATACTTAATATGCTCAAATATGAACACTTGTGGAGTTTGGCTCAAATAGACCTTGACATTTGGGAGTTGCAGTTGCTGGGATTTATAGTTCAGCTACAATCTAAGAGCATTCTGAACCTCACCAACAACAGAATTAGGCCAAACTTCCCACACAAAAGTCCCATGCCTTGAAGGGACTTGCTGGGAGTTGTAGTTGCTGTGATTTATAGTTTACCTACAATCAAAGAGCATTCTGAACCCCATAAATGATAGAATTGGCCCAATCTTCCCACACGGGACCCCCATGACCAACAGAAAATACTGTGTTTTCTGATAGTCTTTGGTGACCCTTCTGACACCCCCTCGCGACCCCCCCCCAGGGGTCCCGATCCCCAGGTTGAGAAACACTGCCTTAAACATTTCCAATGAAAATTAAAACAGAATCCTTGTAAACTAACGCTGAACTAAAATTGCATCCTGCATTCACCAACATGTTTTTATTATCCAGTTAAGCTTCTATAGAATAAAATCACAGGCTTGGAAAAGACCGTCTTTCTTCTTCCTTCTTACAGACCAGGACATCCTTCTGGATCTGGAGCGGAGGAAAATCCTGGTCTTCACACCCTCACGGCGGGTGGGGGGCAAGCGGGTAGTCTGCTACGATGACCGCTTCATTGTCAAGCTGGCCTGCGAGTCGGACGGCGTGGTGGTCTCCAACGACACCTACCGGGACCTGCAAGCTGAGCGGAGCGAGTGGAAGAAGTTCATCGAGGAGCGCTTGCTCATGTACTCCTTCGTCAATGACAAGTATGTCCCATGATGTCTATCTCTGGGAGGGAGGAGGCTTGACCATCACCTGAATCGAGGAGCATAGAGCCCTCGTGGCTGCAGAAGACGCCATCCCTGAAAATAACATTTTCTGTCTCCTTCCAGATTCATGCCTCCAGATGACCCGCTTGGGCGCCACGGACCCAGCCTGGACAACTTCCTCAGGAAGAAGCCGCTGGCTCCAGAACACAAGAAGCAGCAGTGTCCCTATGGTGAGCCTCTCTTTGTCTCTTTCCCCCTTGGCATCCCTCACTTTCCTTGAAGAGTACTGCTTTTGTTGTGGTCTTCGACAGCAAGTGTTGAACTAGGTGGCCCATCCCGACTCAGATTCAGTGTGTTGCATTGTCTATTTTGGATGTCAGAATGCCAATTTTTCAAAATGCCTGGCTACTGCCAACTGGAAATTGTTGTTGTTATTATTATGTTTGTTATGTGTATTTGCACCCTGTTTTTTCTCTCTGCCAGGAGACTCAAAGCAGCTTACATTAAAGGCATTTCCATACAATTTGAAATCTACAAATATACAAACATTAAGGCAGAATTCAATATCATTGGGTTTTTTTTAAAAAAATCAGTTAAAATCCATAAAAACATACTGAAAACTGAAAATGATAACAGCCCTTGACTGCTTTTTGTCCTGTGCAAGTGATGCCTGGGTAACAGCAGTGGCCAAGAAAGCCAACATCTCCCCACCCAGGTTGAGCCCCAAACTGGAGAATCAACTTCCCTAAGGTCTTGTGTAGGGGTCCTCCAGTGACGCAGCGAGTTAAAGCCTGTGAACTTGGTGATTGAAAGATTGGTGGTTCGAATCCAGTGAGCAGGGTGAGCTCCCACTGTTAGCCCCAGCTCCTGCGAACCTAGTAGTTTGAAAACATGCAAATGTGAGTCAATTAACAGATGCCGCTTCGGCGGGAAGGTAACGGCGTTCCATGCAGTCATGCCAGCCACATAACCTAGAAGGAGTCTATGGACAATGCTGGCTCTTCAGCTTAGAAATGGAGATGATAGTCATTTTGATGGAAATGACCATCAAAAGCAAGAAGGAAGTCAACAAATATCTATTTTTCTTTTTTCTTTTTTTACAGTTTGTAGTTTCAAATTTTTCGTTTTTTTCTCTTTTTTCTTTCTTTTCCCTTTTCTCTCTTTTTCCTACTTTCTATACAAGCAAATGTTCTCTCACTTTCAATGTAAAGGAAATACTATCTTTGGATTTCTTTTTTCATTTTCTTTATTTCACATGATAAAATTTCAATAAAAACAAAAAAAAAGAAATGGAGATGAGCACCACCCCCAAGGGTTGGGACCTGACTAGACTTCATGTCCAGGGAAACCTTTACCTAAGGTCTTGTGTAGTGCCTTGAGTGTTAGAGTGGGTTGCCATGGCCCTGAAAGACCGTAGACAAGTCACTTACTCAGCCTCGGTGGAAGGACAGGGGAACGAACCCCTTCTGAATAAATCTACTCCTTGTGGAGTGAAAAGGCGGAGTATAAATAAACGTAATAATAATACAAAGAAGACCCGGTGATAGGGTTGCCATATGTAATGATGTGGCACACAATAACAGTGAAGGAAAAGGGAGCTAACACTGCCCACTTCTCTCCACAGGCAAGAAGTGCACCTACGGCATCAAATGCAAGTTCTACCATCCGGAGCGGGCAAACCAGGCACAGCGCTCCGTTGCAGATGAGCTCCGCGCCAACGCCAGGCTCTCCCCAACCCAAAGTGCCACCAAGGAGGAGAGGAGTACTCGCCGCTGCCACCCTCAAGGGGAGTCCCTAGGTTCCGAGGGCATCAGTGAGAAGCTCCCCTCGCCAAAGGCTGCTACAGCTGAGAAGAAAGGCTCTGCTCGCAAAGGGGGCAAGACAGGGGAAAGGGCAGCCCACTTGCCCAAAATGGGAGGTGTCTCCCCCAAGAAGGGGGGCAGCAGCAGCAGCGGAGGGGGCCACTACCGGCCACAGGATTGGTACCAAGCACCACCACCCCTGGCCTCCCCCTGCATGGACTCACTCACGTATGTCTCTCAGGAGCACCTCGACTCTGGGATTGGCTCCTTGGAAAGCCAACTGTCTGAGATGTGGCCACACAGCCATTATGGCCACCAAGAACCCCTGGGGAGTTACCGGGGATCTGGCTACCCACTTTCCTCCTGCTCCTCCTCCTCTGGCCCCGAGTCCAGCAGCTACCACCCTTTCCAGCCCCAGAGCTACCACCCACGACTCTCGGCCTCCGGCTCCAGCTTCATGCCATATGGCCAAGAGTTACCCTCCAGCCAAGCCCCTCCACCGCACTCCTTTTCTGGGTATCCTGTGCCTGCTGACTCTTCTCTGGCCTCAGGAAGGAAGTACTGGTCTGAGCCAGCCTGCCCGCCTGCGCGAGAGTTTCCCAGGGCCCCCCGGATGGCCTACGAAGACAGGCCCCCCTCTCACCCTTCCTGGCCGGCCCCAGAGTGCCTGGCCGAGGAGCGGGCCAAGGTCCACATCAAGCTCTGCGGGATCTTCCATCCACACTTAGTGGATGCCGTCATGAGCCGCTTCCCGCACCTTCTGGACCCCCAGCAGCTGGCAGCCGAAATCCTCACCTACAAGTCACAGAATCCCCGGGTCTGAGGGCAGCGATCCCTGTATTTTGATGGGCAGGAGCCCATTCCCTTTAGGTGGCTATCTGGTCAAGGTGTTGGCATGGGAAAGAGTGGGCCACACAGAAGAGGCATTGCCAAACATGGCCATAATCCTAATGGGGTTCTCCCACTTGCAGAAGTGATGGCACCTTATTTAGTCTGAAGTGAAATGTCCATTTTCCATTCAGAGCAGCAGAAGTGGAGTTCTGCCTGCCCACTTAGGCTTGCATACACATGTTGTGTGCGGCACATTTTCACACATGGGCTTGCTTGCACATTTGTCTGTGCAGCATGGCTGTGCATTAACCGGTGACAGTGAATAGCTGCCACACAACCATCTTCCCAGCCTCCTCCTTCTCGTCCCAATTCCTCACTCCAAAACCTAGCCATTTGTGTACATAATCAGGAAAATGGCACAGGGTTGGAGATCTAGTAACCCCCTCCAACCGCTGACCACTAAGATATCCTCAAATCATTGGCTTGGTAGCTTTGCCACTGTGATGGCCAAAGCCCATCCTTGGATTCTGGCTGTACTTGTGGCCGGCTACTCTCTTTGGACATCCCTAACTCCACAAAGGAAGGGGTGTCTGTCCCTCTCATTTTGAAGAGAAAGAAGAAAAACTTCTCTGTTTGCTCTCCTTCTCTTAAATGGCTCAGTCATGGTGACTGGTAAGTCCGACGTTAATGGTTCTGGAGCCTTTCGGTAACGAATCTGTCACAATTGCGTCCGGTGCCTGACCGCTTCTCCCATCCCAAGGGCGTGATTCGCTCACAGGCCAGGAGCAATTGACCCTGTTGATGCATATTGTATCCCTGTATTATGTATTGTGTATTACTCTCTTTTAAGAGGTCCGCAGTGTGGCTTTAAGGTGAGGGCACTGTGTGCCACTTCAGGAGCCGCCTGGACCGGTAATAAAAACATGTAAAATCGCGTATGCCTAGTTGAGGATGAGACATCACTGAAGTGTGAAGGTTTCATGTTAGTAAGCAAAATGCTTCTTAATGATAAGTAGCTGTCTGATCTTAATAACTTTTGCACATTTTGTAACTCAGAGAGACAACGGTTTGTAATGGAATTGTATTTTTAATAGTCACTCCTTTGGCAGTAATGGTTTTTTAGCTATTCTGTCCTGCTCAGAGGGCCTCTCCTAGAACTAGAGGTTCAATATGCAATAATGAAAAATTAGCTGGAATGTTTCACTCCTTGGAACTTGCAATGTGCAAAAACAATAATATATATTTTTAAAAAAGATCTCATTGTAAAGCAATAACTGTTTTGCACAAATAAAAGGCTTGGTTTGCTCATATTGATTGTTCCTCTTCGTCATTTTATGATCTGAGGAATTGGGACACTAAGCCAGAAGGCCACAGCTTTAGAAACTTTGGAGGTTCCTCGACATCTGAGTCCCTTCAGGGAGAGAGGGTGGTTATAAATAAAGCATATTATTGTGTTGTGTGTTTTTCCGGCTGTATGGCATGGTCCCCGGTGCCGCAGTGCATTAAAGTGCTGAGCTCCTGAACTTGCTGACCGAAAGGTCACAGGTTCGAATCCAGGGACCAGCGTGAGCTCCCACTGTTAGCCCCAGCTTCTGCCAACCTAGCAGTTCAAAAACATGCAAATTTGAGTAGATCAATAGGTACTGCTCCAACGGGAAGGTAACAGTGCTCCATGAAGTCATGCTGGCTACATGACCTTGGAGGTGTCTATGGACAACGCTGGCTCTTCGGCTTAGAAATTGAGATGAGCACCAACCCCCCAGAGTTGGACACGACTGGACTTAATGTCACAAGAAAATCTTTACCTTTACCTATGGCATGGCCATGTTCCAGAAGCATTCTCTCCTGACATTTCACCCACATTTATGGCAGGCATCCTCAGAGGTTGGGAGGTTCTGTTGGAAACTAGGAAAATGGGGTTTATATATCTGGAATATCCGGGGTGGGAGAAAGAACTCTTGTCTGTTTGAAGTATTATTATTATTATTATTATTATTATTATTATTAATTTACTTTGCTTATATACCACTGTTCTCAGCCCGGGGGCGACTCACAGTGGTGTACAACATAGAAAGAACAAGGTTCAAAATTCAAGACACAATCTAAAATAATCCACAGTCCAGCATTAACAAAAAACATCATTACTACAAAAGCCATTCAGTAGGTGTGAATGTTTCAACTGAACACCTTGATTGGCATTTAATGGCCTAGCAGTTTCAAGGGGTGGCTTCCTACTGCCTGGGGGAATTCTTTGTTGGGGGGTGATTAGCTGGCCCTGGTTGTTTTTTGTCTGGAATTCCCCTGTTTTTGAATGTTGTTTTTTTATTTACCGTTATGATTTTAGAGTTTTTTTTAATACTAGTAGCCAGATTTTGTTCCTTGTTAGGGTTTCTTCCTTTCTGTTGAAATTGTCCACATGCTTGTGGATTTTAATGGCTTCTCTGTGTAGTCTGACATGGTGGTTGTTAGAGTGGTCCAGCATTTCTGTGTTCTCAAATAATATGCTCCATCCAGGTTGGTACATCAAGTGCTCTACTGTGGCTGACAAAGGACGTGGCCAACATGACTGCATGGAGCGCCGTTTCGAACTGCTAGATTGGCAGAAGCTGGAGCTAACAGTGGGCTAACAGTGGGCACTCACCCCACTTCCCGGATTCGAACCACCAACCTTTCAGTCAGCAAGTTCAGCAGCTCAGTGGTTTAACCCGCTGCACTACCAAGGGCCCCCAATGTGTAATCACAGAGCTTATGAGTGAGCAGTACAAAGGGGTCCCTGGACCTTGCAATCAGGGTAAAATGTTTGCATGGAGGCAGTATTATCTGTAGGGTAAAACTTGTCAGTAGTGTCTGGTAGCATCCACATCAGTGTGGAGAAATGTATCCACTCTGGGTTTTAGTTTGAACTTTAAAGGAGGTATCCATATGTTGAACACGTAACTCCAAAGAAGATTCAGCACCTTAGACAATGTATTGTTGAAGGCTTTTATGGCTGGAATCACTGGGTTGCTGTATGTTTTCTGGGCTGTATGGCCATGTTCAAGAAGCATTCTCTCCTGACATTTCTCCTGCATCTATGGCAGGCATCTTCTGAGGTTGTGAGGTCTAATGACCTTAGACAGTCATTAGGTAAAGGTCAGAGTGAAACCTGGAATGGATTTAATGTCCATGGAAGCCAGCTGCTAGCCCTGGGCTTTACTGTGGGATGATACATAACTTTGCAATTAGTATGTCTTTGAGTGGGAAGCTGGGAAATCAATTTTTATTTTTTATTGTAGTTCAGGAGGGAAGAAGTTGTTTAGAGGAAAAATTTAAAATAACAAAAATGTATAAGATTCAAAACATTATGTTTTGAGGGTGCCTGCCATAAATGCAGGCAAAATGTCAGGAGAGAATGCTTCTGGAACATGGCCATACAGCCCAGAAAATTCACAACAATCCCATGATTCTGGCCACGAAAGCCTTCGACAATATATTTGTTTTTGAAATGAAATGAAACTTTCAAGAATGAGAATAAGCATAATAAACTGCTCTAGTCCTCCTGTCTGAAAACGAGACCACAGGGGATCGGAACCCAGAACCGCCCTGTGCTCTGCCATTGCTGCACCTGGAACATGGCTTTGTCTCTGGCAAGACACCTCCTTCCCTTCCAACCCAGTGCGTCATTGCTTCCATCTTCCTCCTCATCATCATCATCACCAGGGAAGCAGGAAGGAGTGCCATTGCCCCATTGCAGGGCCTCTCATCTCCTCCCTGCCCAGCGCTGAACTTTCCCTCACATTGCACTCCGCAGGGGATTTCCCAGCACCAGAAATCACCTGACCAGAACCACATCCTGCAGGAGGGCGTTTCAGGGGAAGGCGGGCAAGGCTGGCACAGTGCCGGAGCTGGCAGGCCGTGGCACCCATTGCTGAAGCAAGTGCACCCTCCAAAGTGGGAGCTCTAAAGAACACATAAAGGCTTAGAAAGCGAATGCCAAGATTATATTTCAAGAATATAACATGAATAGGAGAATTAAATATACAAATGGACATCCTAAAGCAGTTGGTAGGCTGTTAGGAATTGTGGGAGTTGAAGTTCAAAACACCTGGAGGGCCAAAATTTGCCTATGTCTGTCTTAAGGAGAACTGGGAGTCAAAATGGAAAGGGCTTATAGCCAGAGTAAAAGGGAAATCAAATTATTATTATTATTATTATTATTATTATTATTATTATTTCTTTATTTATATACCGCCCTATCTCCCCAAGAGGAATCTGGGTGGTTTCCAACATAAGGCAAAATATTCAATTGCCAGAAAGAAAAACCAGACAAACAAAATAAACATCATAAAACATAAACATAAAAAGTAAAGGTATTATTATTACAACTTTATTTATATACCGCCTTATCTCCCCAAGAGGACTCTGGGTGGTTTCCAACACAAGGCAAAGCATTCAATTGCCAGAAAGGAAAAACATACAAACAAATTAAAATAAACATCATAAAACATAAACATAAAAAGTAAAGGTATTATTATTATAACTTTATTTATATACCGCCTTATCTCCCCAAGAGGACTCAGTGTGGTTTCCAACACAAGGCAAAATATTCAATTGCCAGAAAGGAAAAACATACAAACAAATTAAAATAAACATCATAAAACATAAACATAAATTATGTAAAGACTTTCTGTATATATTTCAGATTTCAATATTAATGTCAAAAATACGTAGTATGATTTTACATAGAATTTGTGCTACATTAGAACAGTCAAGACAAATATCACTTAAGTAAAATAAACATTAAATATTAAATAACCAGAAAAATAAAATAAGTTGTAAACACTAAACTAATCTGGGAATCTGCTATTGCAACACATCCAATGAAGTGGTTTAAAACCAGTATAAAAAAAAAGATTAGGACTAAGTATGTTCCAGTCTACTTGGAATAGTAAAGGTATTATTATTATAACTTTATTTATATACCACCTTATCTCCCCAAGAGGACTCTGGGTGGTTTCCAACATAAGGCAAAATATTCAATTGCCAGAAAGGAAAAACATACAAACAAATTAAAATAAACATCATAAAACAAAAACATAAAAAGTAAAGGTAAAGCTTTCTCCTTGACATTAAGTCTAGTTGTGTCCGACTCTGGGGGGTGGTGCTTATCACCATTTCTAAGCCAAAGAGCTGGTGTTGTCCATAGACGCCTCCTAGGACATGTGACTGGCATGACTGCATGGAGTGCCATTACCTTCCCGCCAAAGCGGTAGCTATTGATCTACTAACATTTGTATGTTTTCAAACTGCTAGGCTGGAAGAAGCTGGGTCTAACAGCAGGAGCTCACCCTGCTCCCCGGATTCGAACTGCCTACCTTTCGGTCAGCAAGTTCAGCAGCTCAGCGGTTTAACTCACTGCGCCACCAGGGGGCACAAGCATAAAATCCTGCTAAAACAAACACAAAAATATATTATAACAATTATAACTCCATCAAACAAATTCAAAACACCAAGGAACTGAATCTGACAATCTTCATGATCAAACCAATAAAATAATACAAAGAGCAGGCATACAAGTGTTCCTGGAGGGAGGGAGGAAGAATTGGATATGTATAAGTAGCAGATAAGTATAGAAACGTAAATGATAGGAAAACAGGAGTCATCAGAATGTTATGAGAATATGCAACAACAAAAAAACACTTTTTTGCAAAGGGATTGAGACAATGTTATAATTTACTTATATAACCCAATATAAATAAATAAATAAATAAATATGCCAACCAGCAGCCACTGTCTGCAAACCTCTGGTGCATTTGCATGCCAAAACAGGCCCTGCTGAACATGTGGGGGGGGGGGGGGGGGGGGGGGGCAAGGGCACTAATACACTCAGGGATAGATTAGAGAGAGAGAGGTACAGTACATACATATTATACATGTATACACATTGGGAGTATCTGCGCCCCCTGAAATATGCTTGCATTGGCTCTCTCAGAAAATGTGGCCCAGTGCCCTTCCCCTCCCAGAAGGCAAAGCCTTGCCCAGGCCAAGTAGAGATGGAAGGGGAATCCCCAGTTCTTACATAGGCTTAAAGGTTAACTGCAGAGTTGCCTCTGGTCAAAACTAGACCAGAGGTCAAGCGGTGGAGGGGGCATTAGTGCTGCTGCATTTTGGCAGACCCCAGAACCAAAATTGCCTGTTGGGAAGGGGGCAGCTTGTCCAAAGCAAGGCTGGAGATCTGCCGTAGTTTGACTATCCTTTGGCACCCGGATAACTGGATAACTATATCCAAGAGGAGTGACATAGTGGGAACATTTTCCCCGGTCACAGAATCAGAGAGTTTATTTATTATTTATTTATTTACAGTATTTATATACTGCCTTTCTCACCCCTGGGGGGATTCAAAGCGGTTGGAAGAAACCACAATGGCCATCTAGTCCAATTCCCTTCTGGCATGCAGGAAAAGCACAATCAAAGCACTCCAACAGATGGCCATCCAGCCTCTGTTTGAAAGCCTCCAAAGAAGGAGCCTCCACTCAGGGGCGGCTCAACCCATTACGCAAAGTAAGCATTTGCGGTATAATTGATTTTGCCCAGGGGCGCTCTTGAGGCGCTCTTGGGGGAAAATAGACCTTGACATATGCGAGTTGTAGTTACTGGGATGTATAGTTCACCTACAAGCAAAGAGCATTCTGAACTCCACCAATGATGGAATTGAACCAAATATGGCACACAGAAATCCCACGACGAACAGAAAATATATATCAGTGATTGGTTGGGGGGGGGGGGCAAAATACCGTTTGCTTACCGTTGAAAATTACCTAGGGATGCCTCTGCCTCCACTACATTCTGAACAGAGAATTCCACTACATAACCGCTCTTCTTACAGTCAGGAAGTCCGTCCTTAGGTTCACGTGGGTGTCCTTCCCTGTCATTTGAACCCATAGCTCCATTGAGTCCTAGTCTCCAGGGCAGCAGAAAACAAGCCTGCTCCTCCTTTCAAATATTTAAACATGGCAAGCATATCTCCTCTCTATTATTATTATACCACAGTATGTCACAGCAAACGAGATCTACATGCTGAATTTCGTATCACAAAATCACAAGTTGAACACTTCCTAAGCATCTAGGAAGTTGACAGATTGTGATTTCGTCAATGTTTATTGTTTCCAAATGCCGGCTGAGATCTTTTGGCAGGACACTCAGGGTGCTGATGACCACTGGGACCACCTGTACTGGTTTATGCCAGAGCTTTTGCAATTCGATTTTGCGGTGCTGATGCTGAGAGCTGTGCTGGTGGTAGCGTAACTACCAACAGGTTCAACCAAGCCAGTGAGGTCTCAGCTGAGGAGTGGAACCAAGAGCACCTAACCCATTCGCACTATGGAGAAGAAAACCAAAACGAAGTCTATACTGGCTCAGTTGACACCCAGGATAAAAAGGACCGCGGTGGATGCTGCTGATTCTGGACATCCATCGACAAGTGGGCTACAGAATCAAAATACAAATGAACAATCACAGAAGCGGCAGAAATATACAATGCCAGAAAACCGCACAATTATTATTATTATTATTATTATTATTATTACTATTATATTTATACCTCGCTTTATCTCTCCCAGAGACTCAAAGCAGGTTAACATAAAAGCATTAGCATACAATTTAAAATATGCGCATATGGCAACAATAAAGCAGAATTAAATATAAACAGTATTTTAAAATCACAATTAATAATAACTTTATTCTCATACCCCGCCACCATCTCCCCAAAGGGACTTGGGACGGTTTACATATTTTAAAAAACATTAACACATATTTACGGTGAAAAACTACCTTGACTTGATATTAAAAACCTTCTTCTTTAAATCCTGTCTGAATAAAAAGGTTTTAGCCTGCTGATGGGAGGATATCAGGGAAGGGTCATTCTGGCTTCCCTGGGAAGAAAAGAATTCCGGAGTCATGAGGCAGCCACAGAGAGAGAAGGCCCTGTTCTCTCTCATTCCCACCAACCAAACTTGGGATGGAGGTGGGACCAAGAGAAGGGTTCATACAATTTATTTATTTATTTATTTATTTCACAGTTTTCTATACCGAGCTTCTCAACCTCATTGAGGGACTCCGCCCGGTTTCCAGCCATAAAAAACATATACACTCATTAAAATATCATATATCACAATTACAAAAACAACTTTAAAAACACTATATATAAAACTACAGTGGTCAGTCGTCCTATTAAGATGGATCTACCTCAACTTCCATCCAGGGTCCTATGGTGTTGTCTCATTCATCGAAGGCCTGACTCCACAGCCACGTCTTCACCCGTTTCCTAAATGTTAGGATGGATGGGGCGGGAATGCGGTCAGCCAAATAGCCTGGACCTGAACCGTCTAGGGCTTTAAAGATCATGACAAGCACTTTGAATTGTGCCCAGTAACAGAATGGCAGCCAGGGAAGCTGCTGCAATGGGGGGGGGGGGGGGGGGGGGGGGGGTTGTCAGCCCCCTGTAGTTAGCCCATTAGCAACCTGGCTGCAGCTCTTTGAACCAGCTGAAGTTTCCAAGCACTCTTCAGAGGCAGCCCCACATAGAGCACATTGCAGTAATCCAGACAGGATGTATTTAAGTATGTACCACAGTGGCCAAATCTGTCTTCTCAAGGAATGGGTGCAATTGGTACCTCCAGGTTCAGTGCCGAGTCCAGGAGGACCCCCAAACTGCAAACCTGTGTCTTCAGGGGGAGTGCAACCCCATCCAGCACAGACTGGATCCCTATTCTTTGGTCTGCCTTCCAAATGACCAGGAGCACCTCTGTCTTGTCTAAGTTTCAATTTGTTTGCCCTTATCCAGTCCATTACTGATGACAGGCACTGGTTTAGGGTCAGGACAGCTTCCTTGGCATTAGATGAAAAGAAGTACCGTAGTAGAGCTGGGTGTCATCCACATACATATGGCACCATACTCCAAAACTCTGGATGACCTCTTCCAGGGGTTTCATATACAGTAAAGTCTCACTTATCCAACATAAACGGAGCAGCAGAATGTTGGATATGCGAAAATGTTGGATTATAAGGAGGGATTAAGGAAAAGTCTATTAAATGTCAAATTACATTATGATTTTACAAATTCAGCACCAAAACATCATGTTTTACAACAAATCGACAGAAAAAGCAGTTCAATATATGGTAACGTTATGTAGTAATTACTGTATTTACTCATTTAGCACCAAAACATCACAATGTATTGAAACAGCTGTGGATTCGTGCAGGAGGCAGACTGCGTTGGATGAGCAAAGGTTGGATAAGCAAGGCTCTACTGTATATGTTAAACAGCATGGGGGACAAAATGGAACCCCAAGGAACCCTACAGGTCAATTGCTAGGGGTTCAAACAGGAGTCTCCCATCACTACGTTCTGGGTGCAGCCCTCCAGGAAGGACCGGAGCCACTGTATATCAGTGCCTCCCAGTCCCATCCCAGCAAAACGGCCCAGAAAGATACCATGGTCAACTAAACTGACCCAGGTCTTTAAGCCGCTCCTCCTCAGAGGAATTATTCATGGTCTCCAGGCCTTTGATCATTTTAATCGCCCTCTTCCTCTGGATACTTCCCAACATATTTATTTATTTATTTCAGATATTTGTACTGAGGGGTGGGGGACGGGGACTCAGGGGGGCTTCCAGCCAGCAACAATTCGATGCCTCCAATGTACACATAATAAAATACATAATAAATTCCAATAATTACATACATTTAAAACATTAAATCACATTAATTAATCAAAATCTGTTTCTGTTGCTATAACAGCCTGGTGGTCTTATCTCAGCTGAATTCTGTAGTTAGAGACTCCATCAAGCATGTCCATAGTCCATAGCGATTGTCATCATTGTAACTGTCATTGTCAGCAAGATTACCCGACGGCCTGGTCCCACATCCATGTTTTTAACTTCTTTCTAAAGGAAAGGAGGGACGCCGATAATCTAATTTCACCGGGGAGTGAATTCCACAGGCGGGGAGCCACCTCCGAGAAGGCCCTGCCCCTTGTCCCCACCAAGCGCATTTGCGACAGAGGTGGGGCCGAGAGCAGGGTCTCCCCAGAAGATCTTAAACTCCGAGGTGGGACATAGAAGGAGATACATTCGGACAGGTATGCTGGGCCAGAACCATATAGGGTTTTATAGGTCAAGAGTAAATATCCCTCTTGAATATATTTGCCCAGAATTGGACACAGTATTCCAGGTGAAATCTCACCAGAGCAGAATAGAGAGGCACCATGATTTCTCTTGACCCAGACACTAGACTCCTTTTGATGAAGCCCAAATACGCATTGGCTTTTTCAGCTGCTGCATCACACTGTTGGCTCATGTTCAGCTTGTTGTCCATGAAGACTCCAAGATCTTTTTCACATGGACTGTTGTCAAGCTAGGCATTGCCCATTCTGTGTCTTTGCATTTCATTCTTTCTGCCTACGTGTAGTATCTTACATTTGTCCTTGTTGAGATTCATTTTGTTAGTTTTGGCCAATCAGCTCTCTAGTCTGTCAGGACTCAAGATTTGCAGCTTTGCTCCTCTCTGCCTTTCGGGTAAAGTTTCGTGCTGCTCTGTGTGCCTTTGGCTCCCTCTGGGCCCTGTCCTGTTCATTGCAGCCTGGACCTCAACTGGCGCATGGAAGCTTAACCAAGACACAACCATTGCAGAGCCTCCTGCTTTGAGTCTAGGTCCACCTTGGTGCAGTGCTCTTTCTTTATTCATTGGATCGGACCACTGGTCTTAGTCCAGCCTTTGAGGCAGGAGAGCCAGGTTCAAAACGTTCTCCCCAAGCCATGGCATGTTCTCTGCAACCTCATGGAGTTAGTCGGTCTTTTGCAGCCCACTTGGGTCCAGGTCGCACTGCGAGAAAGCAAGAAAATTGACAATTTCATTAGGGAGGAATAACACTACAAATGAAATTTTAGAGAATGCTACAAATGAAAAATGGAGGAAGGAAAACAGGATGGGGAGAAACGGAGAAAAAAGTGTTGCTCAACCACAAAATTTTCTTCTCTCACCATCATCTTGACCTGCTAAACACCCCACCCCCTTTCATTGTTGTTGTTGTTATGCTCCCCATAACTTCTCTGCAGACTTTCAGTGGAACTGCCCCTCTCTTCTAGTGAAATGGGAATCTCTGTACTATAAATCCATTGTAATGGTTTGATACTACTGGATGGGGTCCTGGAATTTGTAGTTTGGTGGAATGGCAACTCAACTAAAATTATGAAAGGTCTGGAGACCATGAATCCCTTTGAGGAGGAGTGTCTTAAAGAGCTGAGTCTGTTTAGCTTACTGAAGAGATGGTTGAGAGGAGACATGTTTAAATATTTGAAAGGATACCATAAGGAAGAGGGAGCAGGCATGTTTTCTGCTGCCCTGGAAACTTGGACTCAAATTACAGGAAAGGAGATTCCAAATGGTCCAGCGGGCGGCAGCCAGGTTACTAACGGGAGCTGCGCTCAGGGAGCATACAGCTCCTCTGTTGCGCCAACTCCACTGTCTGCCAGTTTGCTACCGGGCACAATTCAAAGTGCTGACTTTAGCCTATAAAGCCCTAAATAGTTCCGGCCCAGCTTATCTATCGAAACGCATCTCTTCCTATGAACCTTCTAGACATTTAAGATCATCTGGGGAGGCCCTGCTCTCGATCCTGCCTGCCTCACAGGCGCGTCTAGTGGGGACGAGAGACAGGGCTTTCTCAGTGGTGGCCCTTCGGCTGTTGAACTCCCTGCCCAGGGATATTAGATTGGCTCCTTCCCTCCTGACTTTTTGGAAAAGAGTGAAAACATGGCTCTTTGAGCAGGCATTTGAAATTTTAGCATGATCAAATAAATACAACTGGAATATGAATACGGAATGGCTAAAGACGATGTAAACGGATGAGGAATTGGATTGGAAAACACTGTTTTTTATGGTTTTTATATGTATTCGGATGTGATTTAATTGTTTTAATTGACATATGTATGTTTATATATACGACATCTAATTGTTGCTGGTCTGTACGCCGCCCTGAGTGGAGCCATCACTCTGTAACTGTACAGAGTAGAGAGCTATTGCAGGGACTTTACTGCCTCGGGGGATAAATGTCCCTACAACTGGTGGGCCAGGATCACCATGCTGAAGGACCCTGCCTCTGACTCACCAGTGGGATGGCCTGGGTCCTCCTCCTCTTCTTCTTCATGGGGGTCCCAGCGCTGAGATAGCATCTCCTGAGGGACTCCACTCAGTCCTTCCAGGTCTAAGGGCCACAGCCTTTGCTCCTGCCTTTGCAACTGGAAGAAAGAGAGAAAGAGAGGAGACAGAGAGAGGTTGCTGCTCCCCAACTTGCCTCTCAACTCAGGGAGAGAAAAGGGGGAGGCAAGGAGATCCAAACTGGAACACTGGCCATGGGAAGAGCATCCACTGCTTTGGCCAGGGCTCACCCCAACACCTCAGAGTTTCTGCATGCATGTGTTATGGCTGGCATAATAATATAATAATATATTAATAATAACTTTTTTTTTGTAACCGGCCACCCTCTCCCCAAAGGGACTCAGGGCAGCCTACATAGGGACCAAGCCCAGTCAAACAGAGATTAAAATATAACACAGTAAAAATACAAATACAAAACATCATAAAAACATAAATCATCAACAACAACCAATAGCCAAGCATAGCGTCCATAAACTAAACTGAGATTAATGCAGGGCTTGTGAAATACAGCTGCAAGGACAAGGTTAATAGAAAAGTGCAGGAGCCAAATGATAAGTTTGGGCATGGAATGGAGAGGGGGGAAGTGTCCATTCTGAGTAATGCAGAAAAGCTGTCTTTATGTCCAAATGTTCCACAGAAATGAAGAATATTATCTAAAACATCTCATAGAGGACAAGGATCCACTGATCACATCAAGTGGCTAAGTTTTGTGCGGTAACTATAAAAAAGGAAGCACTTTGTGGAATATTTTAGCAGATCAAGATTTAACTTAGTTATTTTATTATCCATACCTACAGATTTTATAAGCGTCATATATGAAGCCGTGTAGATCGACTCCGTATTATGGAATTTCTGCTTATAATGTTGTGAATTTCTGGTCCTAATGTTAACACTTTTTTTAAAACCCTCTGTTTTTCAAAGTTTTCAGGTTTTACACTCCTAGCCTGTGACTCTAATAATAAAATTCATTCAGTGCTCCACATTTAATCCTCTAGATCAGTGTTTTTCAACCTAGATGTTTTGGTCTTCAACTCCCAGAAAGCCTAACAGCAGGTAAACTGAGTGGGATTTTTGGGAGTTGTAGGCCAAAATATCTGGGGACCCACAGGTTGAGAACCACTGCTCTAGAATGATGCTGCAATTGTCTGCAATATTGTGGGTGTACTGTTTCACAACAGGTGCAAAAATTTGATCATAATCTTGCCCAAATAATTGTGAATATCCTTTAGCACAGTGTTTCTCAACCTGGAGGTCGGGACCCCTGAGGGGGTCGTGAGGGTGTGTCAGAGGGGTCACCAAAGACCATCAGAAAACATAGTATTTTCTGTTGGTCATTGGGATTCTGTGTGGGAAGTTTAACCCAATTCTATTGTTGGTCGAGTTCAGAATGCTTTTTGATTGTAGGTGAACTATAAATCCCAACAACTACAACTCCCAAATGTCAAGGTCTATTTTCCCCAGACTCCACCACTATTCACATTTGGGCATTTTGAGTATTCATGCCAAGTTTGGTCCAGATCCATCATTGCATGAATCCACAGCACTCCTCTGGTTATAGGTGAACTACAAATCCCAAACTCAAGGTCAATGCTCACCAAACCCTTCCAGTGTTTTCTGTTGGTCATGGGAGTTCTGTGTGCCAAGTTCGGTTTAAATCCATCGCTGATGGAGTTCAGAATGCTCTTTGATTATAAGTGAACTATAAATCCCAGCAACTACAACTCCCAAATTACAAAATCAATCCCCCCTCCCCCAACCCCACTAGCATTCACATTTGGGCATATTAGGTATTTGTGCTCAATTTAGTCCAGTGAATGAAAATACATCCTGCATATCGGATATTTGCATTATGATTTAGAACAGTAGTAAAATGACAGGTATCAAGTAGCAACGAAGACAATATTATGGTTGGGGGTCACCACAAGATATGGAACTGCATTAAGGGGTCACAGCATTAGCAAGGTTGAGAACCACTGCTTTAGCAACAGAAGGGGGGGGGGGTCTCTGGTTATGACAGTGGTTCTCAACCTGAGGGCCCCCGGGTATTTTGGTCTATAACTCCCAGAAATCCCAGCCAGTTTACCAGCTGTTAGGATTTCTGGAAGTTGAAGGCCAAAACATCTGGGAACCCACAGGTTGAGAACCACAGGGTTATGGCATAATATGGCTCTCACCTGCACAGCCAGGCCTTGCTGCTCCCGCAGGAGCTCCAGGTAGCGACTGCTCCACAAGAGCCTCTCAGATCGCAGCTCCTGGCTCAGGTACCGGACTCCTGACTCCAGGGCAGAGAGGCGCCCCAGAGCCGCATTGCTGGACGCCTGCAGTCGCATTACCTGCGCTTCCAGGTGCCGCTCAGCTCCTGCAGACAAACAAAGTGATCAGGATGAGCTTGGGTTGGACAGCGATGCCCCTGCTGCCCTTTCTTCCCTACCTCCCATTGCACAAATAGCCCCTTACCAAGGGGCAAACTAGAGGGGCTGGGAGCATTCAGCAACCATGCAGACAACCCAACCAAGTGAAATTCAGACCCAATGGAGTTGTGCAAAAGATAAAATTTTAGTAATAAAGCCAATTAAGGTTAAGACAGAAGGGAGGGAGGAACTGGAGAGAAGAGAGGAAAGAGAGGAGAAAATTGGGTTGTTGTGTGTTTTCCGAGCTGTATGGCCATGTTCCAGAAGCATTCTCTCCTGACGTTTCAGCCACACCTATAGCAGGCATCCTCAGAGGTTGTGAGGTCTGTTGGAAACTAGGCAAATGAGGTTTATATACCTATGGAATGCCCAGGATGGGAGAAAGAACTTGCCTGTTTGAGGCAAGTGTGAATGTTGCAATTGGCCCCCTTGATTAGCATTTAATGGCCTAGCAGTTTTCAAGGTCTGGCTTCTTACTGCCTGGGGAAATCCTTGGTTGGGAGGTGATTAGTTGGGCCTGATTGTTTCTTGTCTGGAATTCCCCTGTTTGTGAGTGTTGTTCTTTATTTACTGTTATGATTTTTTAATACTGGTAGCCAGATTTTGTTCATTTTCAGGGATTCTTCCTTTCTGTTGAAATTGTCCACATGCTTGTGGAGTTCAATGGCTTCTCTATGTAGTCTGACATGGTAATTGTTGGAGTAGTTCAGCATTTCTGTGTTCTCAAATAATATGCTGTGTACAGGTTGGTTCATCACGTGCTCTGCTATGGCTAACGTCTTTTGTTGAAGTGCTTCTGGAAATGCTTCTGAAACACGGCCATACAGACCGGAAAACACACAACAACCCAGTTATTCCAGCCATGAAAGCCTTCGACAATACGAGGGGAAAATTGTTGTGGATAACAGGTGTTGATAGAAGGACAAAAAAGCCGAGGAAATGGGGAAAGGCTTGCATGCGCATGTTTTTGCTTTGAACTATAAAATGTACCAAGCTGCATCTCAGATCTCATGGCACGTTTCTTTCTTTGCTGGTCACCCTCAGTTTTACTCTGGCCAGGAATAAAGCTGGAATTTGGATCTCCTGTCTCTAGTGTCATTCTAATTGGAAGAAAAAGGTACTAGAGACTCACCAAGCCTCCACAGTTGGAGGAGATCACAGTCAAGGAAGGTGTCATCCACATTCATCGTGTCCTCCTTATGTATTTTGTTTGGTTGATGAGACACAAAGGAGGCTCTCCCCACTGCAGATGCTAAGCTTCAAACGCATGCATGGACACATACACAGAGGGAAACATATCCCAGCCCTTGGATCTTTGTACCAACCTGTATCCCAGGGCCGGGGGCTCTCTAGCGGTGAGGAGAGGGTCTTGTCCCCATGGGTGACATCTCCAGCCTCCTCCAGCCACGAAGACAACGAGGAGCAGCCCTGCAACAGAAAGGACACAGAAGGGAAGCCATAGCTGGACAGGGGACCCAGAAAGAGCCGGATGGGCAGAGGAACAGGTTGCCTGCACATGAGCCAGGGCACTTCCTGGAGTTACACTTCAAACCTATTCCAACCTACAAACAAATTCAACTTAGGAACAAACCTTGTTTGTAACTGGGGGGCAGCTTTATATACCTACTAACATAAAATGAAATTAACTATACTATTGAAACACCAATTAAAACCATAAACTAACAAAAAGTAATCAATACAAGTCTAGTGCATTTCTTTTAAAACACTGGTTTTCAACCTGTGTTTTGTGGCCCACTGGTGGGCCGCGAGACCTAAAATAAGGTTCGCAGCTCTAGATTATTAAATATGGTTTTCTGTGGGTGAGCAGATGGTGACTACTGGATGGTATATGTTCTGTATCAGAAACTAGAGTTGATGTGGTCTATCTAATGCAATTTTCAGAATCAGTACACCAAATACCCAAACAGACTCTTTGTTGTTGTTCATTCATTCATCGTTTCCGACTCTTCGTGACCTCATGGATTCCTGTCGGCCGTCACCATCCCCAGCTCCTTCAATCTAAAGTTAACCAAAAACTTATTTGTAACCTTTTTGGTACTAATGTTGGGGAGTGGACCCTGGTCAAAGTGGTCCCGGGTCAAAGTGGTCCCTGGTCAAAATGGTCCCTAGTCAAAGTGGTCCCTAGTCAAAGTGGTCCCTGATCAAGTGGTCCCTGATCAAATGATCCCTGGTCAAGTGGTCCCTGGTCAAAGTGGTCCTTGATCAAATGGTCCCTGGTCAAGTGGTCCTGGTCAAAAAAAGTTGGGAATCACTGCTTAAAAACCTTTAGCTGTAACCAACAGACACTTGTTGAAGACCCATCTCTTGCTGAAGAAAGTCCTTGCCTGCTCATATAAGCTAGACATGGAGATGCTAGCTCAGGTTTTCTTGAAAGGGAGTCACAGAATTAGAGAAAGGCCACCAAAAAAATCCCTCTCTTGAATATGGGCCAAATGTACCTCTGAAGATGAAGGTATGACCCTCAAGGCTGAGCTGTTGATGGGGACAGCGGTCTCCAAGGAAGGAAGGCTCTTGGTCCAGGGATAGCGAGGAATGGAGTGGGCTCTGGACCCCGGGTCCACAGTCCTTACAAACACTTTCCACCAACGGATCAGAAATTCAGCCTGTTTATAAATGGAGATTGACTGGAGCGGGTGGCCAGTTTTAAGTTCCTGGGTACTACATTGTTAAGGAAGTCCTGATCTGGGGCAGCATTCATACTGTGGCTGTGTTGGTTAAGCAAGCCCAGTAGAGACTTTTAACTGAGTGAAAAACTGCTGGTGACTTTCTACCACTGTGTTATAAAGAGGGTTCTAATCTATTGCATCTGTGTATGATTTGCCAATTGCACATAGGAAGATGCTCCAGAGAATTATTGGTTGTCCTCTTTCTCCCCTCTTTGGAAGAACGTTATAATTCCCGCTGCCTTAAGAAAGCTCAAAATATTTTTAAGGATCCTTCTCACCCTGGATACTCTTCTTTTTTTGAATGATTACCATCTGACAGATAGTATAGGATGATAAAAACAAGGACAAATAGGCTGAGAGATAGTTTTTTTTATTCCAGAGCTGTGACTATATTGAACTGTATGGTTTCACAGATGAGGCATGAGGGGTTGTGCAATAGTGATTAGAATGTGAAAGGATGAGTGTTTTGTCTTTGTAATTCTACATATATAATGCATATTGGGGATGGCATTGCATTTCGTTGTATGATGTACAATGACAATAAAGTTATTCTATTCTATTTGACAGTTGCAGAGTGTGGGCTCATCTCCTTCACCTTCCACTGACCTTAACTTCCAGATGCACTTTCCCTACCAACATCTACTTCTCCCTAGACTCCTTTCCAGCCAGTTCTGCCCCCCACTTTCAACAAATGCCAAGAGGGCCCCCCCCCCTTTTTTTGTATTTGCAAGGTAGAGGGGTCTCTTTGTCCACTGAGTGATTTGAGGGCCTTACCTCCTGCACCAGCTGGAAGATGACTTCCCAGAAAAGCTTGTAAAGGAGCAGAGCAGCCTGGAGGGGTTTGGAAAAACTAGAGTTAGCAGAAAGGAAGCCCAGGAGGGCGAGGAAGACACAATGCAAGATGAGCGTCCATGGCATGACATTGTAAACTTCTCAGGGCTTTCCTATATTCTATTATATCTTGGGAATTGCCCCTGAGGGAGACAGAAGAGGCTGCTTCCATGAGCAAAATGTCCACAGCCGAACAGAAGATGGTTATATCATCCCATCTGCATCCCTGGTAGTGCAATGGGTTAAACCCTTGTGCTGGCAGGACTGCTGACCGACAGGTCATTGGTTTGAATCTGGGGAGAGCAGGTGGAATTCCCTCTGTCAGTTCCAGCTCCCCATGTGGTGAAATGAGAGAAGCCTCCCACAAGAATGGTAAAACATCAAAAACATCCGGGCGTCCCCTGGGCAACGTCCTGGCAGACGGCCAATTCTCTCACACCAGAAGTGACTTGCAGTTTCTCAAGTCACTCGTGACATAAAAAAGAAAATCTTCATGGCAAGTCCCAGTGGGCTTCTACTGTATTTACTCGAATCTAATGCTCACCTCTTTTCTTATCTTTTCTTTTTGGCTAAATTACCTTCCCAAACTGCATTACATTCTCATCATACAGTCATCTTTGAGCAAATGCAAAAGTGGAAGCTGCTTCAGGAGTACCAGGAGGTCCTATTTGAGGGATGCCATCCCTCCTTGAATTGCCACAGAATTATAGAGTTGGAAGAGACCTCATGGACCGTCCAGTCCAACCCCCTGCCAAGAAGCAGGAAAATTGCATTCAAAGCACCTCTGACAAATGGCTATCCGGCCTCTGTTTAAAAGCCTCCAAAGAAGGAGCCTCCACCACACTCCAGAGCAGAGAGTTCCACTGCTGAACGGCTCTCACAGTCAGGAAGTTCATCCTAATGTTCACATGGAATCTCCTTTCTTGTAGTTTGAAGTCATTGTTCCATGTCCTAGTCTCCAGGGCAGCAGAAAACAAGCTTGCTCCCTCCTCCCTGTGACTTCCTTTCACGTATTTATATAGCTATCATGTCTCCCCTCAGCCTTCTCTTCTTCAGGCTAAATATGCCCAGCTCTTTAAGCCGCTCCTCATAGGGCTTGTTCTCCAGATCCTTGATCATTTTAGTCGCCCTCCTCTGGACACATTCCAACTTGTCAATATCTCTCTTCAAATGTGGTGCCCAGAATTGGACACGATATTCCAGGTGTGGTCTAACCAAGGCAGAATAGAGGGGTAGTATGACTTCCTTGGATGCTTAATGCTATGCAATGGTGGTATTTGTACTTTGGTGAGGCATCAGCCTTCTTTGGCAGAGGAGGCTCAAGACCTTGTCAAACTACAGCCCCCATGATTCCATAGCATTGAACCAAAACAATTAAAATAGATTCATTCTACAGCATTGATCTATCTCACTGTTATCTTTTCCATTGATGAAAGCTTTGGTGTTTGAACACTTTTGTTTTTAAAGAAATCCTAAGCAGGCAGGTATTGTAATGTGCACCTTTTGTGGCCAAATTACAAGGAACGCATTTTTGCTGTTGCACATTACCTTCGCCAGCAAATAGTTATTTTGGTTTCAGGGTTTTGAACATGGAGGTGCGCACTAGATTCGATGGCATAAATATCGTACTTTTTCCCACCCACTCCATAGGGTGTTATTTTTCTATTTTAGGGTATGTGTGTGTGTGTTTGTGGCAGTGGGGGTGTTAAGAAACAGGCAAGCTTTTCATTGACATTCAACCCACTTTCCCTCCAATCAGCTGAGCTGTTTTGGCATTGTATACAGTGTTCCCTCATTTATTGCGGGTGTTACATTCCAGGACCACCCGCAATAAGTGAAAATCCGCAAAGTAGGGATACTATATTTATTTTAATATTATTTTAATATTTTAGTAGTTATATACTTTTTTGAGTCTTTATAAACTTACAATAAACCCTGTTTCTGTTTTACCGAGTACTCCTCCTCCTCTTCCTCCTCTCCCCCTCTGTGGCTCCCCACACCTGCCTCCCTATCAGTGCGGTGGCTGCGAAGGAAGGAAGGAAGGAAGGAAGGAAGGAAGGAAGGAAGGAAGGAAGGAAGGAAGGAAGGAAGGAAGGGAAGCAAGCTCTCCTCGCTTTTCCCTTCGCTGGGTGGAGAAAGAGTGAAGGAAAGGAAGGAAAAGCCCTTCCAATGCCCCATTTCTCCTACCTTGTTCATGCCTAGCATTATTTTTAAACTTAAATTGCATTTGGCCCATAGATTTTAAAATGTGTGTTGTATTACTGTTATTGTTATTGCTTTTTTGTTTATGAGTTTTATTTTAATTGTTTATTGTTGTTGTTATTGCTTGTATCGATGTATTGTGGGCTCGGCCTCATGTAAACCACACCGAGTCCCTTGGGGAGATGGTAGCGGGGTACAAATAAAGTATTATTATTATTATTATTATTATTATTATTATTATGGCTGGAGGGAGGACTGAGGAGGTAAAGTGCCTCGGAGAGTGGCTGCGGCAAAAACCCGCGAAACAGCTAAAATGCTGCAATATATTTATTTATTTACTTATAAATAAATAAATACTTTATTTCTATACCGCTTTTCTCAGCCCGTAGGCGACTCAAAGCAGTTTACATAGTACAAATTATCACAAGACAGTATCATAGGCAATTAAAGCACATTATACATAACAGTCAATATCAATAAACAATCATTATCATAACGCCTCAGCACCAAATCAGAACCATTCTCATAATCCTTGTTCCATGTTCCTATGTTCGATTGCACCGTATTCCTATAATCATTTGCACTGTTTAGCCAAACGCTTGTTCGAAGAGCCAGGTCTTCACCTTCCTCCGGAACGCCAACAGTGAAGGGGCCTGTCTGATGTCTACAGGTAGGGCATTCCACAGCCGAGGGGCCACCACCGAGAAGGCCCTGTCCCTCGTCAATAAATATAAATTAATATTTATTGAAAAACCGCAAAACAGCGAGACTGCTAAAAGCGAACTGCGAAGTAGTGAGGGAACACTGTACCTTTGAACACAGTACCCCTTCCCAGTTCAAGTCTCCTTTGAGGAACCATTCAACCTGGTGGGATTCAGTGAGGTGCTTTTGGGGGTGAGGGTGGGGCATACTAACCCAGATAATCCGCCAAAGGAAGAGAGCGCTGTCCACCGCAATAGAAACCAGGCTCCAGAGTGCCGCCAATCCATTCCAGGGGCTCAGCATCCATAGGAAGGGGTGCTCTGGCTGCTTTTGCATGACACCACTGCAGCAGGAGGGACACAAGCAGGGGACAGAGGTCTGGAGAGGAAGGACATCCTGCTGACCCCAAGCCCACCTACTCTCTTCTCTGCCCTCCACAAACCTCAGGGGGCCTCCCTCTCACACATTGCCTACCTGGCAGAATTGCTGTGAAGATAAACTGTAGGAGAGCCATAGACACCATAGAGCTTGAGCGCCTCGGAGAAAGGTTCCTAGGACTCAGTGTGTCATTCTCAGCATCGGACCATTAACATCTCTTAAGGACTTAAGTGGGGATCACCTTCTTCTTCTTCGCTCTTCTTATCCTTCATGGACTCCACTGCCTGCAGCTTCTGGCTCCCCAATAGGGACCCCCCTCCCTTCCCAGAATCTGCCCTTTCTTGCAAAGCTGCCCACTCTGCCTCCTTGGCCTTCTCAGGGCAGGAGAGAGAAAGGGATTAGATCTTGCAGGCCTTAATCCCATTGGAGGAAAGCAGCACAGGGACAGGGAGGGGTGGCTTTTGGGTGCTCTCGGGATTAGCAGTGGCCGGCTGTAACAGCAAAGGACGCAAGCAGCCATAACCGCATAACCACAGAGAAGCAAAAGACTTTGGCCAGAGAAGGGGCTGAAAACGCCTGGGTTCAGCATCCTGTGAAAAAAATGGTTAGGGTTAATCGAATTAATTTATGTCTAGCTTCTGCCAACCTAGTGATGTCGAGCACCCCCCTCCCCCCAAAGTAAGGGATAGTGACTTATAGTTCTGCAAAGGGCAAGGGCACCAGACTACACAACAAGGGTTAAGTCTTGGTCACATTGCCAAGGCACTGACAACAACAAGGACCCCACGAGGCTTTTGGGAAATGGCTGGATCTTGGGACTTCTGCCCTTTGTGAGAGTTGTAGTTTCCCAAGGACCAAAGTGTGAATCAGTTGCAGCACAGCTGGGGTTTCATCTGCCAGCCTTCCCAATGATCATGGACTCTCTGCCTGCATGTCTTGGACTTCAGTACATACTATCTCCCTCATGAACTTTCCTCAAAGACCTTTTAAAACATTGGACTTCAGGCTTCTTCATGAAAATTAATCCTCTTATTAAATATACTTGGGATGTGGGACAAAGATGGGGTTTTGTTGCTATGAAATGCTTATGATTTGAATGTATGTATCTTGCTATGAAACATTGCTTGTCCTCCTGTCTTACCCCCTGACTTTTGCCCTAAAAAAATGTGACCCAGGACTGTTGAAATGCCTGAGGCAGGACCACCGCCTCCCTCAAAACTTACTTGATTATTCCACATCTGCATGGACAATAACAAGTTGAAATTTCCTTTCCCACTCTCTGAGTTTTGTCTGGCGGGCAGGGAAGTCTATTTGGACACTTTGATTGATTCACAAAAGGACAGGAACGACCCCCGGGGTCCCCTGTCCTGACCCTGTTTGTTCCTTCTACCGACACCCATCAAGGACACTCCTTATCTGATCAAAAGCAGGAAAACCTTTCTTAAGGAAAATCGCACCTTGCCGGCCAGCGATAATCCCATCATTTCCCCCATTGTCAGCAATCGTCCCGCCTCCTCTCTCCTGATTCGTCCATCTTCGGAAGCGAGAGGAGCGCGCCCATTGGCTACTCAGAGGCGGAGAAGCTTGCTGATTGCCCCAAAGTGAGGCGGGCCACCAAGCCTCCTCCCAGCTGTTCAGGCCAGCAGCCAATCAGCGTGAAGCCGGGCAGGGAGGAGAGGGCGGGAGATTTGAATTGTTTCTCTGTATTTTGCCTATAAAAATGCCTGTAACTCTTGAATTGGTATGCTTGTAGTGGAACTATTCCTACAATGCATCCGATCTCAGCTGAATCACTAATAAAGACACCTCAGTCCCAGCTTCTTCCGCTTTGGTGGGGATTTATTATTTTAATATTTTCGCTACTGGAATTGGCTTCGCTGCCCTCACCAAGGTTCCAGGACCCTCTTTGGTGCGGTCCTCGGGATCTCCTGGACTGGGGAGATCCTCCTAAAAGTGGCTCTATATCATTAGCAGTTCAAAAACATGCAAATGTGAATAGATCAATAGGTACCACTCCAGTGGAAAGGTAACAGCGCTTCATGCAGTCATGCCAGCCACATGACCTTGGAGGTGCATACAGACAATGCCGGCTCTTCAGCTTAGAAATGGAGATGAGCACCAACCCCCAGAGTCGGACACGACTGTATTTAATGTCAAGGGAAAACCAAGGGAATTTTTTTGTGTTTTAATGTATGATTTTATATTGTTGTGTCGCTTATTATGTTGGTTTTGCATTTTATGTATTTTATTTTCTGGTTTTGTTATGCTTTTGTGTTATATTGTGTGTACTGTACTGATGAGCGTGGCCTCATGTAAGCCACACCAAGTCCCCCTGGGGGAGATGGAGCGGGGTATAAATAAAGTATTATTATTATTATTATTATTATTATTATTATTATTATTATTATTATTATTATTTACCTTTACCTAGGGCAAAAGGATCAGGCCATTTTGTCAGAAATATTGAAAAAGTAGGTATTTTTAATTACAAAAGTGTGAGTCAAGCACTGAAAGAGTTAGTAGGCCGAAGCCTGTTACAGTCAGTGGGCCAAAGCTAGTGTTAACTGAGGAGTGTGAAGTCAACCTCAGTATGAGAGAAGCCTCATGTGAGAAAGCTCCAGTGTGAAGGGTGCTGCGTGTAAAGCTAAAAAGGTAAAGGTTGTCCCCTGACATTAAGTCCAGTCATGTCTGACTCTGGGGTGTGGTGCTCATCTCCATTTCTAAGCCGAAGAGCCAGCGTTGTCCGTAGACACCTCCAAGGTCATGTGGCCGGCATGACTGCATGGAGCGCCGTTTCCTTCCCGCTGGAGTAGTACCTATTGATCTACTCACATTTGCATGTTTTCGAACTGCTAGGTTGGCAGAAGCTAGGGCTGACAGCAGAAGCTCACACCGCTCTCCAGAATCGAACCTGCGACCTTTCGGTCAACAAACTCAGTAGCTCAGCCCACTGCGCCACTGGGGCCTCCACGTGTAAAGCTACTATGTATTTATTTGTGTTATGGAAACCTAATTCTTGTAAATAGTGCAACCATATTATTTTACTACAAAGCAAAGACTCCTATGGAAGAGATAACATTGGTCTGTGTGTTTTTGTTTTTATCATCACTTTGGGCTACCAGTGCTGGGTCATGCTGCTGTTGATAAGTTACTCTGCTGTAAATTTATGGAGAGGGTCTTTTGTTAATAAGCTCACTCATTTACGACATTTATATGCCGCCCTTTGGGGCTTTCTGCTTACTCTGCTCATTTATGCCAAATACAAAGTTTAAATGGTGGGAAATTGGATTTATATATCTGTGGGATGTCCGGGGCGGGAGAAAGAACGCTTATCTTTTGAGGTAAGTGTGAATGTTTCAGTTGGCCACCTTGATTAGCCTTTAATGGCCCAGCAGTTCAAAGGTCTGGCTTCTTGCTCCCTGGGAGAATCCTTTGTTGGGAGGTGATTAGCTTGCCCTGATTGTTTCTTGTATAGAATTCCCCTGTTTTCTGAGTGTTTTTCTTTATTTATTTTATGATTTTGGAGTTTTTTAATACTGGTAGCCAGATTTTTTTCATTTTCATGGTTTCCTCCTTTTTGTTGAAATCGTCAACGTGCTTGTGGATTTCAATGGCTTCTCTGTGTAGTCTGACATGGTGGTTGTGAGAGTGGTCCAGCATTTCTGTGTTCTCAAATAATATGCTGTGTCCAGGTTGGTTCATCAGGTGCTCTGCTATGGCCGACTTCTCTGACTGAAGTAGTCTGCAGTGCCTTTCATGTTCCTTGATTCGTGTTTGGGCAATGCTGCGTTTGGTGGTCCCTTTGTAGACTTGTCCCAAATAGATTACTGCAATGCGCTCTACATGGGGTTGCCTTTGAAGACTGTTCGGAAACTGCAATTAGTCCAACGGGCGGCAGCTAGATTACTCACCAGAGCATCATACAGGGAGCATACCACCCCCCTGTTGTGTCAGCTCCACTGGCTGTCGATCCAATTCTGAGCATAATTCAAAGTGCTGGTTTTGACCTATAAAACCCTGTACGGCTCCAGTCCAGCGTACCTGTTATTGTTATAACCTGTTGTGTTATTGTTAATATTTATTGCTTTTTTATGCTTATGAGTTTATTTATTGTTTTGTATTACTGTTGCTACTGTTTATTGTTGTATTGTGGGCTCGGCCTCATGTAAGCCGCACCGCGTCCCTTGGGGAGATGGTAGCGGGGTACAAATAAAGATGATGATGATGATGATTATTATTATTATTATTATATTACCTGTCCGAACATATCTCCTTCTACGTCCCAACTCGGAGTTTTAAGATCTTCTGGGGAGACCCTGCTCTTGGCCGTGCCTTTGTCTCTAATACGTTTGGTGGGGATGAGGGACAGGGCCTTCTCGGTGGAATTTGCTTCCCAGGGAAATTAGGTCATCATCATCCCTCCTCACCTTTAGAAAGAAGGTAAAAACATGGATGTGCGACCAGGTCTTCGGGTAATTAGGTTAAAGGACAATGGATAATGTTTGACTATGGCTTGGAAGTGGATTTGGATAAGTTAAATGGAGTATTCAATAATATATGGCTAGATAAATAGCCACCAAACTGGTAATAGCTCAATGGATTGTAAGTATACTGTTTTAATCTTTATGTCTTAATGTTTATGTTTTTAACTGTTATAATTGCTGTTTGGTATTTTATGATGCGGCATCAAATTGTTGCCAACTGGAAGCCGCCCTGAGTCCTCCTAGGGGTTGAGAAGGGCAGTTTTTTAAAAAAAATATTTATTTATCGTGTCAGGGGCAACCAGATCATTGTATTACATTTCTAACAGAACAAAACAAATAAACAAACAGACAGACAAAACACAAAGTTTGCAAGCTTGGTAGTTGATTAAATGTCCTTTGACCAGTATCTGGCCACTTGGAGTGCCTCTGGTGTTGCTGCAAGAAGGTCCTCCATTGTGCATGTGGCGGGGCTCAGGTTGCATTGCAGCAGGTGGTCTGTGGTTTGCTCTTCTCCACACTTGCATGTCATGGATTCCACTTTGTAGCCCCATTTCTTAAGGTTGGCTCTGCATCTTGTGGTGTCAGAGCGCAGTCTGTTCAGTGCCTTCCAAGTCGCCCAGTCTTCTGTGTGCCCAGCGGGGAGTCTCTCATTTGGTATCAGCCATGGATTGAGGTTCTGGGTTTGAGTCTGCCATTTTTGGACTCTCGCTTGCTGAGGTGTTCCAGTGAGTATCTCTGTAGATCTTAGAAAAGTATTTCTTGATTTAAGTCGTTGACGTGCTGGCTGATACCCAAACAAGGGATGAGCTGGAGATGTCTCTGCCTTGGTCCTTTCACTATTGGCTGCTAATTCCCGGTGGATGTCCAGTGGTGCAATACCGGCTAAACAGTGTAATTTCTCCAGTGGTGTAGGGCGCAGACACCATGTGATAATGCGGCATGTCTCATTAAGAGCCACATCCACTGTTTTAGCATGGTGAGATGTGTTCCACACTGGGCATGCATACTAAGCAGCAGAGTAGCATAGCGCAAGGGCAGATGTCTTCACTGTGTCTGGTTGTGACCCCCAGGTTGTGCCAGTCAGCTTTCGTATGATATTGTTTCTAGCACCCACTTTTTGCTTGATACTCAGGCAGTGCTTCTTGTAGGTCAGAGCACGGTCCAGGTATTTGGGTGCGCTGCAATGCTCCAGTGGGATTCCTTCCCAGGTAATCTTCAGATATATAAACCCAATTTTCCTAGTTTCCAACAGACCTCACAATCTTTAAGGATGCCTGCCATAGATGCAGGCGAAACATCAGGAGAGAATGCTTCCATAACATGGCCATACAGTCCGGAAAACTCACAGCCCACTCACATGACTGTCTGCCCCTGCCTCCCATCAATTCTGCAAGACCTTCACTGAAAAGAGAATGAGGCCCATGTCGTTGTGCCATCCCAGGGCAAGACTATACAAAGTGTGTGCTCAGAAAAAAGCCCAGGAGTATGGGGAGATTGTATATTGCATTTATTTACAAACGGCAGACATGGATATCCCCCTTTTCCTCCAAAGGAATGGCTTGACACCTTCCTGCCTTCCTTTCACTTTGAAAGGGCTCAGCAGCCTCCAAACAGGCTGCAGCACACATTAATTCACTTAAAAAAAATATAAAAACTAGAAATTTAAATATCAAGATTTATTTTAAAAAAAGAAAAAAACCAACATACAAGAAAACTGCGAGAGAATTGAGGCTGGAACCCAAAGCAGGAGAGAAGCAGAAGGGAACATCAAGAGGAGCGTCTCACAATGGATGGCTATGTTCTGAAATGGTTGAGGCTCAGGCCAGTTGGTCCATCGGAGGGAGGCCAGCCTTTCCCAAAGAAAAGGTGCCACCTCCAGCAACTGTTGCCCTTGGACCAGGGCCCCAAACGGCAGAGAAGGCGCATGGTCTGGGAAGGAGCGTTGTGCTTATTCAGTCTCTCGATGCGACCAGAGAAGGCGGGAAGGGAAGGTCAGGAGGGGAGGAGTTCTTGGATGATGTGGCACAGAGAAGCCTAGTAGTCCTGCAGGGAAGAGAAGAGAAAGGCGGGCTTCAATGTGGGGCCTTCTGCACACAGCGGGAACACAACCCCTCCCCTAATTCATGCCTCTGGGAAATTGAGACCCTGGCAGGCCCCTCACATCTATAGCAGCACTTTTGTGGCCTCAAAGCAGCCCTTTCAGCAGCTAAGGATGCATTGGTGCAGCTCCATTTCCCAGGACCTCAATTCTAGAATTGGTCCCAACCAGAGTTCATCCACTAAATCAAACGGTGGGGTCTTGGTATGTTTCTCTTGGGGAAGAGAAGGCTGAGAGAAGGGGACATGACAGCAATGTTTCCATATCTGAAAGGATGTCCCATTGAGGAGGAGGAAGAGAAAAGGATATTTTCTGCTGCTCCAGAGAATGGGACACAATAGAGCAGTGGTTCTCAACCTTCCTAATGCCGTGACCCCTTTATTTATTTATTTATTTATTTACGACATTTGTATCCCGCCCATATCAGCCCGAAGGTTGACTCAGGGCGGCGTACAAGTCGGCAACAATTAGAATCATAGAGTTGGAAGAGACCTCATAGACCATGCAGTCCAACCCCGTGCCAAGAAGCAGGAATATTGCATTCAAAGCACCCTTGACAGATGGCCATCCAGCTTCTGTTTAAAAGCTTCCAAAGAAGGAGCCTCCACCACACTCTGGGGCAGAGGGTTCCACTGCTGAACGGCTCTCATAGTCAGGGGTGTCTATTCCTTTATTGCAGAAACACTGCAATTGAGCAATGGATGCAAATGACAGGAAAAGAGATCCTAAACATTAGGAACATTAGGAAGAACTTTAAACATTAGGAAGAACTTCCTGAAGGTAGTGGAATGTACTAATAAAAAAAACCAAGTATGGATCTTTGATGTTACAATCCCAGGCGACAGCAAGGTTGAAAAGCAACAACTGGAAAAGCTAACACAATATGAGGATTTAACGATTGAACTGCAAAAACTGTGGCACAAGCCAGTCAAGGTGGTCCTAGTGGTCAGCGGCACACTGGGTGCAGTGCCTAAAGACCTTGGCCTGCACTTAAACAAAATCGGCGCTGACAAAATTACCATCTGCCAGCTGCAAAAGGACACCTTACTGGGATCTGCACACATTATTTGCCAATACATCACACAGTCCTAGACGCTTGGGAAGTGTCTGACGTGTGATCCAATACAACAGCCAGCAGAGTGATCTTGTCTGCTGTGGACTCATCTTGTTGTGTTTCAAATAATAATAATAATAATAATAATAATAATAATAATAATAATAATAATAATAATAATAATAATAATAATAATATATCTCATTTGCTGTGACATACTGTGTTTTTGTATATATATTATATATACAAAATCTCCTTTCTTGTAGTTTGAAGCCATTGCTCTGTGTCCTAGTCTCCAGGGCAGCAGAAAACAAGCTTGCTCCCTCCTCCCTATGACTTCCTCTCACATATTTATACATGGCTATCATATCTCCTCTCAGCCTTCTCTTCTTCAAGTTAAACATGCCCAGCTCTTTAAGCCGCTCTTCATAGGTCTGGTTCTCCAGACCCTTGATCATTTTAGTCGCCCTCCTCTGGACACATTCCAGCTTGTTAATATCTCTCTTGAATTGTGGTGCCCAGAATTGGACACAATATTCCAGGTGTGGTCTAACTAAAGTGTAATAGAGAGGTAGCATTACTCCCCTAGATCTAGACACTATGCTCCTATTGATGCAGGCCTAAATCCCATTGGTTTTTTTGCCGCCACATCACAATGTTGGCACATATTCAACTTGCTGTCCACGAGGACTCCAAGAACTTTTTCACACGTACTGCTCTCGAGCCAGGCATTGTCCCCCATTCTGTATCTCTGCATTTCATTTTTTCTGCCTAAGTGGAGTATCTTGCATTTGTCACTGTTGAACTTTAATTAGATGCTATATATAAAAATACAAACATCAATAAAAAGCAAAAAAAACCCAATCACAACACATTTAAAAACCATAAAAGCAACGAATAATAAAATTATAAAAACTATGTCTTCTTGTTCAAATCCTCAACTGTTCCATCGCCTTAGCCGTTCCTAGTTCATTTTCCGATATTTTTGTTAATACAGTTCCTCATGTTGTGGTGACCCCCAACCATAACATTATTTTTGTTGCTAGTTCAGAATTCTAATTTTACTACCTTTATGAATCGTAATCAGAATCATAATCATCAGTTCGGAGCCCCACCCCTCACCCCCGGCACCAACTATCCAGAATGAAGTGAGAGGGGGGTACAGTTGAAGACAGTTCCATCTTGTCTCCCATGTTTTACTAATAATATAATATATTGTATATACATATATTTATAATATTATAATGTAATACAATATAATACTACTAATAATAATGCAATATAATTATATATTTTATATTACATGTAATATTACTAATATTATTACAATATAATGGTATAGTACAATATCAGTAATACATAATACTGATATTGTACTATGCTAATAATATAATAGATTGTATGTATATAGCTCTTGTAAGTCGCTCTGGGTCCCCTTCGGGGTGAGAAGGGCGGCATATAAATGTCATAAATAAATAAATAAATAAATAATGTAAATATCTGATATGCAGGATGTATTTTCATTCACTGGACCAAATTTGGCACAAATACCCGATGCAACCAAATTTGAATACTGGTGGGGTTGGGAGGCATTGACTTCGTCATTTGGGAGTTGTAGTTGCTTGGATTTATAGTACACCTACAATCAAAGAGCATTCTGACCTCCACCAATGATGGAATCGAACCAAATGTGGAACACAGAATTCCCATGACCAACAGAACATACTGGAAGGGTTTGGTGGGCACTTGTCTCTTCCTCCTCCTCAGTGGGACATCCTTTCAGATCCATCATTGTTTGAGTCCACAGTTGTAGTTCACCTACATCCAGAGAGCACTGTGGACTCAAACAATGATGGATCAGGACCAAACTTGGCACGAATACTCAATATGCCCAAATGTGAACACGGGTGGAGTTTGGGGAAAATAGACCTTGACATGTGGAAGTTGTAGTTGCTGGCATTTATAGTTCATCTACAATTAAAGAGCATTCTGAACCCCACCAACGGGATAATTGGGCCACACTTCCCAATGAACCCCATGACCAATAGAAAAGACTGTGTTTTCTGATGGTCTTTGGTGACCCCTCTGACACCCCCTCACAATTGTTGCTGCAATTGAGCAACGGATGCAAATGACAGGAAAAGAGATCCCACCTAAACATTAGGAAGAACTTCCTGAAGGTAGTGGAATGTGCTAATAAAAAAAACAAAGTATGGATCTTTGATGTTACAATCCCAGGCGACAGCAAGGTTGAAAAGCAACAACTGGAAAAGCTAACACAATATGAGGATTCAAAGATTGAACTGCAAAGACTGTAGCACAAGCCAGTCAAGGTGGTCCCAGTGGTCAGCGGCACACTGGGTGCAGTGCCTAAAGACCTTGGCCTGCATTTAAACACAATCGGCGCTGACAAAATTACCATCTGCCAGCTGCAAAAGGACACCTTACTGGGATCTGCACGCATTATTCGCCGATACATCACACAGTCCCAGACACTTGGGAAGTGTCCGACATGTGATCCAATACAACAGCCAGCAGAGTGATTTTATCAGCTGTGGACTCATCTTGTTGTGTTTCAAACAATAATAATAATAATAATAATAATAATAATAATAATAATAATACATTATTATTATTATTATTATTATTATTATTATTATTATTATTATTATTTATACGCTGCCCTATCTCCCCGAGGGGACTCAGGGCGACTTCCAAGCAAGAAGTGTCTCCTTCTCTCCTCTCTATATTAGGTCACACAACTCATTTTTCGGGGTTTTCGTTTTATACCACATTGCACGCATTCTAGTAGCCTCGGCTACACACCTTGTATTTTAATTGTAAGCTGAAAATTTAATAAAGATTAATAAAAAAAAAAAAAGAAGTGTCTCCTTGCCTGGAGGTTTTTAAGCAGAGGTTGGATGGTCACCTATCAGGAGGGCTTGGATTGTGTATTCCTATGTGACAGGATGGGGTTGGACTGTGTAGCCCTTGGGGTCTCTTCTGACTCTAAGATTCTACGATCCTATTATTCTACACCTTTCATATCCCACTGGAGTCCTGCCCACTTGCACAAGGATGCAACCAGGGAACCGCACCCAGGCACAATGGGGGGGGGGGGGGGGTAGGGCACAGCACAAGATGTTGGTGTGTGTGTGGTGAAGTAATACTTACAGCTCGGGGCTTTTTGTTCAGCTTGAGATCGATCCTGCAAAGCAGAAAAAGGCATGGAGTGAAGAGTGGGGTCCGGTGGCTGCTGGCTCCCCCATCATCCGTGGCAGGAACAATACCACTGCAGGCAGAGCATGGCAACCCACCACCATCACCACCCACCTCCCAGTTCAACCAGTAACCTTCAGCCCAGACCCCGTTATAGGCTCTAAAGGGCAACTTGCACCCATTCAATCAGAAAAAGGGGGACAGAATCAGAGGGTTGGGCAGCCCTGAAGCCCACACAAAAGGCATGCACGAGATGGGCCTGTTTAATGACAGTGCCTCGCGAAGGGTTGGCTTTGCGATTGGAGATTGGCGACGAGGCCCTGGAGGTGGGAGGAAATTGCCAAATCCATTTGGGCAAAGCAGGACAAACCAAAGCAGGACAAACCAAGTCCAAAATAATAAAAAGGCCCTCAGTAGAAGCTGGTCTGCTTTTTAAAACCGAGGCAAAGAAGCAGAAGAGAGAAGCTGATTGGAAGGGGAAGGGGAGGATTTGCCAAGGAGATTAAATGAAACGTTACCTCCGATGCGCTTTTGTCTGTATTTTAAAAACCTTGCCCGCCTAACAACCTAATATACATACCTACAATTAAACAGATAAACTATGGGTTAGAATGGCTTGGGAGGGGGTTTGGAAGACAGGAGACAGCAGGGAAGGAGGGGAGGCCTATGCAGCACGGCAAAGAACCCCAATCAAGGCAAGGCAAACTTACTCAAAGTCATAATCAAACATGCCAGACGGGCTGAGGGCCAGCGTTTGAAAGGAAGGAAAAGAGGAAGCAACAGAAATTAGTATTCGAGGGAATTAAAAGTCCGTTAGTTGATTAGAGCCACCCAAGCAAGAGAGCATTTCAGAATGACATAAATTGTGCAAAGAAGAGCCACGGACCAACTGCCCACTGCAGGAAGGGAAAGGGAAGTCAAGGGGCCTCTAGAGCAGGCATGGGCCAACTTGGCTCCTCCCTCCAAGTGTTTTGGACTTCAACTCCCACAATTCCTAATAGCTAATCAAACAGATCTAGCTGCTAGTAACAAAAATCCCTCACTCTGCTTCAGAGAAATAGTAATGGGTTTCTGACTAACCTATCCTCGGTAGTCCCCTGAGTTATCAGCTAACTCTTCCCAGAGTTCTTCCTGCTAACTAACTCAGCCTAGAGAGCTAATCCCTTGTGCTAATAGCCTACCAAGAATTGAAGGGCACTGCCACAAAGACATATAACTCAGAATATCAAGGTAGGAAATCCCACAATATCTGCTTTGAACTGGAATATATGGCAGTGTGGACTCAGATAACCCAGTTCAAAGCAGATATTGTGGGATTTTCTTCCTTGATATTCTGGGTATTATTATTATTACTATTATTACTATTATTATGCTTACATCTGGCTCAATTCGATGCCATTACATATACATAATACATACAGAATTACATATAAAGCATAGTAAATTAATTTTAAAATTAGTTTTAAAATAAAAAGAACATTGGGTTGTTGTAGGTTTTTTTTTGGGCTATGTGGCCATGTTCTAGAGGCATTCTCTCCTGACGTTTCGCGTGCATCTATGGCAAGCATCCTCAGAGGTAGTGAATGCCTCTAGAACATGGCCACATAGCCCGAAAAAACCTACAACAACCCAGTGATTCCGGCCATGAAAGCCTTTGACAATACAAAAAGAACATTAATAAAAGTGCAATAATACTGGCTGTCTAGCCTTATGTGGAAATGAATTCAGCAAGCACAACACAATCGGAAGCCTGTCCATAGTTCATTTTCCATAACATTATCATTATTACCATTGTCAAATTATCTGCCGGCTACCCAAAGGTCTGGTCCCATAACCATGTTTTCAATTTCCTCCTGAAGTCAAGGAGGGATGCCACCACCGAGAAGACCCTGTCCCTCGTCCCCACCAAGCGTGTTTGCACCAAAGGTGGGGCCGAGAACAGGGCCTCCCAATAATATCTTAAACTTTGAGGTGGGACGTAGAGGGAGATATGTTCGGACAGGGTAAGCTGGGCCGGAGCCATACAGGGCTTTATAGGTAAATACGCTATGTGGAAGGGCCCGAAGACCAAAACACCTGGAGGGAGGGCCGGAGTTGGCCCATGCCTGCTCTAAAGGTACCTGGAAGCCAGGGGTGGAGTGGCCCCAATAACCAGGGTTTGGAGCAGAAGGTTCTAGACCCCCCAGGAGACTCCCAAGTCAATAACACTCTAGGTGACGGTGAAAAGAGAGGCAGGAAGCAGAGTTAGGAGCAGTTAGGAGGGGTTCTGGCCCAGGCATCTCTTTATCTCTCACACACACAAAGACACAAACACAGCATAGCTTCACTCACAAGACAAGAACAGAGCTTCACTGGAAGGGGACGAAAGCCCAGATGAGGCAAAGGGAGCAAGCAAAAAAGATGTCTCTCCCTATTGTCGCCCCAGACTCCCTGCTCCCACAAATAGGAAAGAACGGGATGGGAGGATGAGAGACACCCAGGGTTTATCTCACAGAATCCGCACCCAGGTCAGAACTGAGCAAGGAAACCTGCCTTCATCCTCTGGCAGGAAAATAGAGCTCGCGCTCACTCTGGAACTCCTTGCCACTTGAAGAGCTGTAAGAAAAGGAGCACTCTTTCCTTTGCCTGGAGGAAGGGGGCTGAACTGAATGGCCCCTGGGGTCCCTTCCAACTCTATATTCTATTATTATTATTATTATTATTATTATTAAGCAGAGACTGGATGGCCATCTGTCAGGGGGACTTTGATGGTGCTTTTCCTGCCTGGCAGAAAGAAAGGGGCTGAACTGGGGTCTCTTCCAACTTTATGTCCTATTATTATTATTATTATTATTATTATTAAGCAGAGGCTGGATGGCCATCTGTCAAGAGGGTGCTGATTGTGTTTTTCCTGCCTAGAAAAATGGAGGGAGTGGACTACATGCCCCCTGGGGGTCTCTTCCAATTCGATATGTCTTATTATTATTATTATTATTATTATTATTATTATTATTATTATTATTAACCAGAGGCTGGATGGCCATCTGTCAGGAGGGTGATGATTGTGCTTTTCCTGCCTAATAGAAAAAAGAGGGAGATTAGATGGCCCCTGGGGGTCTCTTCCAACTCTATGTCCTATTATTATTATTATTATTATTATTATTATTATTATTATTATTATTATTATTAAGCAGAAGCTGCATGCTGATCTATTGGGAGGGTGCTGATTGTGTTTTTCCTGCCTAAAAGAATGGAGGGGGTGGATTAGATGGCCCCTAGTGGTCTCTTCCAACTCTATGTCTTATTATTATTATTATTATTATTATTATTATTATTATTATTATTATTATTATTAAGCAGAGGCTGGATAGCCATCTGTCAGGAGGGTGCTGATTGTGCTTTTCCTGTCTGGCAGAAGGGGCTAGACTGGACGGCCCCGGGATCCCTTCCAACTTTATGATCCTATGGTTCTCTGCCTCCACCTGCTGCCCTCTTCTTGCCTCCTGGCATCACGGACACACTTTCCCTGCTGACAGCAGTCTTGGGATCTAACCATTTGGCCACACCGATTTATTCCCCACTGCCTCCATCCCATTCCTCACCTGGAATGAGACGGGAATAAGTAAACGCATTTAGCAGAGGAAGCCGGGGCTGGAAGAAATGGGATCCGCACCAAGTTCTGGTGAACAAGGCCAGGTGGAAACTCCTGGGTGAATGTGGGCCAGCCCTCTCCTTATCTCCCTCAACGCCTGACCTACCTCACAGGGTCATTGAAGGTATGCAGAGACATGGAGGGAGAACTCATCTTCTTGGGTGACATATTGGGAAATGTGACAACAGAAAGGTCTTCCCCTCTGTACTGCAATATCCAGACTTCCAGCACAATACAACAAAGAGACAGAGGCAATTTCTGTATTTACTCGAATCTAATGTTCACCTTTTTTGGCTAAATGACCTGGCCAAATTAGATTTGTATCATATGGTGATCTTAGTGCTCATTAAAAGGACATGGCTGAATGCTATGCAGTGCTGGGATTTGTAGTTTGGTGAGGAACTAGGCTTTTTTGGCAGAGAAGGCTCAAAACCTTGTCGAACTAGGATTCTTTGACAGGATTCCATAGCATTCCTAATTAAAAGGACATGGCTGAAGGCTATGCAATGCTGGGATTTGTAGTTTGGTGCGAAACTAGGCTTCTTTGGCAGAGAAGGCTCAAAACCTTGTCAAACTAGGATTCTTTGACAGGATTCTATAGCATTGCTAATTAAAAGGACATGGCTGAAGGCTATGCAATGCTAGGATTTGTAGTTTGGTGCGAAACTAGGCTTCTTTGGCAGAGAAGGCTCAAAACTTTGTCAAACTAGGATTCTTTGACAGGATTCCATAGTACTGCTAATTAAAAAGGCATGGCCGAATGCTATGGATTTGTAGTTTGGTGAGGAACCAGGTTTCTTTGGCAGGGGAGGCTCAATACCTTGTCAAACTAGGACTGACTGACAGGATTCCATAGAATTGTTAATTAAAAGGACATGGCTGAATGCTGGGCAATGCTGGGATTTGTCGTTTGGTGAGGAATTTATTTATTTATTAACTTACTTACTACATTTATATACTGCCCCTCTCAGTCCACAGGCGATTCGGAGCTAGGCAATGCTGAGATTTGTAGTTTGGTGAGGAACCAGGCTTCTTTAGCAAAGAAGGCTCAAAACCTTATCAAACTAGGACTGTCTGACAGGATTCCATAGCATTGCTAATTAAAAGGACAAGGCTGAATGCTAGGCAATGCTGGGATTTGTAGTTTGGTGAGGAACTAGGCTTCTTTGGCAGGGAAGGCTCAATACCTTGTCAAACTAGGATTGTTTGACAGGATTCCATAGCATTGCTAATTAAAAGGACATGGCTGAATCCTATGCAATGCTGGGATTTGTAGTTTGGTGAGGAACCAGGCTTCTTTGGCAGAGAAGGCTCAAAACCTTGTCAAATTAGGATTGTATGACAGGATTCCATACCATTGGACCAAGGCAGTTAAAGTGGATTCATTCTACAGCAGAGATGAACTCCAAGGTTTTCTTTTCCATCTCTGGAAGTTTTGGTGTTCTAACACAATTGTTTACAATGAAGAAATCCTAAACAGGAAGCAACAGTAATGCGCACAATTTTTGGCTGAATTACAAAGAGTGCATTTTTTGCCGCTGCACATTACATTTGGCAGCAAATACTTTTCTTGGGTTTCAGGGTTTTTGAAATGGAGGCGCGCATTAGAATCAATGACGCGTGAGACTGGCATCAATATGGTATGCTGGGGCCTGGGCTGGAAGGGGCTGAAGGGCCTCCTTCCAAGGGAAGGCCTTCCCAGCCCATCCCTGCCTCTCTGCCTACAATGCCCATTCCCAGCCCTGCTGGCCCACCTGTGCCGGTTTTTGTTTTTGCGCTTCTTGTGGCTGCTGCTGCTGTGGTGGCTGGCGGAAGCGGAGGAGGCGGCCTTCTGCGGCTTGACCGCCTGGACGGCACCATCCAGCTCCTCGGCCTCCTCCTGGCTGGGCTCGTTCTCCTGGTTGTGGAAGTCCGGGGATGTGTCACTCTCCGTCCCGCTGCCGGGTTCCCCTGGAGCAACAATTTGAGAAGAGGGGGTGTCATGAATGACTTTTCAATAACTTTAAAGCATAGGTTCTTTTTATTGCAATTTCCAGTGTGAGAGGGTATATCAGATTGCAGAAAAACATTTAGACATACAGATTCTATACAACTACATTGGATTTATAGTTATTTTGGTTAACAAACAAACAAAGGAGAATTACATTTTCAATCACCATTCACACACATGTACCGTATATTCCGGAGTATTAAACGACTGGGGCTATAAGACGACCCCCCAACTTTTGCATGCAAAATAGAGAGTTGGGGATATACTCACCATTTAAGACAACTCCCCAAAACAGCTAGGTGGTTTCTGTCCTCGGGCCTCTGGGGTGCTTCCTGCGCCACCTCCAGAAGGGTCTCCGGCGCTGCTCAGGCCGCTCTCCTTCTTCCTGACCAGGCCTCACAAGAAGTGCCTCTTCTCCCGCGAGACAACATTGTCTCACGGGAGAAGAGGTGCTTTGCACGAGGCCTGGCCAGGAAGGAGATTGGCCTGAGCAGCGCCGGAAGCCCTTCCAATCAGGCCGCTCTCCTTCTTCCTGGCTAGGCCTCGTGCAAAGCGCCTCTTCTCCCGCGAGACAATGTTGTCTCGCCGGAGAAGAGGCGCTTCTCGCGAGGCCAGGCCAGGAAGAAGGAGATCGGCTGAGCAGCGCAGGAAGCAGCCCAGGGGCCCGGCCGCCAACTAACGAGAGGTCTGGGCCTGAGCGAGGAAGACAGCCAGGAAGGGAGGAAAGATGCGGAGCCTGCCCGGGAGGCCGCCATGAGCCAAGGCGGAGGAGGAGGAGGGAGCCCAAGGCCAAGGCAGCCATAGTATGTAATTTTATTAATATTTTAATGTTATACCCAGCGTACTAGAAGACCCCCAAAATTTTATAAGGTTTTACATGCCTAAAAAGTCGTCGAGTACCCCGGAATATACAGTACATGCATTCATCGTCATGCATACAAATATTACCATATCCTTTTCTCCCTCCTTGAAGAAGCACCTGTTAGGCCAGACCCTGCTTCCCTGCAGCCTGCCAACGCATAGTTCCAAAACTTCCATAACTTTAAAACTCCAAAATGCATCCTTTCCCTAAGCACAATGCCACGGATCAGATGTCTGTTTTCCATATGGCAGAACCTGACTCTCTGCACAAAATCTAAGACTCCAAACACACTTCTTCCTCTTCCCTTGAGAAAGAAGGCCAAAGTGACCAGACTGCTCCCTTGCAAATCTGCCACTCCATGGTACGCTATCTCTCCCCTTCCCATGAAGCAGAGCATAGCGGGTGAACAGCGTCTCTGTCTGTCACACTTTGAGACTTATTAGGTTGAGTCTTTTATAGGAATATTCTGCTGATATAGTCCCAAAGTTGTAAATTAATAATAGATGCCTTCCATCCTGGATCCATCTCAGTTTCCTGTCCAGATGTCGATTCTTCTTGATAGGTGTTGATCTTATGTTGACTTCCTTCTTAACATTGTAAACATTTCTGTTATCATTGTCTCAGTTCTTATCAGAATTTACTTTTTTAGCAACTTTTAATTACAGTCCAGCAAGCAGGCCTTACTTACTATTTTACTGGTGCTTCCAAAATTATTAACTCCATTCATATATCCTTCCATTCATACAATATATCATATTAAATTCACATTTATCAAATCTGCAATAATATTTTCATGATAGGAGAAGCAAAGGAAAGCTTCAGATGAAGGGCTTCGGGGGGGCGGGGGCAGAAGGAGACTGGGACGGCTGCCAAAGCAGCACCAGAGGAAAGACACCCGTCCCAACTTACGTTTCTCAATGAGCTGGTCCTGAACTCCAGCCAATGCGCTGACCGCCTAGAAAAAACAGAGGAGAGGCCAGGATGAGAAGGGCAGAGAGAAAGTGGGAGTGAGGAAAGTCCAGGGGTTGCCTTTGAAGACTGTTTGGAAGCTTCAAATAGGTCAACAAGAGGCAGCCAGGTTAATAACTAGGGCAGCGTACGGGAAGCACACAAATCTCATGTTACGTCAGCTCCACTGGCTGCCTGTTTGCTACCAAGCACAATTCAAAGTGCTAGCTTTGGCCTGTAAAGCCCTAAATGGCACCAGCCCAGTTTACCTGTCCGAATGCATCTCCCTTTACAAACCACTGCAAAGACTAAGATCTTCTGGGGAGGCCCTACTCTCGCTCCCACCACCGTCACAAGCGCCTTTGGTGGGGACAAGAGACAGGGCCTTCTCAGTGATTGCCCCTCGGCTATGGAATTCCCTTCCTGGCAATATTAGATCACCCCCCCCCTCCACCTGTCCTTCAGAAAGATGGTGAAGACCTGGCTGTGGGACCAAGCCTTTGGGGCAGTGCAATAAGGCTATAATAGAATGGTGTCCTGAGATGGTTTGTAAGCAACTGATTTTAAAGTAGATGTAAGTGATTTTAATGTGTGTATAGATTTATGGTTTTATGTCCCAGCATTGAATATTTGCCGTATATATGTTGTGCTCTGCCCTGAGTCCTCTGCAGGGTGAGAAGGGCGGAATATAAATGTTTCAAATAAATAAATAAATTGGAGAAAGGTGGGGGGCAAGGCTGGCTGGAGAGGATGCCACAGATTCCATCTGTCACTTTGAGGGCAGGGTCAAGGGGAGCCTCTCAAATGGTGTCTCGTTCGTATTGTTCTCTGGAGTGTCTTTTTCTGTGATGTCCTCCACAACAGACAACGTCCAACCATGTGAAAAGCAATGGTTTTGTTATTCACGTTGCCCAAACAGCCTCCATGAGGGCCTGAGACTCAATTCCCCACACTCTATGCGAGGTTGCCTTTGCAGACTGTTCGGAAGCTCTGATGGTCCAATGGGCGCAGCCAGACTGGTTACTGGAGCAGGGTACAGGGAGCGCACAACCCCCCTGTTATGCCAGCTCCACTGGCTGCCAGTCTGATACCGAGCACAATTCAAAGTGGTGGCTTTCGGCTATAAAGCCCTAAACAGTTTCAGCCCAGCTTACCTATCCAAAAGTATCTCCCTCTATCTCAGTTAAGATTTATTTATTTATTTGTCTGTTTGTTTATTTCATTTATATACCGCTTTTCTCAGCCCTTGGGCGACTCAAAGCGGTTAACAACAGCAAAATTCAATGCTCAACATCATAAAAACAGTTAAAAAACAATAAAAATCATAACATAATAAACAGTTAAACCTCAATATAACATCTCATTAGCGTCTCAAGTAAAATCAAGATCCAATCTCATCATCCATTGTTCCGTATTCCTATGTTCATTACACTGCCTATTCAAATGCCTGCTCGACCAACCAGGTCTTCACTTTCCTCCGAAATGCCAATAGGGAGGGGGCCGATCTAATTTCTGTAGGAAGGGCGTTCCACAGCCGAGGGGCCACCACTGAGAAGGCCCTGTCTCTCGTCCCTGCCAGACGTAGTTGTGATGCAGGTTGGACCGAGAGCAGGGCCCCCCCAGAATAGCTTAACGTCCTAGCTGGTTCATAGGAGGAGATGCGTTTGGACAAGTAAGTTGGGCCAGAATCGTTTAGGGCTTTATAGACCAATGCCAGCACTTTGAATTTTGCCCAGTAGCAGACTGGTAGCCAGTGGAGCTGGCGCAATAAAGGAGTTGTATGCTCCCTGAGTGCCACTCCTGTTAATATCCTGGTTGTCGAGCGTTGGACCATTTGAAGCTTCCGAGCACTCTTCAAAGGCAACCCCACGTAGAGAGTGTTGCAGTAGTCTATACGGGATGTAAGATCATCTGGAGAGGCCCTGCTCTCGATCCCACCTCCCTTGCAGGTGCGATTGGTGGGAAGAGAGACAGGGCCTTCTCAATGGTGGCCCCTCGACTATGGAATACCCTCCCCAACGAAATTAAATCAGCACCCTCCCTACTGACTCTGAGAAAAAAAGTAAAAACTTGGCTAAGAGCCCAAGCCATTGGGCAGTAAGAAGTACAAGGAACAATCAGGGATTATGTGCTATTGTTATTTGACATTTGGAATAGCCTTGAACCCTGATTTCCAGATTATGTCATTTTAACGTTTATATTAGTATGTTTTTAACTCTACGTTGCAATTGTCTAAATGTTGTTATGCTTTCATGATCTAATTGATAGTTATATGTTACTGCTGTTTTGTTAGCTTTCATATGTATGTGAGGTATGAAAATTTGCCATAAATATGTTGGAAACTGCTGAGTCCCCCCACCCCACCCTGGGTAAGAAAAGCAGTATACAAGTAAAGTAAATAAATATAAATAAATTAAAACTTCCATGACCCTTGGGATGGGCACCAAATTCTCTGGCCATCTCTTTCCATGTGTGTGCTCAGGAGCAGGTGCATGCTGGGACGTGCACAGCTGGATGCTTACCTGTCCGAACATATCTCTCCTTATGAACCTTCTAGGACTCTTAAGATTTTCTGGGGAGGCCCTGCTCACTCCTGCCGTCTTCGCAGTCGCGTTTGGCGGGGACAAGAGACAGGGCCGTCTCAGTGGTGGCCCCCCTCCCTCCTAACATTTCGAAAACAAGTCAAAACCTGGCTTTTTGAGCAAGCTTGTGCAAATGCAGTGTAACTGGCAAATTTAAACCCATGGAATGAATGGACGATGCGATTGGAAAATGTTTTTTAGTAATGAGTCACTGAGGACTTACGTTTTTACTGGTTTTATATTATATGTTAATTGTTTTAATGGTAATTTATGTTGTTGGGGGCATCAAATTGTGCCAACTGTAAACCACCCTGAGTAAGGCGGTATATAAGTAAGGTAAATAAATAGGGTGCCGCCCCCCCCCCCCCCAATATCCTGGGAGGAGGAAGAGGAATGGGAAGAAGGGACTCACAGCGGCAGAGGTCACCGAAGACTTGCTGAAGAGGCGCTCGGCTTCCTTGAACTTACGGTTCCGCCGGTCGTTCTTGCTGTTGGAGTTCCTGGCAGGGAGAAAGGAGGAGAGGCAGGCACTGGGTCTGGGGTCTCCTGGTTGCGTCTGGGGGCAGACCCCTGCACTGCCCAGGGACCACAGGACCTCCCATTGCCCCCCTCAATGTGTCAGGCCTTCCTTGCTTACTTCTGGTTGGTGAGGTAGCGGTCCCACCCGCGGATGATGTTACCGTACATCTGGGTGTCCTCCAGGTAGCTGCCCTCAAAGGCATAGATCTGGCGTTCCAGGTTGGCCAGGGTCTCCTGGGGATGGAAGAGGGCAGGAAAGGAAGAAGGAAAGAGAGGAAGGAAGGAGATTGAAAAGGTGGGAAGTTGGAGGGAGGAAATAAAGGAACGTCATCAGCCATTGCATTCATGGGGAAGGAAGAGAGGAAGGAAGAAGGGAGGGAGTAAGAAAGAATGCAAAAAGGAAGGAAGGAAGGAAGGAAGAAGCAAAAAGAAAGCAAGAAAGCAAAAGGGAAGAAGGGAGGGAGGGAGGGAGGGAGGAGGGAGGAGGGAAGGAAGGAAGGAAGGAAGGAAGGAAGGAAGGAAGGAAGGAAGGAAGAAGGGGAAAGAAAGAGGAAGGAGGGAGGGAAAAGGGGAAAGAAGGAGGGAGGGAGGAAGGAAAGAGAGAGAAGGAGGGAGAAAGAAAGAAGGAAAGAAAGAGGAAGAAAGAAGGAAGGAAGGAAGGGAAAGTAAGAGAGAGAGGAAGGAGGGAGAAAGGAAGGGAGGAGAAGGGAAAGAAAGAGAGGAAGGAAGGAGAGAGGGAAAGAAGGGAAGAAGGAAAGATGGAGGGAGGAGGATAGGAAGGATGGAGGGAGGGGAGAAGGAAGGGGAAAAGAGAGAAGAGGGAGGAGGAAAGAAAGGAAGGAAGAAGGGAAAAAGGAGGGAGGGAGGGAAGGAAGGAAAGAAGGAAAAAGAGAGAGGGGAAGGGGAGGGAGGAAAGGAAGGAAGGAAGGAAGGGGAAAGAAAGAGGAAGGAAGGAGGGAGGGAGGGAGGGAGGAGGAAGGAAAGAAGAAAGAAGAAAAGAAGAAAGAAAAAGGAGGGAAGGAAAGAAGGAAGGGAAAAAGAGGGAGGGTGGAAAGAAAGGAAGGAGGGAAACAAAAAGGGAAAAGAGAGAGAGGAAGGAGAGAGGAGGAAAGACGGGAAGAAGGAAAAAGGAGGGAGGGGAGAAGGAAAGAAGGAGGAGAGAGAGAGGAAGGGATGAAAAAGGAAGTAACAAGGAGGGAAGGAAAGAAGGGAGGGAGGAAGGGAAGGGAGGAAAGAGAGAGGGGAGCGAAGAAAGAAAGAAAGAAAGGAGGGAGGGGGAAAGAAAGAAGGAAAGGAAAGGAGGAGAAAGAGAGAGAGGAAGGAGGGAGGAAAGGAAAGAGGGAGAGAAGGGGAAAAGAGGAAAGGAAAGAAGAGGGAAGAGAAGGAAGAAAGAGAGAGAGGAAGGAGGGAGGAAAGACAAGAGGAAGAAAAAAGGAAGGAGGGAAGGGAAGGAAAGAGAGAGGGGAGGAAAAAGAAAATGAAAGGAAGGAAGAAGGAAGGGAGGGAAGGAGGAAAGGAAGGAAGGAAGGAAGGAAGAAGAAGGAAGGAGGAAGGGAGGGAAGGAAAGGAAAAGAGGGACGGAGGAAGGAAAGAAGGGAAGGGGAAGGAAGAGAGCAAAGGAAAGAGGGGGAGGAGAAGGAAGAGAAGGCGTTTGGAGGGAGGGAGGGAGGGAGCGCGGGAGAGAGGGAAGAAGGGCAACCCATCAGCCATTGCATCCTTGAGGGAGGCGACTGGGGGGGGGGGGGAGTGCAGCACCCCTCCCTGCTCCCCTCCCCACCCGCCCTCTCCTCACCGCCAGCTCCTGCTTGCGCTTGACCAGCTCGGCCAGTTCGCGGCGGGTGTCCGGGATCTGCGGGGGGGCGCCGGCCTTGGCCGCCCCTGAGGAGCCCCCTCCCGCCCCGCTGCCCCCTCCCCCGCCGCCCCCCGCTCCTCCCCCGCCGCCCCCTCCTCCTCCTCCGGCCCCTCCGCCCCCGCCTCCCCCGTGCAGCGCCGCCATCGCCCGCTCGAAGAGGAGGGAAGAACGGAAGGCCTCCCGAGGCGCCTAGGCCCAGCAGTGGCAGCAGAGCGGCGAGGAGGCGGGGCCAGGAGGAGGCGGGGCCAGGAGGAGGAGGCCACTAAGCCCCGCCTCCGAGGGAAGAGCCCTCCCTCCCAGCACTACACTCTCAGTTGAGACTAGATTGACAGGCGTGTGTCAACTTCGGCCCTCCTTCCAGGGGTTTTGGACTTCCGAGTCCCACAATTCTCGCGAAGTTGGCCCACGCTTGGAGTGGAACTGAATACAGGCAGTAGACACCTTTCTCCAATGCCATGCTTCCCAAATGTTTTGGCTTCATAGAATCATAGAATCCAAGAGTTGGAAGAGACCTCATGGGCCATCCAGTCCAACCCCCTGCCAAGAAGCAGGAATATTGCATTCAAATCACCCCTGACAGATGGCCATCCAGCCTCTGTTTAAAAGCTTCCAAAGAAGGAGCCTCCACTACAGAGAGAGTTCCACTGCTGAACGGCTCTCACAGTCAGGAAGTTCTTCCTCATGTTCAGATGGAATCTCCTTTCTTGTAGTTTGAAGCCATTGTTCCACGTCCTAGTCTCCAGGGAAGCAGAAAACAAACTTGCTCCCTCCTCCCTGTGGCTTCCTCTCACATATTTATACATGGCTATCATATCTCCTCTCAGCCTTCTCTTCTTCAGGCTAAACATGCCCAGCTCCTTAAGCCGCTCCTCATAGGGCTTGTTTCCAGACCCTTGATTATTTTAGTCGCCCTCCTCTGGACACATTCCAGCTTGTCAATATCTCTCTTGAATTGTGGTGCCCAGAATTGGACACAATATTCCAGGTGTGGTCTAACCAAAGCAGAATAGAGGGGTAGCATGACTTCCCTAGATCTAGACACTATGCTCCTATTGATGCAGGCCAAAATCCCATTGGCTTTTTTTGCCGCCACATCACATTGTTGGCTCATGTTTAACTTGTTGTCCACGAGGACTCCAAGATCTTTTTCACACGTACTGCTCTCCAGCCAGGCGTCCCCCATTCTGTATCTTTGCATTTCGTATTTCCTGCCAAAGTGGAGTATCTTGCATTTGTCATTGTTAAACTTCATTTTGTTAGTTTTGGCCAGTCATCTCTCTAATCTGTCAAGATCGTTTTGAATCCCGCTCCTGTCCTCTGGAGTATTGGCTATCCCTCCCAATTTGATGTCTGCAAACTTGATGATCCTGCCTTCTAACCCTTCATCTAAATCATTATTCATTTAGGGTTAGGGTTAACCCTAACCCTCTAGTCATAAACATTCTACTCTATTCTAAAGCCTTTGACTGTGTGGATCATAAATTGTGGCAAGTTCTGGGTGGGATGGGCATACCAAAACACCTTCTCTCTCCTGAGGAATCTATACAAGGACCAAGTAGCAACAGTCAGAACTGACCATGGAACAACAGACTGGTTCAAGATTGGGAAAGGCGTTCGGCAGGGTTGGATACTCTCACCCAACCTATTCAACTTGTATGCAGAACACATCATGCAACATGCAGGGCTTGACGTATCCAAGGCTGGGGTGAAAATTGTGGGAAGAAACATTAACAACCTTAGATATGCAGATGATACCACTTTGATGGCCGAAAGCAAGGAAATGAGGAACCTTCTAACCAAGATGAAAGACAAAAGTCTGGGTTGCAATTAAACATCAAAAAACCCAAGATCAGGGGTCCTCAAACTTTTTAAACAGAGGGCCAGGTCACAATCCCTCAAACTGTTGGAGGGCCGGATTATAATTTGGAAAAACAAAACAAAACATGAATGAATTCCTATGCATACTGCACACATCTTATTTGTAGTGCAAAAAACACTTTAAAACAATACAATAATTAAAATGAAGAACAATTTCAACAAATATAAAATTATTAGTATTTCAATGGGAAGTGTGGGCCTACTTTTGGCTGATGAGATAGGATTGTTGTTATTGTTGTGTGCTTTCAGGTAGTTTCAGACTTAGGCTGACCCTGAGCGAGGACCGGGTAAATGACCATGGAGGGCCGCATCCAGCCCCTGGGCCATAGTTTGAGGACCCCTGCCCAAGATGATAGCAACCAGACTGATAAGTGGCAAATAGAGGGAGAAACATGGAGGCCGTGACAGACTTTGTATTTCTAGGTACAAAGATTATTTATTATTATTATTTTATTTATGGCATTTATATGCCGCCCTTCTCACCCCGAAGAGGACTCAGAGCGGCTTACAATATATATTTTCATACAATATATTATATTATTAGCATAGTACAATATCAGTATATATTACTATATTGCACTATACCATTATATTGTAATATTATTAGTAATATTACATGTAATGTAAATATATAATTATAATATTGAATTATTATTACTAGTATTATATTGTATTACATTATAATATGGTAAATATTATATGTACATACAATATACTATATTATATTATTAGTAAAGACAAGATGGAAATGTCTTCTGCTCCCCTCTGTCTTTGCTCTGGCCAGAGCAGCCGTTGGTGCCAGAAGGGGGAAGGGGGGAGGGGCCTCTCAAGTGATGATATAGGCAGGAGACAATATGAAAGTGTCTTCTGCTACCTTCTGTCTTCGCTCTGGCCAGAGCAGTCGTTGGTGCTAGAAGGGGGAGGGGCCTCTCAAGATTACTGCAGATGCAGACTGCAGCCAGGAAATCAGAAGACGCTTACTTCTTGGGAGGACAGCAATGTCCAATCTTGATAAAATAGTGAAGAGTAGAGACATCTCACTGGCAACGAAGATCCGCATAGTTAAAGCAATTGTATTCCCCGTAGTAACCTACAGATGTGAGAACTGGACCGTAGGAAAAGATGAGCGAAGGAAGATAGATGCTTTTGAACTGTGGTGTTGGACGAAAATTCTGAGAGTGTCTTGGACTGCGAGAAGATGCAACCAGTCCATCCTCCAGGAAATAAAGCCCAACTGCTCACTGGAGGGAAGGATAGTAGAGGCAAAGATGAAGTACTTTGGCCACATCATGAGAAGACAGGAAAGCTTAGAGAAGACAATGACGCTGGGGAAAATGGAAGGAAAAAGGAAGAGGGGCCAACCAAGGGCAAGATGGATGGATGGTATCCTTGAAGTGACTGGGTTGATCTTGAAGGAGCTGGGGGTGGCCACTGCTGACAGGGAGATCTGGCGTGGGCTGATCCATGAGGTCACGAAGAGTCGGAAGCAACCGAACAAATAAACAATTCGTAAACAACTTAGCAAAGCCAATGCTCAAGTGCAGTGATTCCCAACCTATGTTCCGTGGACCACCAGTGGTCCGCAAGAACTAAAATATGCTCAGCAGCCTTACTGTTACTAGACTATTTCAACAAAAGCAACTGGTTTCGCGAAACTTATTTGTCGGGAGGGGAGATGGTATGGATGGATGGTATCCTTGGAAATGACTCACTTGGACTTCAAGCAGCTGGGGGTAGCCACGGCCAACAGGGAGCTCTGGTGTGGACTGGTCCAGGATGTCACAAAGAGTCGAAAGCAGATGAACAAATAAATAATTGGTTTGCAGGTTACAATAAACAAAGGTTCAGGAAATATAATCCTCAGCATTGTGCACTATACCATATCTTGAACGTTATTTTTTTTCAGCTTTAACAAAATTAATTGTATTTTATACAAGTAACAAATAGAACAAATAATACAACAGACAAAAACTATACAATCACAACATCTCATTCCACACCATGATCCCACCACCTGACTTCTGTAACTACTCCTTGTGAGTCTTTTGTCTATTAAAACCTATCCTTATATCTGCTTTAATAAATTCCCCTTACAGAATCTTTAAAATCTACATTTGCCTTTCTTTCCAAATATCCAAATGCCAAGCCTCCATTTTTTAGCAAATTCCTCATTGTTTCCTCCTCTAATACCATTGGACAACTTGGCCATTTGAATAGTCTGGCAACTTTTACCTCCAATCCTTTTTTAGATAGTTCTTTTTTCCCCTTCCAAGATTTCATTAATCTAGTTGCAACAAAGAGATGTTGACCAATTTCTTCCTTTCCTATCTCTCTCTCTAAATAGCTCTAAAAGACATTTTTTGTGTTTTTAAAATCATATTATCCTTGTTTAGCCCCTGGTGGCACAGCAGGTTAAACCACTGAGCTTCTGAACTTGCTGACTGAAAGGTCGGCGGTTCAAATCCAGGGAGCAGGGTGACCTTCCACTGTTACCCCAGCTTCTGCCAACCTATCACTTTGAAAACATGTAAATGCAAGTAGATAAATAGGTACTGCTTCTGCAGGAAAGGCCCTTGCAAGCACATGCAAATCCCTTGTGGCAGCAGGCCCCAATCTAACCACCAACAATGGGGACTAATGGAAGGAGGGGGCATGATTTGTCTCATGGGTCTCTGGTCCCAAATGAAAGCCACAACAAGTCCTTTCATAAGTACAAGGACACAAGATGGAAGAAGGCCAGTAATTCCCCAACAATGTGTTCCTGAGAACAAGGGAAAACACTTGCCAGAGATAGCTTGACGCACACCTTCTGCATCTTCCTGCCGTTTGTAAATTATACTTTACAGAAGAGAGACTGCTTGGAGAAAAATTATCACAACAACAATGCATTCAAACTAAATTTACAAATATTTAATTTTTTAAAAAATACAGACTATTGTAAAGGACACCGAACTGCTGTCCCAAGTTGTTTTCTGGCACCTTCTGCCTGAATAAATGGTCTTTGGCCCCACGCTTACATGATAATAAACCCTCTGCAAAGCCTTGGACTGCCTCCCTCCCCAGCCCTCTCTCTCCCATGAGACACATGACGATGTTGTTCTCCTCATGCTTTTTCTGGGAATTATAGCCACTGCATTAAGTGGGAAAAGGGCCACGGTGGCTAGAAAAGCACTTGCATCAAACACCTTCCCACCCCCTCACCCCCATTTCATCAATAAGAAATCCACAGAAGCCAAATGCTCTTTTTAAAACTCCAGACAGGACAGCCTGGGAATTAGTTATACACACTTATCCCTGAAAACTGGTTATGTGCATTGTAGAAATCCATAAAAAGTCTTATAATTTCTTTCCTTTTAACACATTAATAAAAAACAAAGACATTACACAGAACATTCACCAAGCTTTGTATATTCCAAAATTCTACTTCAAAAAATAATAAGTAGCTTCTATTTGTAGCTGTCAAAATGGGGAAGGAAGGGGGCAGGAGAGAACAAAATCAATATAACAGTTGGTCATTTTGGGGAAGGCCCCGCTTTTGTCCAGTATGGTTTGTGGCCTCAGAGTTTTTGTTTTTTTAAAATAATGCAAACGCCACTTCCTTGGCTGGTCCACAAAAAGCTCCCTCGCTTCTCTGGATTGATCAGAACCAACTGAAGAGCTGATTCCGTCAGTCAAGGCCCGCAACCACTGAACCTGGAGGCAAATGAGCCCTAAAGTGTCCCAACGCAAGAGTTTAAGGCAGTGAGAGGTGTCAGGGCAGCGGTGCCTCAACCGTCTGGTCTGGATCTGAGTTTGGCTGCAAAAAAAGGCCCAGTATTCCCTCTTCAGAAGAGCTTTCAAGTGGATTCCTCCTCCTCCTCGTCTTCCTCCTCTTCCTCTTCCTCCGACTTGTGCTCCACTTCTGTGGTGTCTGACGATTCATGGAGGAGAACATACTCCCTGCTGCTGAAACCAAACTTCAGCACATCTTTCTCTTTCAGTTCGTAGTAACGCTGAGGCTCGATGCGCTGATTGTTCAGAAACGTGCCGTTACCTGAACCAAGGTCAATGATGTAGGGCTTCACTTTCCGGCCCGTTGTGCCATCCGGACGGGTGTATTCCACCAACCTGGCAAGAAACACAAGGTTAGGACAGAAGAACACATCTCTCTGAAGCTAGATTCCACCCAGAATTACATCCCAGGTGCCATTAATACTTTAATCACTTTTCTACCCTAGTTTCCAGCAATCTCCCAATAACCCCCCAAAGCATCTTTTCCCCTGATCTCCAGAGACTTCTTACTTTCACACCAATATTTTTCTGGCTCCCTCTCCACTCCTTTGGACCCAGGAGAAGCTTCCTGTACTGACTTACAAAGCTGTCACAGCAAATGTGTATTTAATGTGCATTTCATAGAAATACATTTGAACATATGTATTTTACTGAAAGTTTTATGATGGTGTGTTCTTGACTATGCCATGCTATTACTATTATTAATTTTCTGGTTCACCAAATGTTTCTCTAGGCACCTCTCTGCTTTCCTTATTATTATTATTATTATTATTATTATTATTATTATTATTATTATTAATTTGGTGTCTCACCAACTGTTTCTCTAGCTCCCCCTCTGCTCCCCTTAGCCAAGTTATTTCTATTATTATTATTATTATTATTATTATTATTAGATACATAACAAAATTAGTACACAGCAAACAAGATCACTATGCTAGCTTTTGTATTTGATCACAGAGCAGGGACTCAGAGTGGCTTACAAGTAGAAAACAATTCAATGCCGCAAAAATAGACATATAAATAAAAACATATACATTAAAAACCAAAAAGTTTTTAAAAAACAGGTAAAGATTAAAACCAGTAATTTAAACTACACAATCCATGTCTAAGTCCAGACTGACCTGTACTGGAAGACAGCATGCTGCTTGGAGCAGGACGGGTGGTCAATGGGGATGTCAGCGATACGTCGATGCCGTCCCAGGAGGTAGGCGCTTTGCCGGTGGATGTACATGACCGGGAGGACCTCATCATTCTTGAAGGGGTAGAGCCGCCACCGCTTCTTGGGGATGCGGGCCTCTGGGGGCTCGCTGTACTTGATCACCACACCCCGGAAAGTGTTGGTGTCCTCCAGGAGGGCCCCTGAGAGCTCGAAGCTGGGCTTCTCCTTATCATCGGCTGGCTTCTCCGTGCTTGCTCCACCAGGGCCTTGCTCCTCCAGGCCCCCCTCATCCCCACTGGCCCCAGCTTGCTGGCGGCGCTCCCTCCGACGTGCGTTGTAGAACTCCCTCTGGGCCTCCTGCTCTGGATCCGGCAGAGTGGCCCTCTCCTTGCCGTCTCTGTGGGGCTTCCTCCGGCCAGAAGGGCCCCGGTGACGGTCCCTGTTGTCGCTTCTCCCCCGCCCAGAATGATCCCGATGCGGTCGCTCCTCATGGCCCCTCCGAGGTGGGTCCTCCCGCTCCTGCAAAGGAGAGATTGAGGCCAGTTTCAGCTGCCTGTTTCCTGTCTTAGAATAGTGTTAAAAACAGAAAGATGTATCTAAGCATGGGCAAACTTCCGCCCTCCCTCCAGGTGTTTTGGACCTCAACTCCCACAGTTCCTAGGAATTGGCCCATGCCTGATACACGTAGCCTTAGTGTGAATAAAATAATTCTAAATTAACAGTATATTCAGGTCATTTTTTATTTTATTTTCCTTGGCATGTTTTTGGGGATGAAGGGAAAGTATATCCCAGGCATGGGCAAACTTCAGCCCTCCGAGTATTAGGAATTATGGGAGTTGAAGTCCAAAACACCCGGAGGGCCAAGGTTTGCCCATGCCTGGTATATCCTGTACCTTTAAAAAGTTAATGTGATAGTAAAAACACACATACACACACACACTGTGGCCATTTTTGGAATCAGATGCCAAAAGTTAGTTTAAAAAAAGCCAAGTGTCAGATTTGAGCACCACGGAAATCGTGTTCCCAAGTGTAATAATACTCCCCCCCCCCCCCCCCACCAACTGCCGCTCTGGGTCCAGAGTGAAGAAAGGGAGCCAGAAAGACAGAGTTCCACCGTGTCTCCTGTGTCATTGCTTGGGAGCCCCTCCCCCAGCAACAATATAGTAATGTATAATATTAATATTGTTCTGTGCTAATCATATATTGTATACACATATAATATTGACGACAATATTATAATGCAATACAATGTAATAATAATAATAATAATAATAATAATAATAATAATAATAATAATAGAAACTTTATTTATACCCTGCCACCATCTCCCCAAAGGGGACTCGGAGCGGCTTACATGAGGCCAAGCCCAGCAATACATTACAGCAACATAAAATATAAACAACAAAATAACATCACAATAAAATAAACGAACCAATCAAGTAAAATAAACAGTACAAAATAACATCATGGAAAATAAAACATGTTGGGCTAAATGCACAACATAAAATGATAAAACTCTGGATGAGATAACAATGAAAAGGTACATTTGTGGGGGAGGAGCTCGTACGGGACTGAACAGTGGAATTAGACTTTCAATAAGATGGGGGAAAGTGCAATATGAGGGAAACAGGGTAGGTGAAACAACAGGACTGGAATATATGGTCACTCTCCAAAGGCATTAATAATCCAATATAATAACTACATATTTTGCATTTCATGTAATACTACTAATAATATTACAATATAGTGGTATAGTACACTATAGTAATATATAATACTAATATTGTGCTGTGCTAGTAATATAATATATTGTATACACATATAATACTGATAATAATATAAAGTAGTTCAATATAATACTAATAATAATTCAATATAGTAATGACATATTTTATATTACATGTAATATTACTAATAATATTACAGTATAGTGGTATAGTACAATAAAGTAATTTACAACAACAAAATTGTGTTATGCTAATAATATCATACATTGTATGTACATATCATATTAATAGTATTATAATGTAGTACAATATTATACAAATAATACTACAATATAATTACATATTTAATAGTACATGAAATATTCTTCACAATATTACAGTATTGTGGTATAGTACAATACAGTGACAGATAATACCAATATTGTGCTATGCTAATAATATATTGCATGTACACATTATACTGATAATAATATTACAATGTAATTTATTTTAAACGTCGTTGTGTTATTGTTAATGTTTATTGCTATTTTCTGTTAATGAGTTTTATTTATTGTTTGTATTACTGTTGCTATTGTTTTTATTGTTGTATTGTGGGCTCGGCCTCATGTAAGCCGCATCGAGTCCCTTGGGGAGATGGTAGTGGGGTACAAATAAAGTTTTTATTATTATTATTGTTATTTATTTCTCGCATTTTTATCCCGTCCTTCTCAACTCCTGAAGGAGGACTCAGGACGGCTTACAATGGGCCCCATTATGAAGCCATTACATAACAAATTACAGTAATTAAAACCACAATTAAACATAAGAGCATAATTAACAATACATAAGCCATCATTAAAACAATAAGGCAGTCTCATCAGCCATATCGTCATTCCAGTCACATTCCTTTAAAGTGTTGCTTGCATCTATTGTCCAAAAGCCTCGTCCCAAAACCATGCCTTTAATTTCTTTTGAAAAGCTAGGAGGGAGGTGGCCGATCTTACCTCAGTTGGGAGTATGTTCCATAGATGGGGGGCATCCCCGCCAGGGGCACTTGTGCTGTTGACAGGAGCGAGAACAAGGCCTCCCCAGATGATCTTAGGTTTCAAGGTGGGACGTAGGGGTGGATGCGTTCGGACAAGTAAGCTGGGCCAGAACCATATAAAGCTTTATAGGTCAGAACCAGTAATTTGAATTGGGCTTGGAGGTGGACCAGCAGTCGTATTATTATATGTAATAATAATAATAATAATAATTTTTTTGTTGTGTCAGGAGCAACCGTTCCTGTTGTGAGAGAATTGGCCGTCTGCAAGGACGTTGCCCAGGGGACGCCTGGATGATTTTTGATGTTTTATCATCCTTGTGGGAGGCTTCTCTCATGTCCCCGCATGATGCTGGAGCTAACAGAGGGGGCTCATCCGCCTCTCCCCGGATTCGAACCTGCGACCTGTCGGTCTTCTGTCCTGCCGGCACAGTGCTTTAACCCACTGCGCCAGCGGGGGCTTATTATTATTATTATTATTATCCTTTATTTATACCCTGCTACCATCTCCCAAAGGACTCGGTGCGGCTTACAATAGGCCGAGACCAATACAACAATATTGTAAAACAATATACTACTATCAATAATACAATATAATAATTACATATTTTATATTATGTGTAATTTTACAGTATAGTGGTATAGTACAATATAGTAATGTATAATACTAATAATAATAATAATAATAATAATAAAACTTTGTACCCCGCTACCATCTCCCCAAGGCCAAGCCCAAAGTACATCAAACAAAACATCAATAAACACAACATCAATAAACAGTCAATAAAATAAAAATCATATAAATCACATAAACAAAAAAAAACTAATGTTGTGCTGGGAGGAAGAGGAAAGGGCAGGGCGCCATTGTGCACCAGTGTGGGATGTATAATGCTAACGTTGTGCTGTGCTAATAATATATTGTATGTACATGTAACTTGTAAGCCGCTCTGAGTCCCCTTCAGGATGAGAAGGGTGGCATATAAATGTTGTAAATAAATAAAGAAGAAGAACAACACCAAATACAGCCAGAGGCTCCGGCCTGCCCGCCGCCCAGAAAGGCCCAGGCGGGGCCGCCTCGTACCTGCTTGACTCTGACGAGGCTTCGGCGGGGGCTCCGGCTCCTCTTCTTCCGCTTCTCCTTCGGCGGAGAGCGACTCCCTCCTCCTTCTCTTCCCTCTCCGGACGGGCTCCGCTTCCGGTGGTGGCGGCGTCGGCGACGGCGCTCGGCCTCCTCCTCCATGGCGACTGTTGTGAAAGCGCCGGGCTCCTCTTTGCCTTTCTCCCACTCTCAGATTCCGGTTCCGGCTCTCAGAAGTGATGCGCATGCGCACTTTTCCCCTTCGTGAGGCCGGCTCACGGCGGTGACGTCAGGCCGTGCGCCGCGGCAATGCCCTCCTGAGCTCGAAGATCGCCATGGCAACCGCGGCACAACAGGCCCGACGGCTGAGGGCACAACAGGCCCGCCGCCACCATGATTCCCCCGGCGGACTCGCTGCTCCGCTATGACACGCCGGTGCTGGTGAGCCGCAACACCGAGAAGCGCTCGCCCAAGGTCAGTAGGCCCCGGAAAAAGGGAAGGAGGAAGTGGAAGGGAAGAGGGAGGCTAAGCTAGGATAGGAAGGAAGGAAGGAAGAAAAGGAGGAAGGGAGGGGGGACAAAAGGGAACAATATAATATAGCGTATATACATATAATATTTATAATATTATAATGTAATACAATATAATACTACTAATAATAATATATTATAATTATATATTTTATATAACATGTAATATCTATATATATATATGTAAAATGCTCTGTGCATAATGAGTTCCTTAAAAACAAAAGAACCAATGAACAAAATCACAGCAAATTTGGCAACAAAACTTCTCACAACATAAGGAGTGACCATCACTCAAAAAATTATGATTTTGTCATTTGGGAGTTGTAGTTGCTGGGATTTATAGTTCACCTACAATCAAAGAGCATTCTGAACTCCATCAACGATGGAATTGAACCAAACTTGGCACACAGAACTCCCATGACCACAGAAAATACTGGAAGGGTTTGGTGGGCATTGACCTTGAGTTTTGGAGTTGTAGTTCACCTACATCCAGAGAGCACTGTGGACTCAAACAATGATGGATCTGGACCAAACTTGGCACAAGCACTCAATTCACCCAAATATGAACACAGATGGAGTTTGGGGAAATAGACCTTGACATTTGGGAGTTGTAGTTACTGGGATTTATAGTTCACCTACAATCAAAGAGCATTCTGAACTCCACCAACAATGGAATTGAACCAAACTTGGCACACAGAACTCCCATGACCAACAGAAAATACTGGAAGATTTGGTGGGCATTGACCTTGAATTTGGGAGTTGTAGTTCACCTACATCCAGAGAGCACTGTGGACTCAAACAATGATGGATCTGGATCAAACTTGGCACAAGCACTCAATATGCCCAAATATGAACACAGATGGAGTTTGGGGGAAATAGACCTTGACATTTGGGAGTTGTAGTCACTGGGATTCACAGTTCACCTACAATCAAAGAGCATTCTGAACCCCACAAATGACAGAATCGGGGCAAACTTCCCACACAGAACCCCATGACCAACAGAAAATACTTAAGGCCATCCAATCCAACTCCCTTCATCAGGGCAAGAAAACGTAATCAAAGCCATAGATATAGATAGATAGATAGATAGATAGATAGATAGATAGATAGATAGATCGATATGATTCACACACAGAGAGATATAGTATCATAGATTTGAAAGGGACCCCTAAAGAGGGACAATTCTATGTTGCATGTTCCAGAGTTGGCAAACCAGACAATCTCCACACTAACAAAGAAACAGCAAAAAAAAAAAAACTGTTTACCCACATGCAGAAAAATTACATATATTAGAAACCAACACTTTCTCATTACTTTATTTTCCAGATCACCAGATGGCCCACAGCAACGCGATTATTATTAATAATACTGGGTTGTTGTAGGTTTTTTCGGGCTGTATGGCCATGGTCTAGAGGCATTCTCTCCTGACGTTTCGCCTGCATCTATGGCAAGCATCCTCAGAGGTAGTGAGGTCTGTTGGAACTAGGAAAAAGGGTTTATATATCTGTGGAATGACCATGGTGAGACAAAGGACTCTTGTCTGCTGGAGCTAAGTGAGAATGTTTCAACTGACCACCTTGATTAGAATTTGATGGCCTGACAGTGCCTGGAGCAAACTTTTGTTGAGAGCTGCAAGAACAAGAACAAGCCACGAGAATAAAGATGAAGATCCACCCAGAGGAAAAGTGTTCCTGCCATACATCAAGGGAACCACTGACCGCATAGGGAAGCTGATGAGGAAACACAACATACAAACTATCTACAAACCCACCAAGAAAATCCAACAAATGCTACGTTCAGCAAAGGACAAGAGGGATCCTCTCACCTCTGCAGGAGTCTACCGTATACCATGCAGCTGTGGACAAGTCTACATAGGGACCACCAAACACAGCATTGCCCAAACACGAATCAAGGAACATGAAAGGCACTGCAGACTACTCAACCAGAGAAATCAGCCATAGCAGAGCACCTGATGAACCAACCTGGACACAGAATTTTATTTGAGAACACAGAAATGCTGGACCACACTCACAACCACCATGTCAGACTACACAGAGAAGCCATTAAAGTCCACAAGCATGTGGACAATTTCAACAGAAAGGAGGAAACCAGGAAAATGAACAAAGTCTGGCTACCAGTATTAAAAAACTCTAAAGTTACAACAGCACAACAACAGAGGAAACAAACAAGGACATCTAATCATCTCTCAACAAAAGATTGCTCCAGGCACTGTCAGGCCATTATATGCTAATCAAGGTGGTCAGTTGAAACATTCCCACCTAGTTCCAGCAGACAAAAGTCCTTTGTCTCACCCTGGTCATTCCACAGATATATAAACCCTTTTTCCTAGTTCCAACAGACCTCACTACCTCTGAGGATGCTTGCCATAGATGCAGGCGAAACGTCAGGAGAGAATGCCTCTAGACCATGGCCATACATCCCAAAAAATCCTACAACAACCCAGTGATTCCGGCCATGAAAGCCTTCGACAATACATTACTAATAATGGTATAGTACAATATAGTAATATATAATACTTATATTGTACTATGCTAATACTATAATGTATGTATGTATATTAGGCTTGGGCGGTTTCGTTCGTTAATTTCGTAATTCGTTATTAATTCGTATTTAAATTAGCGTACGATCCAATATTGAGCCATGCAGGACTACTGTGAGGAGTAATTAAAAATCGAAACAATTTTTCCAATTTATTTCGTATTGTTTCGTAATTGGTTCAAAATTGTTTCGAAATCGTTTCGTAATTGTTTCGTAATTATTTCCGTATGTCTGGTGCAAGTTTTATAGTTGTTGTTTGTTTTATCAGTGATAAAAAATAAATTATCACACCACAGTCAACAACAGAGGGAGAGGGAAGCTTCATAAGTTCCCCCTGTCCCATTTGGAGGGTCTTTTAGCATATTGCGCAATCGCGTCCACCATCAACGATTCGTAATTATACGAAATTTCGTATATTTCGAATTTTTTTAAAGGAAAATTTCGGAATTATTAAAAAAAAACGAAACGCAAGGGCCCCCTAAAAACGAAACGAGTTTAGAACCAAATTTTTCCGTGGTTACCCAAGCCTAATGTGTGTGTGTGTGTGTGTGTGTGTGTGTGTATAGATCTATCTTGTAAGGCGTTCTGAGTCCCCTTCGGGTGAGAAGGGTGGCATATAAATGTCATAAATAAATAAATCACTTAATAAGATAAGAAAGAAGGAAAGAGAAAGGGAATAATAATATTAAGGGAAGGGGGAAGAAAGGAAATGAGTAAGGATGGATTGATGGATGGTATTAAGGAAGGAGAAGAAAGGGAGGGAAGGTTCATGAATAGGGAAGGAGGGAAGACAGAAAATGAAGGAGAGGTAATAATAATAAAGGAGAAAACAAGGGAAGGGAAAAGGAAGAAAGAAAGGAGGAGAAAGAATGGGAAAGGATTATAGTAAGGAAGCAAAGGGATATTGGAGGAAAGAAGGGAGGGAAGGAAGATGGATGGATGGTATGAAGGAAGGAAAAGAAAGGGAGGGAAGGGGAGAAATGGGAAGGAAGACATAAAGGAGGGAGGGAATAATAAGGAGGAAAAGAAGGGAAGGAAAAGGGGGAAAGGAGGAGAGAAAGATTCTTCTCCCCCCCCCCCTTTTCCCTTTTCCTTCCCAGGGAATGGAAAGAGAATAGAGAGAAGGGGGATAATAAGGGAGCGGGGAAGAAAAGGAAGGAAACGGAATAAGGAAGGAGAATGGATGGATGGTGCGAAGAAAGGGGAAGAGAAGAATAGAAGTGGTTGGCAAAGGTTGTCCTCTCTCGCTAACTCTGCCATGGTTACTACAAAGGAGGAGTTGGAAGAAGGGTTACTTCTCCCAGCCTCCAAATTGGGCTTTAATAGGGTGGCGGGTTAAATCGCTGAGCTGCTGAACTTGCTGATCTCAAGATTCGCAGTTCACATCCAGAGAATGAGGTGAGCTCCCGCTGTTAGCCCTAACTTCTGTCAACCTAGCAGTTAGAAAATATGCAAATGTGAGTAGATCAATAGGTACCACTCCAGTGGCAAGGTAACAACGCTCTATTTAGTCATGCCGGCCACATGACCTTGGAGGTGTTTATAGAAAACACCAGCTCTTTGGCTTAGAAATGGAGATGAGCACCACCCTCCAGAGCCAGACACAACTAGACTTAATGTCAAGGGGAAACCTTTATCTTTAGGGAGCAAAAGCAGGTGCAGCCAAAGATCAAAGAAGCAGTCACTGCTTCAGAACAGAATCAACAGCAACCCAAGTGGACAATGAAAGTCTTACCACTCTTAAGTGGGAGCACTTGAGAAACCTGCATAAATAGCTGAGGTCTGGAATATTTAGCTGTGGGTAGCAACATCAGTTCATTGGTTCTCAGTGGCAGCCTTGAGTATCATATGTCTTGTGCCTTGAACCCTTGAAAGATTGACTGTACTTTGAATGTTAGTGTGCAGAATATGTTTTGGCTTGCAGCCTTGGTATTGGTGAGACAATTTGGCTTTGAACATTTTGGAAAGGACTTTGGACTACTCATGTATCTCAGCCTTCATTGAATGACCTCAGACTGCTTTGGATTACAATACAGTGTGTGGCTGTTTAATAGTAATTTGGTGGACAGGACTGTCTCTGTTTCTCTGCCTGCCCCTTAGGCCCATCCGCTGAAGGCCACTGCTCCGATTCCACCACCACCACCTCCTGCCCCTCCACTCCCGACGCCGCCCCCCTCCGCCCAAGGCCCCGCTCCACAGCCGATCCCACCTCCAAAGGGCAAGCCCCCTGCCCCATCCCTCGAGGCCGGGAAACACGCTGATGAGATCCTCAACGCCATCCTCCCGCCACGGTGAGCCAGCACTGGGGCCCCTTGGGAGCCTGGGCGGAGGAGGGGAGAGGCAGAAGGACTGCCTACCAGGGACTGACCCACTGGCTCTTCACCCCACCCCACCCCGGCAGAGAATGGGCAGAGGGGAATCAGCTGTGGACGCAGCAGGTGTCCAGTACGCCCAGCACCCGTATGGACGTGGTCCACCTCCAGGAACAGCTGGACCTCAAGCTGCAGCAGCGCCAGGCCCGCGAGACCGGCATCTGCCCCGTCCGCAGGGAGCTCTACTCCCAGTGCTTTGGTAAGGAGGTGGCAGGGAGGGAAAGGGGGAAAGTGGTGGGGCTAAGATCTGAAAAGTGGATTTTACAAGAAATTTAAGAATGAGTTAAAGAGAGGGGAGTAGAGAGTGAAAAGAATTTGAGAGAGATCAAAATGAACTGACAGAGATGGGAGAAGGGAAAATTGCACAGCAAAGGTTTTTCAAAACAGGATTGTTTAAGAACAAGTTTAGGAGCAGAGACAGTGAATTGAAGAACAGTCAAACATGGCACTATCCTGGCGCTTTTTTGACTTGACTTTATTGTAACCACCCCTTCATGTTATTCTGCAGATTAAACTATTGTATTTTTAATTTCGTTTCTAGTTTCTGATTGGGAATAGACTAGAAATATTTCAACACTGTGCCTCAACAAAAGAGGCAGGCAGGCTGGCAGGCAGTGCCCTCCTGCGCCCTTAGATCCCAGGAAGGACTTCCTACGATGTCTTTGTCTCTTTCCTCTCCTCAATCACTAGACCCACTGGGCCAAGAAAGGCCTTATGCGGGCTTCCAGGCCAGGGCCAGCTCACTGAGGGAATGAAATTTTACTGAGAAAGCCAAAGGAAGTCAAGGCAGAGGGGAGGAGGGAATGGAGGACTTGAAAAGAAAGAATGAAACATGGCCATATAGCCCGAAAAACCTACAACAAGCCAAGAATGAAACTCTTTGCTAGTCAAAACAGCTGCACAGCAGGAGATAAAAGTAGGAGAAGGTTCAAGAGAAGGACTTTATGACCTGAAGAGAAGAGAAAGAGGGGGGAATTGTTGTGGATAAGATGAGCCAATAGGACAAAAAAGAAACGTGTGAATTGGGGGAGGGGGAAGACTTGTGCGTGAATGTTTAGACATTTTAGAAACCTCCACTATAAAAGGGCTTTTTTCCTTTTGCACACCCAATAGCTTTGCTCTGGCCAAAATAAATCTATTGCAGTTTCCTCTTCTCTAGTGTCTGATTGGAATAGATACTAGGGGCTTTGGGGGACACCAAGCCTCAACCAATTTTTGTGTACAAGAACCATTGCTGCTTCTTTAGCTGAAAGACTGCCCAGCAGGCTGGTAAATTCATGGGACACATGGCAGAGAAGCATAGCTAAGCCACAGGGATTTAATCGCCTAGCAGTTCTCTTTCTTGAAAGGATTTAGCTCAGCAAGTTAGTTTTACTGAATTCTTGCAAAATTCGCCTCAACAAAAGCTGGAAAATGCTTTGAGATCTAGTTACTGACCTTATTGTAAAATTATATTACAGAAATTGATATAATTTTTCAAACAAATGTAAGCATTACTTTTGTGTCACCATTTAATCTGACTTATTTTATCCTAAATCCTGTAGTAGAGCATGGTAAGTAGACAGAGGGGCCTGCCAAAGATCATGGCCTAGGCCTCACTTTAGGATGTTAAGGGGGGGGGGGGTGCAGGTGATGCTGTCCTCTCACAAAGGTGGCAACTTTGCAGAGGCTGTGGCAGCTGCCTCAGCCTCCAACTCCCTGTGGAGCAGCAGCATCAGGCCTTGGGTCAGAAGAGCCGGTGGCCAGATCATTGCATGTCTCTTGCCTTGCAGATGAGCTGATCCGGCAAGTGACCATCAACTGCGCAGAGCGGGGCCTGCTGCTGCTTCGTGTGCGAGACGAAATCCGGATGACAATCGCGGCCTACCAGACCCTTTATGAGAGCAGTGTGGCCTTTGGGATGCGGAAGGCGCTACAGGCTGAGCAGGGCAAGGCTGACATGGAGAAGAAGGTAAGCAGAAGCTGCCTTTCAGTGGGAGGAAAAGAATGCCCTCGCTCTCATGGAGAGAGGGGAGGGGAGAGGTGGGCAGGCCTTTGGTGCCGTCATGCTGCCATGGACACTCACGGCAACCATGTCTTCTATCCTAAGATTGCAGACTTGGAGGAAGAGAAGCGGGACCTGGAGAGACAAGTGAATGAGCAGAAGGCCAAGTGCGATGCCACTGAAAAGCGGGAGCTGGAAAGGCGGCAGGTGGAGGAAAAGAAGCACACAGAGGAGGTCCAGTTCTTGAAACGGACCAACCAGCAACTCAAGGTTGGTCCCCGCTGATCTCTTAGTTCTGTTCATGTGGTACTTTGCCCCAACCCAAAGAATTGCTGATTTTTGACAGGTCATTCTTTTGTCCCTCTTAGCCATGGGCGAGTTTGGCTTGATTACTGCAAGTAGTGAGTCAATGACATTCCCTTTCTGCTGGAAGACCCCCCCCCCCAAAAAAAAAAACAATCCCATAGAAATGCCACATAGACAGATTGGCAGTGGTCTTAAAGACCGAGAGGACCCAGGACTAGCTGAATGAAACAGCCCCAAAGCTTTACTGGCCGAGAGGCCTGTGCCATTGCACCCATGCTGCTTCAAGAGATGGGATGCCAGACCCTGGCTAGTAGGCACTGTAACCATGGCAAACCTGCCCCTAGTTTAAAGAGAGGCAAAGGGTTGCACAAGTGAGAGTTCTTCCACCAATTGGTTTTATGGCTTGTTTGTGGCAGGGAGAAGTCTGCTTAAATGCCAAGTCAAAAGGGTACTTGCTTAGTAAGCCTCTTGTTAGATCTACTTTCCTCCAAACAGTTTGGGGATTTCATAACTGGAGGGAGATGAAAGCTGTTTTTCTCTGAAAGCTTGGCTGGCTGTCTCCAAAAGAAGTGAGATTGGATGTGGCCCCACTCCCTGCTCAGTGGCTGACCAGCCCCATCTCTCGTCTAATGGAGCATGTCAACTTGTCCTGGTTCTTATGCCAAGCCCCAAACTGACAGCTGGCACTCAGTGCCCAGCCATCAGGCAACAAGGGCATTCGTAGCCAGAGGAGGAGGGCAGAGAAGGCAGAAACCACTATTTCAGCAACTTCATCTGGATTTCCTTTTAGAGTTTAACATTATGAAAGGAGACCTTGGTTGCCAGGACACTCTCATTCCTGGCATGCAGAGCTACTGTGGTATGAGCAGAGAGTGGAGCTGGCCAGCTCTCCACTCTGTTCATACCACAGTAGCTCTGCATGCCAGGAATGAGAGTAACTAATGTATAAAACATGGAACAAGGAATGTAAGACTGAATGGGCAGCCCTCACTCCCTTCTTGAAGATTCCAGTGCTCCCCCTCCTCTCAGGACAGACAGAGGTACACCTTTTGGCAGCACAGAGAGAGAGAGAGGTTCATTCCTTGCCTTCTCTTCTTTTTGCATTTCAGGCACAACTTGAAGGCATCATTGCACCAAAGAAGTAGGCCTTCGCACAGACACGCCCAGGAAGTGTTATTAGCTGCAAGCGAGCAGGTCTTCAAGCATTCCTTACCCACTTTCCCAAAGAAACCCTCTTTTGCCTGGATCACCTCAGATTCTCATAGTAATGAAAGCCCCTACCCAGTGCCTTCAGTCATTCCTATCAACTGGATTTGTATTTGCCTGTCATTCCCATTTTCTGGGGGTTTTGTAAAATATTTTTATGTTATAATAGCAGCAAACCTTTTCAGTACTGTGCTCTATACAAGAGCCTGTTAGTACTGGGCCACAAAGGGTTGTGCAGAGCCATATTAAAGTCCAGTCACATCTCTGAAACTTGGCCAATGTGTTCCATAGACATTTCCCTGATGCGAACAGCCTTAATCTCCCCTTAAATTTCTGGTGCTCCTCATGTCTTTCTTGGTAGGTGAAGAGTTTTGCAGGTATTCAAACCCACAGGCAATTTATTCTTATGCCTTTTAGTTCCGATAATAAGGGCACTGTACGTTTTACCTGTGTGCTTATAGAAACAGCCTCACTGCCTTGTGCCAACCTTGGAAATTCATGACCTCTTAAGAAATGGCCTTCTGCTTGAAAAGCCTGCGGAGCATTCATCTCCCCTCCAAGAGTCAGCCATTCAAAGAGAGGGGAAAGCCTTCAAAGCAGAGGGAGACAAGGGAACTATTGATTATGTTTATTTCTTTGTTTTCATTCTCTTCCCAGCCGTGTCCTGTTTCTTCTTGTTCCTGTTTTTATTCTTGACGTTATGAGTCTCATAATAGCGAACTCCGACTTTCTTGGAGTGCTGCTGCCGTTCCGCTCGTCTCCGCTGCAGAAGCAAAGCAAATGTTGATGCTAAGAGCCGCCCCTCAACAAAGAGCCAGAAGCTGTTATGCCCCAAATACCCACCCCCCTCCCCCGCCCAAAAGAGCTTGCAGTGATGGCAGAAGAGTTGACTTCTTATTGCAACCTCCTCAGGCTCCAGGGAGACAGCAGGATAAAATGCAAAAGGGTAGCTAGGCTCCCTATAAACTGGTGCCACAGCTGAAAGGCCTCTGCCTGTGCTGCCTTCCCAAGAGCCCACAGGAAGACTAAGGGCAAAGGAGGGGAAATGTGTTGTGGAGGCACCGAGACAGAAGAAAAGCCACCAAAGCCTTCCCTCCGGTCTTTAAGCAGGAGTTAAGACCTTCTGGGGTTGTTGCAATATGCTCTTTGAACCTTCTGTACATGACATTGATCTTGCCTGCTCTGTTGGCGGGGGGGACCTATGGGGGGCTTCTCTGGCACCTACCTCCTTTGAAGTCAGCTTCTTGCAAGGTTTCTTTGCCAGATCAGCATCCATCTCCTCCTCCTCCTCTTCTTTCTTCCTCTTCCCAACTTTCCTCGGGTGGCCTAAAAAAAAGCATTTCAGTAAATGCATTTCAGCCAAACCTTCCAGCGCAGGGGTTTCTCTGACTTGCCTTATTTTGGCTCCTGCTTAGGACACATCCAGGCACACATAACAGATCCCAATGTCCCCGTCCAATTCCCACCCCCCACCCCCCACCCCCACAACAAAGACACTTTGGTTTCAACACTGAAAACAGCATGAGTAACTTAAGGAAGCTGGATGCACATCCTGAGAGGAAAATGCACACATGCACCCTGCCCACCACAGTTAAGCCAGTCCCTGAAATGAAATTGAACTGCCCCTGGAACAGTGGGCCCTTACCTCCCGCTGCCTCTGCTGCTCCAGTCGGGGAATCCAGCTGTGATTTGGCGAAGACCTTTTCGCTCAGCCCTTTGGGAATCCTGCCGGAAAGAGGGAAATAAAACTATTATGTTCCTAGAAACCCTGTTCTCCCACTTGTGCCTTCAACCCTTGCTGATGGAGCCTATGTTTGGCCTGTGCAGCAGCCAAGGGCTCCAGCAATGCCACTTCTGTTCAGATGGGAAAAGCAGTCTCTTTGTGGATGAAGCCACCAAACCTCAAGAATGTTCTGTACTAACTGCATTGCCCTCCCACTCACAACCTGTTGTTCGTAAATCTGCTCACCTTATGGCTGAGAACCGCTTGGCCTTGGCCTTCTCCAGGAACTTCTTGCACTTGGCGATCTTCTCATCCAGCGACTTCAGCAGAGCCTTGGAGTCCTGCCTGGTGACTGCCCCATTGAGCTGGCCATGCGGCTCCAGCTGCTCTTCCTCCTCCCCCTCAATGTCCTCCTCTGGATTACTGTCGCTCTCATCCCCCATCATTGCATCCACAGGGACCAGGTCTTCTTGCGAGAACTCAGGTGCCACATTGATCTTCCCAAAGTTCTGCCGCACCTGAGACAAGGGCCACGTGGCCACAGAAGCAGGGCGGTCATCACTCCCAGCCTCTTCTGCCGGGATTTCTGTCGGCCCCTCATCTTTCGTGGATGGGATGCTCTGAATGGTGGCTGCAGGGACTTCTGAGGGAGCTGCTGTGGGCTGAAAAACAGAAAGGAGGAGAGAGAGGACATGGAAATGCCTTTGCATGCCATAGTTTCCCCCCACACACAGGTGCATACCAACAATCCAACCCAGACAATGTCTTCCACTGACAGGATTTTAATTGCCCACTGGCTGACACACACATGAAAGGAACACTGGGAAATGTGCAAAGTGAACTATCACCCCTGTGATCTCTTTCATATTAAGAGTGGGATGATGTCTCCTGCTGCCATTCCAGGCAGGGCTCAGGTAGGCTTTGACTTGAAAAAAACTGGAGAGCACTGGTTGCCAGGAAGAGCCTCACAGGCCCTCCTCTGGGAAGGCAGCACCTTCCTGTTCTTAATACATCCCAACGTCCACACAGGCTTTACCTGGGGCCCAGGCTCCATGTTCGGGGGTTTCACAAAGTAGGGGATCCGGCCCCTCTGCCAGTCATTCAGCACCATCTTGCTGACTGTACGCACATCAGGCTCTCCTCCCTGAAACAAAGCGCAGAAGCCCTTAATTTGGGACTGACAGGCACCTAGAGAGAAAAGTGAGGCAGAGCCAAGCTGCCCCATCCAAAATGCAAGGCAGGTGGCAAACAGAAGGGAGAAAGAAATCCTGGGGAGGAACTCCCTGGAAAACTCATTAGCTGAGTACACATGGCAGGGGGTGGCCCCGTGGTCTCTTCCCATGCTATGCGTCTACAATTCACTCCTTTGACTGTCAGCCATGGCGTGCCACTTGTCAAGGGAGACACACAAGGGCAGCTGCTCCCTTCACCCCTCCATCACTTCTCAAATGCCTTTTGGCACAACCAAACGGTAGTGTAGCTGCCAAATGCCTGCCCCCACAATGGCCCAGTATTCAGAACCCGCCCCACAAAAAAGAAAGGGCTGCCTCCTTCACCTTGAGCAGCTTCCCCGTCTGAAAGGCCAACTTCTCCAGGAAGTCCTCTGCATTCTTCCAGAAATCAATCTTGTAGGTCCTGCTGACATATTCTGCCTTGGCCCGCTCCAACACCGCAGCAATGTGGTCTTCTGGAGTCTTGATTTTTTCTACCTGAACCTGAAAACAGCAGAGGGCCGGTGTTACTTCCCAGTAACCAATTTTTGGTCTTTAAAGTTGTCCTTAAGCCCAGAGGCAGCAGCAAGGAAGAGGACAGGTGGCTCTGTAAGGGCAGGCACCAATTATAGGAGGCCCATGCATTGTCCTTGTAATCTGCAAAAAGGGAAGGCACGGCAAGGCATGGCCACACAAGACTTCAGCCAGCATTCCCTCCCTCCAGACTCACCACCCCCTTCAGCACGATGTCTGTTTCTGTGTCTCCAGAGGGATAGACGACGCCTGGGCAGTCGATGAGGAATATGCGGCGCATCAAGGTGATGTACTGCCATACCTGCCGGAGAAGAGAATGCAAATTAATTCACACTTTTTTATTTAGCAAGAATTCAAGATGGCAGCTGCTGTTGCTTTAAGTGGCTGTAAGGATTAGACTCTTAGGCCTGGAGATGCCAAAGGACTCTGACCTCTGCACCAGGCATCTTTCCCAGAGCAGAAACAGGAGCCATGGGCTCCCCCCAGTTCTCAGTCCTTGAGGCTCAGTCCTTGAGGCTTTACTTCCCTCCTCCCAGATCCTATCACAGTCAACTGGGAGACTTGCCTTGGTTTCACCAGCAATGGGGGCCACATTGCAGACCTTCTTGGAGCGGAGTGTATTGATGACGGAGCTCTTCCCCACGTTGGGGTAGCCAATGAAACCCACGCTGATCTGCTTCTTGTCCACATGCAGCTATGGAGGAACAGGTGCAAAGAAAGGCATGCTTGCCACTGACATCCTAGAGAACCCAGGAAAGGCCCTCCAGGAGGGCTGTGAACGCCCAGCAGGCAGTCAGTCTGCCACTAACAGGGGAAGCTCAGTGAGAGCTGCCTGCCTCAAAGGGGCCCCAAGCCCTAATGGCCACCCACTGCTAGGTGGGACAACCACTGAAGAAGGGGCTGCAGTACCTTTCCAAACTGCCTCAAGAGCTGGATGAAGGCTCCTTTTCCAAAGGGGTTGGTGAGGCTGGCATGAAAAGCCAAGGTCGGGTATTCCTGAGAGAGGATGGCCACCCAGCGTTTCTGGGAAGAAGAGGAAGAAGAGTCACTCAAAAAGGGCACAGCTCCTCAACCACAAAGAGCTCAGAACATCTCATACACTTCTGGAATTCCGAACACTCTTTCAGAACTGGTTTACTTGCTTCCATCAAACAACAGGCCTGAGCTAATGGAAACAAGACCAGCTACAGCTCAAGTGTCATGTGAGTCCAGAGAGCCCTTTCAGAGCAACAGAGAAACAAGCAACCACTGTATCATCCTTTTTAAATAAAGTGATTGCAGAAGTGTTGCTCCTGCACTAGGGCACATAAGAGACTTATAGAATCATAAAGTTGGAAGAGACCTTGTGGGCCATCCAGCCCCACCCCTTGCCAAGAAGTAGGAAAATCACATTCAAAGCACCCCTGACAGATGACCATCCAGCCTCTGCTTAAAAGCTTCCAAAGAAGGAGTCTCACACCACACTCACCGTGGCCCAAGCAGGCACCAGGTCACATTTGTTCAAGACGAAAATGAGGTGCTTCCAGTGCTTCTCCTTCTTCAGATAGGCCTCCACATGCGGGGATCGGGTCCCCACTGGGTCTCTGGCATCCAGCACTTGCACAACAACATCAGAGGAATCAATCACCTGGTGGTTCACAAAGAGAGCAAGGGATAGTTTGGACTGGAGAAAAATGCTCTAGGAGATTCCTTATATCCTACAGAACAAGAACACTGCTTTAGAAGTGCTTTATGCCCCATTTCTCCTCCACTAATAATTCCTTTATGCATTTACCTTATAGAGTTCTCCCCAGATCCGCTTGGACTGCCCCTTCTTGTAGATCTCCTCCTGCACCTCATCCCTAAAAAAGGTCAGTGAGAGACGTCAGGAGGAGGTAGGCTGCAGTTCCCAGTACTCCTTTCCACTGGCCGTCCCAATGGGATGCTGAGAGTTGTGGTCCAATGCCAGCTGGAAGGGTACCCTATTGTTGATTGGAAGGCGCCACTCTGGGGCTCCCCTTTTTGCACAGAAGGCTGTAGGGGGCAAAAGACTCCGGCCTTGTCCAAGGGAGGTGAAAAGCCCTCTCAGGTAAAGGTAACAGACCACCACTGGCAGAAGGCCACAGCCTGAATCCCTTCCTCAGTATGGGGAGTATGGGCAGTATGGGGAGGAGGAGTACACAGGGAGGAGAAGAGGTACATGGGAGGCGGGGACCTTGTTGTGACCACTCACCGCACTCCCGTGTCCTCCGTCACCAGATCCCGGTCCTTCTCACAGTCATAGTTGCTGGCCTCAGCCTCTGCGTTTTCTACCAGAGACTGAACATCGCTCACTGAAAGATTGGGCCGCTTCCTTTGTGATTTGGGGCCAAACGTCGTTTCATATGTTTCGGTGTCGAGAATGTGGACTTTGGAATTCTGAAAAGGGAAAGAGTTTGGAGGGATATGAACTCCCTTTCAGAGTGGTGTTCTCAACATGAAAGCAGCAGCAAACCCAAACCACTTCTAGTCTTGCCCCAATCCTTCTCTCACTATTTATGTAGCAGAAGGTATGTCTATCCACAAGGATGAAATGGCAATGGTTATCTGTGCTTGCTGCATTGCTCCATCACTAGGACTCTGCAGGCCCTGCCAAACCCCCAATTTGCCAAGGATAATCTGCCTCAGATTTCAATTTGCCTTTGAAAGGCTTGCTTGCTGCAAATGCCCTTTCTTGGAACAACATCCCCTCCAGCCCCAGAAGGAACAGTTCATTTAGCAATGATTGCCTGAGTTACAGAGCCCTTTCTTAATTTAGGATGTTTTCCTTTTATCAGAGACATATGGGGACTCCGGCAAAAACAGAACCATTCAGTGCCACAGTTCAAGGCACATAAAATGAAAGGAACAAGACTAACACGACAAGGAGGGGGGTGTTGGGCTCACGGCTCCTCCTCTGCCCAGAAAGTCTTTTCAGAAGAGCAATCAAAGGAAGATGGCTGCTAACAGAAAACAAGGGAGTCAGTCCTGTGGAAACATCGAGGGCCACCAGTGGAGCAATGGATTAAACCCTTGTGCAGTCAGGACAGCTGATTGAAAGGTTTGTGGTTCGAATCTGAGGAGCAGGGTGAGCTCCTGTCTGTCAGCTCCAGCTTCTCATGCAGGGACAAGAGGGAAGCCTCCCACAGGATGGTAAAACATCCAGATGTTCCCTGGGCCAATTCTCTCACACCTGAAATAGCTTGCAGTTTCTCAAGTCGCTCCTGACACAAAAAATAAATTGAGAGGGATGGAAGAAGTGCCTAAAGAGGTGGCCAGTCTCAAGCTGACCGCTTCCCTGGTTCAAGATTCATGCGAAGAAGCCAAGAAGAGGAAGAAGACAGGCAACCTGAGGAACTCCTTTTCCTCTTACTGTCCACTCCTCAGAGAAGCTTGCTTTCAGGCAGCAAAGACTCCCTAAACCGTGTCCATCTTCCCAGACAGCTGAGGATCAGGGTGTGCATGAGCAGCTGGACTAAGGAGAACATTCTGCTTACAATGCTGAGTTACAGGAGGTTTTCCTTCTGCATTCCCAGATCAGCTGGGAGTGCAAGATGTTTTTCAAATGAGTTTATAAGAGTGATAGACAGTCAGATGGGTGCCCAAGGATTTGTGGAGAGTGAGAGAGTACCATGAGCTCAAACCTCTGGCTGCTCAGTGAAGGACAAATCGGCCTAAGCCTCAGCCAGAGGAGCAGGGGACTCACGTGTGGCTTGATCCGGTCGTGGAGGAGGGAAAGGGGAAGCTTGCTCTGTTTCATGACCACTCTGTAGGGGTCCTTCATCACTGACCCCATCTCCTCCTGGAACTTCTGCAGAGAGGACTGCTTGATCACACGCGTGTTTCCTGCATTGAGAGGGAAGCATCACTAGGTGCTACAGGCCCTTTCTCTCCCTCCCAGGATCTCTGATGCTAGTGCCCCCCACGTCATGCCCAAGAGGGTGGCTCTCCAGCCCAGCAAGGCCCTTGCCATTGTCTCCAGGACCACCTCCTCCCCACCCTCCCCCCAAGGAGCCCCACCCAGGACAAAGGGTCCCATGTTGTAGATCTGAGGGCAGGCTCACCAAACCATTTGATGTTGGGCTCCACTCGGGCCACTGTGCCTGGTGCTACTGTGGACTGGAACTGCAGTGGACGGATCAGTTGCCCACGGTTGTTTCTGTAAAATAAGAGAGCCACAGAGAGATTGCCTCTGTTCATCTTGTCTTGTAGGCACTCTCGTAAGTCTGGGTCCCATCAGTGTCCCAATTCCTTCCCGGCACAGTCCTAAGTTCAAACCCTTCCATCTTGACACAAGGCTGGAAACCCCAGTCAGTGTGGACAGCTGTACTATAGAAATACAATCAAAGTTCTCAAACTGTTGTTGAAAGGCTACAGAAAGGGCAACTGACAAAATCAAACCTCTTGCACCCTGCGTCTGAGAGAAAGGCCAAGCAAAGGCTCAAGCCAAACAATGGAACAGCATTAATTCAGCTCTAGGTTAAGGACTGGAAGCAATAAGGGTTCCTTGGCCCTGCATCAGGTGGGAGGGCAACAGGGCTAGCGAAGCAGAGGCAAGAATGTCTGTTATCCGAGGCTGACACTTTTCCACAGGCCGTGCCAAGCAATGGAGCTGAGCCTCTGGAAAACACTCTGTTAAGAGGTTCCACATTGCACTCCTGGCCCCTGTTCACAGGGAGAGGAGTGGGAGCGCTTGAGCAGGCCTGCTTCCATTTAGCACCTGCTCGTGCAAAAGCAGCACATGCCAGAGCACCACAGGGCAAGACGGGGACTTGTTTACAGACAGAGGGGAAGACAAGGCTCCTTGCCCTTGTTCCTAAGGGAGGCCAATGCCTATGCTCCACCCAGCTCCAGACTCCTGGAGCAGGCACTAAGGGGTCAACGCTCAAAGGACAACATCTCCCCACCACCTGCCATCCCTAAAAAGTATTACTATTATTACTGATTACAAACACATACTATCCTGAATGAAGTCCCTGGTCTGGCAAGAAAGGTGTGTTTAAGGGCAGCTCCTGCTCTTATTTAGTGAGGAGGAAAATGAATACATGAAGTTTACTATTATGGTCACAGACCAAGAGTGTAAAACATTAAAAACAGAGTTGCTTTAAAAAAAATCAAATCTTAACATTAAGACCAGAAATTCATAAAATCCTAAAATCCATACTTGGAATCGATCAACATGGCTTCATATGTGACACTTATAAAATCTATGGGTATGGATAATAAAATGAGTAAGTTAAAACTTTGTCCACTAAAATCCCAACAAACTGCTTCCTTGTTTTTATAGCTGCCACACAAAACTTATCCACTCTATAAGTGATTGATAAATCACTGTCCTCTTATAGAAGTGACACTATAAAAGGACATGCCTGGCAGTTTCCATTTTCTCCATACCGCATGAGCATACACACCCATAGTAGGAGAAACCTGTAATGTCTGGAGGAAGGACAATTCTTGTCTCCCGTCTTCTGTGAAAAAAGGCAGCTTGCCCATAAGGGCTGCAGGTAAGCAGGCTGTGATTCTGAGGGAAGAGTGCCGGAGGGGGCTATTGTGGGGGTTCCCATCAACAACTAAACCGAGATACAAACTAGCTGAAAGGCACATAGCATTCCCTTTCTGTTGCTGACAGGTGCTTGGCTGGATCGCCCAGCAGTTCCCTGCCTCAGTGACAATGCTCCCTGGCCAGGCTTGGACCCTGAAATGAAACTGCCAGAGAGGGGTTTGCTTTGTCCTTTTCCTGAAGATTTCCATGGAGTGGGGTGTTGTGTGGTTTCCAGGCGGTATGACCGTGTTTTAGCGGCATTTTCTCCTTTTTTGATTTTGCCTGTATTGATGGCTGGCATTTTCAGATGATCTGATGGTGGTAAAACAAGTGGAGAAGATATACCTGTGGAATGTGCAGAGTGAAAGAAGAGAACTATTGTCTTTTAACCAAGGGTAAAGGGTTCAATTGGCAAACTGGATTTGCATGTGTTGAGTGAGATCCACCCATTAGCATGTGAGTAACCATAAAGATAAAATAGTCAATTACTGAGGGCATATGCCTGAAAGTAGCCTGACCCTCGTTCCCTTCAAATTGATTGTTTCCAAGAGACATCCTTTTTCTGGGTGCCCTTTGATTGCTTACTTCTTGGAGACCTACTGTGTCTGGGTGGTGTTTATTATTCACTGTCTCAATTCTAGTGTTTTTCAATACTGGTAACCACATTTTGTTCATTTTCATGGTTTTTGATGGTTTTGACCTTTCTGTTGAAATTGTCCATGTGCAAGTAAGTGTGTGTGTGTGTGTATATATATACATATACATATACATATACATACATACATACATACATACATACATATATATATATATATATATATATATATATATCTGTACTTGCTTGTCTACTATCAGATTCTCTTAAGATGCCTGCCAGCCACAGATGCAGGCAAAACGTCAGAAGGAGAAAATGCTTCTAGAACCCGACCATACAGCACGGAAACCATGCAAAAAAAAAATTAACAAAATTATTACAAGTAAGATTAAGAAGAAAAAAAACAGAAAATGTCTTTTAGGGCTATTTAGAGAGAGAAATAGCAATGGAAAAGAAGAAATATGTAAATATATTTATTTACAACATTTATACTCTGCCCTTCCCACTCCGAAGGGGACTCAAGCTGGCCTCACAACAGGCAGCAATTTGATGCCATACACATATATGTCCATAAAATAAACAAATACAATTCACCCCCGCCAACACCAGAGATCCCTCCGTTCTGAGGACCAAGATTTATTGGAAATTCCCAGTGTCGAGACCTTGCGTCTAACAGCAACCAGACGCAGAGCCTTTACAGCAGTGGCACCATCACTCTGCAATACTCTGCCACCTGAAGTCCGTGCCTTGCGGGACCTATCAGCTTTCCACAGGGCATGTAAAACATATCTGTTTCGACAGGCCTTTGATATTGTTGTTTTTAAATTGTGTTAGATTTTAGCCTGTTCTTGTAAGCCGCTCCGAGCCCCAGGGGAGTGGCAGCATATAAGTTTGAATAATAAATAAATAAATGAATGAATAAATAAATAAATCCAAACAATTAAAACATCAATTATTAAAACATCAATTAAAATCACACAATCCAAACCAGATCCAGGGCCGTTCCACTATAGCTTTGTTGCAGCTAGATTACTAACAGTGAAATCATGAAAGGTGGAAAATAACTACTTATAAAAGACTGGAGAGAAAAACCATTAGATTATATTCAAATGGTCAAGCTATCCAATTGTATTCAGAGAGGAAATAATAAGAGTTCACCAAAAATGGAGGCTGGCACTTGGATATTTGGAAATAAAAATGTAGGTTATAAAGTAGCTGCAATGGCAATTTATTAAAGCAGGATAAGTTTTAATAGATTTAAGATTCACAAGTAGTAGTGACTGAAGTCATAAGTTGTGGGTTCACGGCTGTGGGGAAGGGGGGTAAGGGTGCAATAAAATGTTGTAATTCTATTGTTTGTTATTGTTTATTCCTTTTTTATGTTGGTTCACTTGTATTTTTTTTAGTTTTTTGTTTGCCCCACTTCCACCCTTCACCCCTGTGTTTGTTTAGTTGTATACAATAAAAATTACCCCCCCCCCCAAAAAAAAGACAATACTTCCATGAACCTTTCCTCAAATATGTGACAGAAGCCATCCTGTGACAGAAACTGTGGCTAAAGAGCCCAACTGGCAGCTGGCCCAAGAGGCCTCCTCCTCCATTGCTCAGCCTCTCTCCCTCCACAGTCTCCCTTCTCACCTGCGCTCCTTCTGCCGGTACATATTCAGGCGCCTGATAGTGGCCCGGTCCCGCATGTTGTGGCCTCCTGAGCCAGCCGGCCGATCTACAAAGACAGGTCTCCATCAATAACAGCACAGACCTCATTCAATTGGTGGAGTTGGGTGAGTTCCCAGTATTGTTCTCTTTCCAATTACATACTGGAGACAGGAGATCCAGCTACAGCTTTATCTCTGATCAGAGCAAACTGAGGTCCTTTCTACACTGCCATATAAAATCCAGGTTATCTGCTTGAATTGGATTATATGGCAGTATTCATTTATCATGTCAGAAGCAAATTGAGAATACAGTTACAATGTATATGACAGCGTAGACTCATATAATCCAGTTCAAAGCAGGTAATCTGTATTATCTACTTTGATCATCCAAATTATATGGCAGTGTAGAAGGGGCCCAAAGTTGCTGCTCGGTACCTTTGATAGCCCAAAGCAAAGTACCATGCATGCATGAGCAAACATTTCCCCATTCCCAATTTTTTGCCTCCCCTTGCCCCACTTTCTCTCAGTGCCTCTTTTCAAAAAAGATTCTCCCTCTCTTCCCCTTCCTCCTGTGCTCCCCCTTCCTTTTTCTTCAGGTAATAAATTCCTCTTGAAAAACCTTTTACCTATGATGCCACTTAATCCAGATTATCAAAGCAGATAACCCACATCCTCTGCTTTGATCTGAATTATGGAAGTCTACACAGCCATATATTCCAGTATAAAGCAGAAAAACAGGGATCAGATCCTGGGATACTGGCCTGTCTGGAAGGGCCCGTAGAAGGGGCTTAAGGCTGGATCTACACTGACATACAACCCAGATTATCAAAGCAGATAGTCCACATTGTCTCCTGTGCTATAATATAATGTAATATAATATATTGTATATACATATAATATTTATAATATTATAATGTAATACAATATAATACTGATAATAATGATATTATAATTTATTTATTTATTGTCATGTCAGGAGCAAGTCGCTTCTGGGGTGAGAGAATTGGCCGTCTGCAAAGATGTTCCCCAGGGGACGCCTGGATGATTTGATGTTTTTATCATCCTTGTGGGAGGCTTCTCTCATGTCCCCGCATGAAGAGCTGGAGCTGATAGAGGGAGCTCATCCGCCTCTCCCCAGATTCGAACCTGCGACCTGTCTGTCTTCAGTCCTGCTGGCACAGGGGTTTAACTCACTGCGCCACCGGGGGCTCCTATGATATTATAATTATATATATTTATATTACATGTAATATTACTAATAATATTACAATATAATGGTATAGTACACCACAGTAATATAAAATACTGATATTGTACTATGCTAATAATATAATATATTGTATGTCTACATATCTTGTAAGCGACTCTGAGTCCCCTTTGGGGTGACGTAAATGTCGTAAATAAATATGATCTGTTTTGAACTCATAGAATCATAAAGTTGGGAGAGACCTCATGGGCCATCCAGTCCAACCCTCTGCCAGGTTGCAGGAATATTGCATTCAAAGCACAGATGGCCATCTAGCCTCTGTTTAAAAACCTCCAAAAGAGGAGCCTCCACCACACTCCGGGGCAGAGAGTTCCACTGCTGAATGGCTCTCACAGTCAGGAAGTTCTTCCTCGTGTTCAGATGGAATCTCCTTTCTTGTAGTTTGAAGCCATTGTTCTGTGTCCTAGTCTCCAAGGAAGCAGAAAACAAGCTTGCTCCCTCCTCCCTGTGGCTTCCTCTCACATATTTATACATGGCTATCATATTTCCTCTCAGCCTTCTCTTCTTCAGGCTGATTTACCTCTCCGAACGTATTCTTCCCTACGAACCATCAAGATTACTAAGATCGTCTGGAGGGGCCCTGCTCTCGGTCCCACCGGCCTCACAAGCGCGGCTGGTGGGGACGAGGGACAGGGCCTTCTTGGTGGTGGCCCCGTGACTCTGGAACTCTCTCCCGCCAGAGGTTAGAACCACCCCAACAATCCTGACATTCAGAAAACAGGTGAAGTCATGGTTATGGTGACAGGCTTTCGAAGAATGAGACAATGATCTGGATGGAAGACTGTGTATATTCGATTTTAGTATGACGACTGACCACTGTAGTTTTAAATATATGTGCTTTTTTAATGTTTTATTGTAATGTGTATTTTAATATTTTACCGATTGTATGTTTTTATGGTTGGAAACCGGGCTGAGTCCCTCTTATGAGGTGAGAAGCTCGGTATATAAAACTTTGAAATACATATAAATAAATAATAAATAAACACGCCCAGCTCCTTAAGCCGCTCCTCATAAGGCTTGTTCTCCAGACCCTTGATCATTTTAGTCGCCCTCCTCTGGACACATTCCAGCTTGTCATTATATTAGTCTACACTGCCTTATAATCCGGTTCAAAGAACATACATCTGGATTTTATAAGGCAGTATAGATGGAGCCCTAGTTTCATCTTTCAATTGCTCATCCAAGGCTCCTCCCTCACTTTAAAGCAGCGGCTTCCTTCCAACAGGCCAAAAGTTTCCCAATCTGCTTTCCCAGCTGGTTTCGACTTCAGCTCCCAGAATCCCCTGGCTGCTATTACAGCAGCCAGGGGATTCTGGGATCTGAAGTCGAAACCAGCTGGGAAAGCAGATTGGGAAACTTTTGTCCTGCTTTATTGGCCGGCTTCCGTATCCGCGCCGCACAAGGGAAGCGTGGCCCTTCCTCCTTTCCGTCCCTCTCACTCTCGCTCCTCACCGGGGTTGGTGCTGGACCGGGAAGGGTTGATGGTCGCCCGGCCTTTGAACTTCGGCTTCACCATCGCGGCGGCGGCGGGCAAAGAAGACTCCGGAACCGTGAAAAGAACCTGTGCGCGACGGAGGCACACTGCAATGAGAGAACTTCCTCGCCGGAAGTCGGTCGTGATGCACTTCCGGAACACGCCGCGAGACCTCCCTGCAGGCTCCGCCTCCCGCTGCTTGGAAGACGCCGGGGGCGCGGTGACGTCACTCCTGGGGAGGTGGTAAGGGCGGGGCTTTGGGCCTGGGGGCGTGGTCTACAGGCTTCTCTCCTCCCTGCAGGAGGGCTGCCCTGCATTGCCTCCCATCTTCCTCCACCAGGCGCAGCAAGGGCCACACTTGGCACCCCAATAACATCAAGATGGCAGTGAGGGAACAAAGTTGTAGTGACAGTCAACAGGGCCCTATGCCTTCTGTTGTGTCCCCCTGCCCAGTCCATAGTAGAGCCTGGGCCTGGGTCTCATCCTGGGGGTGGAAGGTCCATAGAGCAGAGTATTGTGCATTAATACATGATTTTTTGTATTGTTAAATGTTTTTAAATTGTTGTTTATTCGTTCAGTCGCTTCCACCTCTTCGTGACCACACGGAGAGATATTGACAAGCTGGAATGTGTCCAGAGGAGGGCGACTAAAATGATCAAGGGTCTGGAGAACAAGCCCTATGAGGAGCGGCTTAAAGAGCTGGGCATGTTTAGCCTGAATAAGAGAAAGCTGAGAGGAGACATGAAGAGAGCCATGTATAAATACATGAGGGGAAGTCATAGGGAGGAGGGAGCAAGCTTGTTTTCTGCTGCCCTGGAGATTACGACACGGAACAATGGCTTCAAACTACAAGAAAGGAGATTCCATCTGAACATTAGGAAAAACTTCCTGACTGTGAGAGCTGTTCAGCAGTGGAACTCTCTGCCCCGAGTGTGGTGGAGGCTCCTTTGGAAGCTTTTAAACAGAGGTTGAATGGCCATCTGTCAGGAGTGCTTTTAATGAAATTTTCCTGCTTCTTGGCATGTGGTTGGACTGGATGGCCCATGAGGTCTCTTCCAACTCTATGATTCTATGACCAGCCCACACCAGAGCTCCCTGTCGGCCGTGGCCACCCCCACACCTTCAAGGTCAAGCAAGTCATTTCCAATAAATCTGCAAATAATGTGTGCAGATCCCAGTAGGGTGGCCTTTTGAAGCTGACAGATGGTAACTTTGTCAGCGCCAATTGTGTTTAAGTGCAAGCCAAGGTCTTTAAGCACTGCACCCAGTGTGCTGATCACCACTGGGACCACCTTTACTGGCTTGTGTCGGAGTCTTTGCAGTTCAATCTTCAAATCCCTATATCGTATCAGCTCCTTCAGATTCTTCTCATCGATCCTGCTGTCACTTGGGATTGCAACATCAACTATCCATTCTTAACACGATCATGAGATCAGGAGTATTGTGCTCCCAAACTCTGTCAGTCTGAATTCAGGCTTGTGGTCCCGCCAATTCTTTGTCACAGGCAGATGGTATTTGTGGCACAAGTTGCAATGGATCATCTGAGCAACAGTTGTTGTTGTTGTTGTTGTTGTTGTTATTTAAAATGGTAGAAGCACAAAGTGAAGAAGCTGAAGCCTCATTTTCTTCATACTGTACTCATTCCAGCCTCCCTCCCTCTCTCTCTCTTTCTTCATGAAGCCAAACATATCAGAATTAAAAACTACAGAGCAGACAGCAAAGCGGACAAGAGCATGAGGAACGAGGCACAGAGGCTGCTCCCTTGAAGCTCTAAAGCCTGTACTCGCACTAGCGCTTAACTCAAAATTCAGCTCTTATGTCAAAGCAAAACTTGGGCCAAGCAATAGCTCTTAACTCAAATGCTCTTAAGTTGGTATGCTCTTAAGCAGAGGTCCAATTGTATATAAAAAATAGTTAAAGAAAAGAGGAGTGTAGATGAGTGGTGGGGGGCTACATTGTCTTTTCATTGTGCAATGCCTGAGTTGACCTATTCCCAATGAAAAATTGGCCTTTTCAGTTCCTGGGAAGTCAAAAAGAGACTGTGTGGGGCAGGAAGTATGGTGCAATTATAGTGGATGTCCTTTCCCCATTTTCCCTCATTCACATCTGGGCTGCTTGCTCTGTGCGCTTGACATTCTTCCTCCTGTGGGATTTTGAAAGCAAAACACTCTCCACAACTAATTCCTTGAGCCCTTCTTAGCGGCAAGTATGGTTCCCATTAAGGCCGATATCCATCTGGGGGGCTGGGAGGGCTCTGGATCTCCGGAGGCTCAGACTAAATAGTTGAGTCATGCTTGCTCTCCTCACCCCTCGCTGCCTGGCCTTTTTTTCCTACGAAAACACACTTTGTGTGCTTTTGGGGGGAGACTCGACACCTGTTTTGGTGCAAGGACCCAACATGCCCATTTCAGGAAAGTGGCCCAAGTCACGGCTGGAAATGAGACAAAAATAGACTAAAGATCATGGATTAGTGCACACTATTTTGCCCTGTGTTCAATAGGGGATAAAAAAGAAACTCATTCTGGGATGTGCAAAAGTTCACAGGCCATGGGAAATGAAAGAGGTAGGGTCATGAAATGGGCATTTCAGTGGGCAATACCCTTCTGCCTTTCTTTCTGTTACTCGTTTAAGGCTTGACTTGCCCCTTTGCCTCTTTCTCCTGCTTCTCCAATTTTCTTTCTGTCCCGTTTGTTGCATTTGTGGATTTGTAACCCCAAAACTTTGATTTTCCTGCTCATTCTTGCAAAGTGCATTGAGGCAGAGCCTTGCGATCTCACACCTGTGCGCTCTCTTAGCAACTCTGAGCAACAGCTGGGAAATCATTCCCATCGAGGAAATGAGCCTTTTCCAGTTAACCGGGATCTCAGTTCTGTTTCACTTTAGGCCATTTTTTGCTGCGTCATTTCAACAAAGCCTCTGGATCCAGAGGAACTGCAGACACATAAGCAAAACAAACAGCCTCAAAGGCCTGACCGTCTCGCCTTCCTCTCAACACATTGGGTTTTCCTGGGAGAGAGACAGCAAACAGTCCCATCCACTGTCTTTGGGGAAAGGGTAGACCCTGCTCCATTTATTCATGTGCTGGATGAAGGTGGCTGACATGAGGGATGGTCCAGGAATGGCAATTGTATGCCTTCAAGTCACTTCCTACTTAGGGCAATCTTACTGCAGACTCATCACGGGGAATTCGCAGCTGTATTTTCTGGTATCCTTTTCCTAATTATTCATTTCTGCTGAGTTGGACCACTGAAAAAGTGTCATGAGTTGAAGGCGCACACACCACGCAGAGTATAAACCAAGATCTCTTTGCAGTGCCAAGCCATTCCAATGTAAACAAGGCACAAGGGAGGTATATACATTCCCTGCGTTGCTATGGAGCCCTGAGACTAGTAAATTATTATTGGGGGGCTTCACATGAACAGGCTCCACCGACCTGCCAGCAGAACTGCGAAAGTCGGGATTTATATTAAACACGGCCGGAGCAGATAATCCTCCCCATCCGTCTCTGCTGGGAAGGGGACCAAGCTGGCTGGCCCTCTGCGGAGGAGAGTCCTCTGGGGGGAGAGAGGGGAGGGAACCCTGGCCTTCCGCCTTGCATGCCACTTTATTTCTTTTGCATAGCTGCTCATTCTTTGCTACTTAACATTTCTCTCTTTTTACCCATACCTTGCTCAAAGGGGGCAGTCCAACTGCTCTTTGGGGACCCCAAAGGTGAGGCCTCTCCATGGAGTGCACAGTTCATGGAGTTCTGTGGAGTGTCCCTTCATCTTTCTCTCCCTTTTAGGACACCTTTCCCCATGCTGTTTCTTCTGCTTTCCACACATCTTTAAAAAAATTAATATAAGTGTACACATTATAACATAACTATTGGTATATAAAGCCACCAATTAACAGTAGTAATTTTACGCTTTTAAACAGAGACTGGATGGCCATCTGTCAGGGGTGATTTGAATGCAATATTCCTGCTTCTTGGCAAGGGGTTGGACTGGATGGCCCATGAGGTCTCTTCCAACTCTTTGATTCTATGATTCTATGATTCTATGAGCATCTTATTTGAACGAAAACTTCCTGATCCTACACCAGGATGATAGATTCTTATGATACTCTGTAGTATCAAAGCTCTTAACAGGCAATGTATACTTATAATTATATATATGTTTTGGAGAGGTTCGAAGCTTTAGTCGGTTTTACTTCCCATTACAGGCAAAACCAGCTGATTCCCAATCCATCTAAAACACAGACGTGTGCTTTTCACCTTAAGAACAGACAAGCATCTTGAACTCTGAGCATTACTTGGGAAGGAACCCCACTAGAGCATTGCAGCACACCCAAATACCTGGGAGTTGCCCTGGACTGTGCTCTGAACTACAAGAAGCACCGTTTCAATATCAAGCAAAAAGTGGGTGCTAGAAACAATATCATACGAAAGCTGACTAGCACAACCTGGGGATCACAACCAGACACAGTGAAGCCATCTGCCCATGCACTTTGCTACTCTCCTGCTGAGTACGCATGCCCAGTGTGGAACACATCTCATCACGCTAAAAGAGTGGATGTGGCTCTTTAATGAGACATACCGCATTATCACAGGATTTCTACACCCTACACCACTGGAGAAATTATACTGTTTAGCCGGCATTGCACCACCTGACATCCACCAGGAAGTAGCAGCCAATAATGAAAGGACCAAGGCAGTGACATCCCTGGGCCACCCTGTTTGGATATCAGCCGGCACACCAATGCCTTAAATCAAGAAATAGTTTTCTAAGATCTACAGAGATACTTGCAGGAACACCTCAGCAAGCGAGAGTCCAAAAGTGGCAGGCTAAAACCTGGAACCTCAATCAATAGCTGATACCAGATGAGAGATTCCCTCCTGGGCACACAGAAGAATGGGTGACTTGGAAGGTGCTGTACAGACCATGCTCTGGCACCACGTATACAGAGCCGACCTGAAGAAATGGGGCCACAAAGTGGAATCCACGACATGTGAGTGTGGAGAAGAAGCAAACCACAGACCACCTATTACAATGCAACCTGAGCCCTGCCACATGCACAATGGAGGACCTTCTTATAGCAACACCAGAGGCACTCCAAGTGGCCAACTACTGGTCAAATGATATTTAGTATAATGCCAAGTTTTTAGGAAAACATTGTGTTTTTTAAATACATTACAACTGTATCCTCGGTTTGCTTCTGATACGATAAATAAATACATTTTATATACATGTAAAAGGTACCTTAACCCCCCCCCCCCCGCCCCAAAATTAGTCTGCTGTTATTGTTGCTAGCTATTTTTGTTATGATGTTTTATGCTGTCTTTATGCTGTTTTAATTGTTATTGCTTTATTTTAATTGTATTCTGCTTGGGCTTGGGCCCCATGTAAGCCGCCCCGAGTCCCTTCGGGGAGATGGAGGCGGGGTAGAAAAATAAAGTTCTTCTTCTTCTTCTACACAAAGTATCATAACCTTGCTCTTCTTTGTGTTGGTGTATTTTAGTCACTCAATGCCATTATGGACCTGCATTTAACTGTTCTACCTATATGTTCTCCAAAAGGCTTTGAATTATTTTGTCTTCCAAGGAGAGAAGTCAGTCTATCAAATTCTGCAAAGTTTAGCAGTTTGGTCAACCAATCACTAACAGATGGAACAATACTTTCTTTCCTCACATCTTGAAAAAGGAGAATCCATGAGTGCTTTAGCTGTGGATTTCTGCTACTGAGTGAAGGGGGTTGGACTAGATGTTCCCTGGTGTCCCTCTGACTCTAAGATTCCATCCTGAAATTCTTGTTCCCACCATGTTTGGTCTCCGAGGTCAGGCCTGAAGCAACGTGTGGCCTGACTCCAAGGAAAGCCCTCATCTTGCCAGGAAAGCCAAGGGTCGGCAGGATCACTGGGCCCAAAAGAGCCATGTGTTTCTCACTTTCTGAGAGGGAGACCCTCTTTGGCTCTGGCCTCCAAGCTCCTCTGCAGCCATTCAAAGACTGGGAGGAGTCCTTGCTTGGAATGGTACTCATTTATCATCGCCCTGAAATAGAACACCTTCCAAAAGATAGAACGGCTTGCTGTTTACTTGAGCACAAAGTGGATGCCAGCCTCGTTGGATGGATCTCAATGCAGCCCTGGAACCAGGACAACTATGCCGCTCCCCCGGTTGGATGGAGCCAGGAAGGCCGCTCAGTAGCCTCTCCCAGAAACGCCAGGCTGAACTGGGAAGGGAAAGGGGCATGTAAACACCAAGGTTGGCAATCAGTGACCCTTCTGTCTGGCCAGGTACTTTGGGGGGGGGGGGTGTATGAAGGGGAAGGGGCTGAGGGGTTTTCAGAGGAGGGAGCCCCCAAGTATTCCATGTGTATTTACACTGCCCAGCTTCACAGGTCCTGCAGGAATGGGTTAAAGTAACCTTTATTTCAACCGATTTGCCTTGTGTGGGTTGGGCACCCTGTTCCCTGTCAGATTGTCCCAGTCCCTTTGTCCTCCCTCCTGCCCTCTCTAAAGTGGCAGAGCAAGGACCCATTTCAATCTGGAGGACCACGCACAAGATTTCCCGAAGGAGTCAGTCCATTGTGACAAGAGCAACAAAGCATCTCTTGATAAGCTTTAACGGGTACGTTTTATTCGGCACAAGCCCCATGCATCTGGTGAGCTGAGCTAATAGAGTCTGTGCCAGCTTTATGCCAAGGGCGACCCTGTGAACCTTTGAAGTCCTACACGAGGCTTTGCTATGCCTTCTTTTATAATACTGCCTTTGATTCTCAGGTGATTCCCTGGGAACAGTCCTCTGGCCACAGCAAAGGAAGCACCATGGAGAGCTGCCCTGTCATTACCGGTAGCTGCTTTGAGTCTCCTTGTGGAGAGAAAAAGCAAGGTATAAATAAACATACACATTATTATTATTATTATTATTATTATTATTATTATTATTATTATTATTCCAGGGGAAAATTGAGAGCCAAATTGACAAAGAAAAAACATGGCTGTGGCTCACAAATGGAACTTGGAAAAAGGAGACATAGGAGGGCCTGATTCTGGCAGCCCAAGAACAAGCCATTAGAACAAATGCCATCAAAGCCAAAATTGAGAAGTTGACAACAGATCCCAAGTGTAGACTCTGCAAGGATGCAGATGAAACAATAGATCACATCCTCAGCTGCTGCAAGAAGATAATGCAGACAGACTACAAGCAGAGGCATAACATCGTTGCTTAGATGATTCATTGGAACTTGTGTCACAAATACCATCTGCCTGCGACAAAGAACTGGTGGGATCACAAGCCTGAAAAAGTTACAGAAAATGAACATGTCAAACTACTCTGGGACTTCCAAATTCAGACTGACAGAATTTTGAGCACAATACTCCTGACTTCATGATTGTGTTAAAAAACAAAGTATGGATCGTCGATGTTGCAATCCCAGGTGACAGCAGGATTGATGAGAAACAACTAGAAAAGCTGACACAATACAAAGATTTAAAGATCGAACTGCAAAGACTGGCAAAGCCAATGTGGTCCCAGTGGTGATCCACACACTGGGTGCAGTGCCTAAAGACCTTGACCTGCACTTAAATACAATCAGTGCTGACAAAATTACCATCTGTCAGCTGCAAAAAGGCCACCCTACTGGGATCTCCACGCATTATTCGCCGATACATCACGTAGTATTAGACACTTAGGAAGTCTCCAGCGTGTGATCCAATACAACAACCAACTTAGTGATGTTGTCTGCTGTGTACTAATCCTGTTGTGTATCAAATAGCAACAACAACAACAATAATAAGGTCCCTCTGGCCATCACAATAGCTTCAGGCCACGTCTCCTCCACATTGTACTCAGAGAGAGGCCCCCTGGTGGCACAGCGGGTTAAACCACTGAGCTGCTAAACTCACTGACCAAAAGGTTGCCGATTCGAATCCAGGGAGCAGGGTGAGCTCCCGCTGTTAGCCCCAGCTTCTGCCAACCTAGCAGTTCGAAAACAATCAAATGTGAGTAGATCAATAGGTACTGCTTCTGAGGGAAGGTAACAGTGCTCCATGCTGTCATGCTGGCCATAGGACCTTGGAGATGTCTATGGACAACACCGGCTCTTCAGCTTAGAAATGGAGATGACCACCAATCCCAGAGTCGGACATAACTGGACTTAATGTCAGGGGAAACCTTTATCTTTTTACTTTAGAGAGAAAACCCATGCCTGGCATTCAAGCCTGTTCCTGAAGTACAGAAATACTATCCTCTGAAGTTCCCACCTGGAAAACAAAGAAGGAGGATATACAAATGCAGGAACCAGATTTTTTTTGGGGGGTGGGGTATTTTAATTTGAGATTTGGAAGCAATTTTAGAACGGATGCCCCTGAATGTGGATCACCAACATGGAAGACATGCATTCTCTGTGGTGCAGCTTGAATCACAAGAGAGAAGGAAGGGAAGAAGCCTTTATGCATTTCCAGATCTTGAGCAAACCCTTTCCAGTCTCAGCCTTGGAGCCGGAAACCACATCTGCCCCGTTTCCATGGGCAGCTCCTCAGCTAGAGATGTCCGCTGACCAGCTCTCCTCAAAGGAGATGCCCCAAGGGTCCATTGCTCTCCTCAAGGAGTCTGGGCCTGTGTCCATGCCGCCCTGGATGTCTTCTGGCCCGTGTGTCCGGACATCTCTGTCCAGCTCCCTTGGTCCGGTTTGAAGGCACATTTGTGTCCATAGCAGCAGTGGAGGGGCCTCTACTGAGGAGGGCTGGTGGTCGACGACATTCCCTCCTGGGGCTGCTGGCCCTTCCTTCTCCTGGCGCCCGTCCGGTTCTCCTTGCCCTCTTTCCGGCCCCTGTCTTCCTTTGCGAGTCCTCGGCCATCCTTATTCTTCTTCCGACCTGCAACCAAACAGAAGGCTGTCAATGGGCCAAGGAACACACTGCCCTCGGGTTAGAAGTCCAGTGGCACATAACCCCACAAAGATTATCAAAATGTTTTTAAAATGCCTCAAATAAGTGTTGGAAATGCAACCACCAGATAGGCACTTTTTTCCATATCTGGTGGTCATGTAAAAAAGCAAAAAAATTGGATTGCTATACATCAGGAAATTCAAAAAATATTAAAAACTAGAATGAAGTTGAAACCAGAGGGTTTTTTTATTAGAGAAGCTGAACTTGGAAAAAGAAAAAAATAAAGAGATCCTTTTCAATTTTTTATGTACAGCAGCAAGGATAGCGTACGCTAGAAATTGGAAGCTAAAAGACACACCTACGATAGATTGGCAATATAAAATATTAGAAATAATGAATATGGATAGACTTACTTATTGGATAACACCCAATCAAGGGCTACCTAAACAACAGACGAACTGGGACCTAGTAAAAGATTATTTAAAGCAATCTAAACTAAAACTAAGAATATAGAAGAAAAGAAAGTAGAAATTAGGGGTGAATAGTTTTCTGAGACATTTAATGGCCAGTCTGGGGATTATGATGTACTGAGAAGTTGAAAGAAAAGGAACATAGGCGATACCCGACCACCGGAGAACAGATGGAAGTCACTGATTTTTAAAAATATTTTCTTCTTTTTTAAATTTTTTGTTATGGTTCGTGTTTCTCTCTCCCCCCCTATATATATATATACACACACACACACACACACACACACACACACACATATACATATATATATTCTTTTTTCTTCTTTTTTCATTTATATATCTTTTCCCCCACTTTTCTATATCACCATTGTTCTCCCACTTTACATGTATCCCACTTCTCTCCCTTTTTTAAAAACCTCAATAAAAATTAATTTTAAAAAAGAAGGCATGTAATGAGGAGGGGAGGAAACGGCCTATGGGATTCATGGGACACACCACCACCACCACCACCCCACCCCCGCTGCCTTTTCCACCACTATGTGGAGATGTTGAGTTTCATCCCTGGACTGCACAAGTCTCTTGTGTCATCAAGTATCCAGAGCTCAATGAGTAGCTAGACTAGAGATAGGATTAGGCTGAGGGATTCCCCCACATTCCTATGTATGTTTCCCAAAAGGGCTTTGCCTTTATTCTTCCTCCGTTCCACTATCTCCTCCCCTTTGATGATGTAGGAATGGAATTCTGTGAGGGAACTTCCTTTTTTAAAGGTATTTTTATTGCCCTGGGCTGGCCATGTGGCCTTTCACCATTCTTCCACCTAATTCCAAGGAAGCCTCTCGAGTGCTGGACGAGTGCCTGGCCGCTGTGGCCGTCTGGATGAGGAGGAACAAGCTGAAGATCAATCCCGACAAGACAGAGGTCCTCCTGGTCAATCGAAAACCGGATCGGGGTATAGGGTGGCAACCTGTGCTCGACGGGGTTACACTCCCCCTGAAGTCACAAGTCCGCAGTTTGGGAGTCCTCTTGGATTCATCACTCGTGCTTGAGGCTCAGGCGTCGGCGGTGTCCGGGAGGGCTTTTGCACAATTGAGACTTGTGTGCCAACTGCGACCATACCTCGCAAAGGCTGATCTGGCCGGGGTGGTCCACGCCTTGGTCACCTCTAGATTGGACTACTGTAATGCACTCTACATGGGGCTGCCCTTGAAAACGGCTCGGAAATTTCAGCTAGTCCAGTGGGCGGCGGCCAGGATGTTATCTGGTGCTCCTTACAGAGAGAGGTCAACCCTCCTGTTCAAGGAGCTCCATTGGCTGTCGTTCATTTTCCGGTCCCAATTCAAGGTGCAGGTGCTCACCTACCAAGCCCTAAACGGTTTGGGACCTGCCTACCTGCGTGACTGCATCTCCGTTTATGAACCCGCACGTTCCCTTCGATCATCTGGAGAGGCCCTGCTCACGATCCCACCTGCATCGCAGGCGCGCTTGGTGGGGACGAGGGACAGGGCCTTCTCTGTGGTGGCCCCCCGACTCTGGAACCCTCTCCCTAAGGACATCAGACAAGCCCCAACATTGGCAGTCTTCAGGAAGAGCCTGAAGACCTGGCTGTTCCAGTGTGCCTTTCCAGAATAGGAAACTTCCAGCATCAAGTCCCAAATGCACTTTGTTAGAGATTTAGGATTATCTGCACATTGCACCTACCTCCAAATACCTCTACATATTACTGTCAAGTTCAGCACTTTTAAATTTTGTTTATTACATTTGGCCCGGCCTTTAGGTTTTAAATTGCGTCACTGTGTCATCGTTTTACTGTTTTATTGTCTGCTTGAGGTTTATTATTTGCTTATGAGTTTTATTTCATTTTTTGAGTTTTATTGTATATTGTATGTTGTTGTTGTCAGCGGCCTTGTTGTTGTATGTTGTTGTTGTCAGCATATTGTATGTTGTTGTTGTCAGCCGCATCCAGTCCTTTGGGAGATTTTGCGGGGTATAAATAAAGTTAATAATCTTCCACTCTTCTGCTTTTCTTTCTACCTATGAGGATGCACATTTTGCCTCCCTCTAGGCAAAATGTACCTGCATGGACTTTTTACCCTTTTACCTCTTTACAATCTGAAATTTAGTAAGCTAGTGAGTTCCAAGACCTTTTCCCTCAATAATGTATTTCTTTTACTTCAATAAATACTTCTGAAGCTAAAGTTCTGACTCTGCAATCCTGTGCCATCCCAAGAAAATAGAAGCTTCTCTCAGCTCATCACACGTAAGTTTCTGCTGGTTATGAAATTTGCTTCTGGTACTCTGCTATATTTATGGTGGAATCAGCCCAACTAGGGTTATTTTGAACCTAACAGCTCAGATTCCCCCAAAAGGAGCAAACCGCAACCCACAAGGCCATTTCTTTGGGCTTTGGCTCCCCTTCTGGGGCTGTATTTCAAGCTATTGGTTCCAAGGTGACTTTTCTCATTGGCCTTGGATGAGCCACCTTCAGCAATTGGCTCCTTGGGGTTGCTGCTGCTGGGTTTTGGGGTCATTCTCTTGGCCTTTTTCCTTTTCTATGGGATTCCAGTCTTTCTCCTGGCAAGCATTTTGTTTTTGGAGAGGCAACTGTTTCTGTTCTGCTCCTGGCAGGGATTGGGCTTGCTTGCTGATGGGCTTTTATCTGTTAACCTTTTACCGCGTCTGTTCTTAATGTACGTTTGATGGAGATTTCGTAAAATTCTGCACCACCGTGGGCGTTTTTCCATTAAGGAGAACGATATAAATGGTATTAGTAGCAGAAATGAAAAGCAGCAGACAGATATGGAGGGGGATGTATCTGTCTGGAGTTTTTCCCAACCTTTCATGGCAAAGGAGTGGGGAGGAGCACGAGGTCCCACAAAAGAGAGTTCACAATCCCATTCACCTTCTGGACATGGATTCCTCTGCACCGTGCATCTCCGGAGCTCTGTGATGGCCGGACAGATTGACTCCTCCCCGAAGGGCGCTTGGAGGATCCTTCTGGAACGCTCTTCATTGCCCCGCCGGAACCCACACGCCTTCCGCTTCTTCAAGCAGGGCCCCCAGGGGCCCCATTCACTCATTTCACATTGGGCTGCAACAGGGAAAGAGGAGGTGGGGGCTTTTAGTGCAGATCTGCCACCTGCCATTACTGCTGCTATATACACACACCAATCTTGGACCAATTGCTCATCAAACCCTGGGGCCCTTCAACAGTGATTCTCAACCTGTGGGTCCCCAGATGTTTTGGCTCTTCAACTCCCAGAAATCCTAACAGCTGGGATTTCCGAGAGTTGTAGGCTAAAACACCTGGAGACCCACAGGTTGAGAACTGCTGCTCAAAGAAGTCACAGATCTGGAAAGGTATACATCCAAAACACCCCCCCCCCCCGATTGGCAGAGAGAGGGGAAGGAGGGGGCCTAAGGGAACACAGAGAGACTGCCTCCTGTCTGCACTGAGGTCCTCTGGGGAGAGAGGGAGAGTTCCCCATGCAGTTACTGATCTTCTTTGCTCCCCAGTCTCAGGAGAAGGGAATGCAGCCCCCCACAGTGACACTAGACCAGCGTTTCTCAACCTGGGAGTCGGGATCCCTGGAGGGGGGATGGTCCTAGACCAGAGTTTCTCAACTGGGGGTTGGGGGTCCCGGGGGGGGGGGTCTAGACCAGCATTTCTCAGCCTGGGGTCGGGATCCCTGGGGAAGACAGCATCATGAGAGACAAAATCATAATGTTGTACAAGATAGATGGCTGCAACAAAAGGGGAAGACTGGATTACAGATAGAGTGACACCACCATGGAAGCAATGGCTGAGTCTGCAAGACCTAAGCCAGGCGGCTGGGGATAAGAGGGCACAGAAGTCTCTCTTCCAACTTATCATGTCTGTTGTTGTGTGCCTTCAAGGCATCTCCAACTTACAAAGGCCTCAAGACAGTTTCTTGGGGGTTTCCTGGTAAGATCTAGCTAGAGCAGCATTTCTCAACCTGGGGGTCAGGACCCCAGGGGGGTTGCAAGGGGGGTGTCAGAGGGGTCGCCAAAGACCATAAGAAAACACAGTATTTTCTGTTGGTCATTGGGGTTCTGTGTGGAAAGTTTGGCCCAATTCTATCATTGGTGGAGTTCAGAATGCTCTTTGATTGTAGGTGAACTATAAATCCCAGCATCTACAACTCCCAAATTTTCAAGGTCTATTTTCCCCAAACTCCACCAGTGTTCACATTTGGGCATATTGCGTATCCGTGCCAAGTTTAGTCCAGATCCATCATTGTTTGAGTCCATAGTTCTCTCTGGATGTAGGTGAACTACAACTCCAAAAATCAAGGTCAGTGCCCACCAAACCCTTTCAGTATTTTCTGTTGGTCATGGGAAGTCAGTGTGACAACTTTGGTTCAATTCCATCATTAGTGGAGTTCAGAATGCTCCTTGATTGTAGATGAACTATAAATCTCAGCAACTTCAACTCCCAAATGACAAAATCAATTCCTCCCAACTCCACCAGTATTCAAATTTGGGTGTATCGGGTAATTGTGCCAAATTTGGTCCAATGAATGAAAATACATCCTGCATATCAGATATTTACATGATGATTCATAACAGTAGCAAAATTACAATTACGGAGTAGCAACAAAAATAATGCTTTGATTGTGGGGTTACCACAACATGAGGAACTGTATTAATGGGTCATGGCATTTGGAAGGTTGAGAGCCACTGGTTTAGACAAAAAAAAAAGGGGGGGGGTTAGAGAGAGAGAGATGGGAAATTTTCTCCTCAAAGCAATAAGGGAATAGATGAAAGAGGAGAAAGTTCAAAAGACAGAGCTTGATGACCTGCAAGAAGGGCAATTGTTGTTGTGAATTGCTGTTGTAAACTGCGGATAAGGAGGCACCGGAAAAGGAAAAAGGGAAAGAGAAGTGTGAATGAAATAGTTTGTGTGCTCATGCCAGGCATGTAGCGGGAGGGCGGGGGCTCTAGGGGCTTCAGCCCCCCCCCCCAAATTCTCAGGGTGGTCCGCGAGAAGGCCTTACTGGTACATTATTTAAACTGTTATGTTTATTCATATCATGATCTGATCACCATGCTCAATATATCCCATATGCATGGGGGTATTGGGATAACGATACAAAAGGTTTGCTAGGGTAGACCCTCACCCCTCTTTGAATCAAACTCAGCCCCCCCCCCCCAAAAAAAAAACAAACAAACTCAGCACCCCCCTAATCAAAATCCTGGCTACGGGCCTGGCTCATGCTTAAAACCTTTGACTATAAAATACCCTGAGCTGCGTCATAGAGTGCGGAACTTTTTTCTTGCCCGCCCAATGGAGATATGTGATCAAATAATCTGGCCCTGATCTGGCCGGGGTGGTCCATGCCTTGGTCACCTCTAGGGTGGATTACTGTAATGCGCTCTACGTGGGGCTGCCCTTGAAAACGGCTCGGAAATTCCAACTGGTCCAATGGGCAGCCAGGATGTTAACTGGCGCTCCTTACAGAGAGAGGTCAACCCTCCTGTTCAAGGAGCTCCACTGGCTGCCGTTTATTTTCCGAGCCCAATTTAAGGTGCAGGTGCTTACCTACAAAGCCCTGAACGGTTTGGGACCAGCCTACCTGCGTGACCGCATCTCCGTCTACGAACCCACGCGTTCACTTCGTTCATCTGGAGAGGCCCTGCTCGTGATCCCGCCTGCGTCGCAAGCGCGTTTGGTGGGGACAGGAGACAGGGCCTTTTCTGTGGTGGCCCCCCGACTCTGGAACTCCCTCCCCAAAGATCTTAGACAGGCCCCTATATTGGCAGTCTTCAGAAAGAACTTGAAGACCTGGTTGTTCCGATGTGCCTTCCCAGAATAGGAAATCTCCAATACCAAGTCCCAGAAGCACTTTATTAGAATTAAGATTGCCACACACTGCACACTGCACTTGCCCTATAAGCCTTACATATCACCTGTCACATCAGCACTTTTAATTCTGTACCCTTTACTCTGGCCCGGCCCAGTTTTATTGTGTTTTGGTGTATTGTTTATCGCTTGTTGTTTTGTTGTTTTAATATTGCTTTAATTGTTTTAATTTGCTTTAGGTGTATTGTTATGTTGTGTATTGAGGCCTTGGCCTTTGTAAGCCGCATTGAGTCCTTCGGGAGATGCTATCAGGGTACAAATAAAGTTAATAATAATAATAATAATAATAATAATAATAATAATAGTAGTAGTAATAAATCTGTGGTGCTTGATCTCCTCGCTTCATAGTGTCCAATTGGAGAAAGACCCTAGAGAAGACATGGGCAAACTTCAGCTCTCCAGCTGTTTTGGACTTCAACTACTGGCTGTTAGGAATTGTGGGAGTTGAAGTCCAAAACACCTGGAGGGCTGAAGTTTGCCCATGCCTGCCCTCGAGGTTTTGGGGTGGCCTTTTCGAAGTGACACAGCAGTGGGTTTCAACACCACCCAACTCCCTTCCCTTTTTGCCCAATGGGCCTATACTGTATTGGCCCTGCCAGGCAAGACCCCCTTCCCAAAAGAGCCCCTTGTGGGACTCACCAGGGCTGCTGCATTCCAGAGTGCTGTTGGCTGCTGAGAAGTCCTGGGCGCACGCATAGCATCGTCCTTTGTGCAAGTAGAAGCCTTCCTTGCACTTTGTGCAAAAGTTGCGGCTGAAGCATTCCTCACAGTTCTCGATTTTGCATTCTGGGCCCAGCAAGGAAGGGAGGGAGGGAGAGAAATGAGACTCGTCAGCTGGAACTGCCCCTTTGAAGGCCTGTCCACTCTGCCCTCCCCGCCTCCCGCCACATCTTTTCCTGTGTCACCAAATCTCAGGGTGTTCCATCCAAGCCATGGACATGATGCCCACCGCTGTTCAATTTGAAGGAATGTAATTGGCCTGTCATTTGGAGGGAATTTGAAGGAAAGCTAGCACTGGTGGCTGGGGATGTTAACTCCCATCTTTGACCGTGGCACTCTGAAGACTTTGAGCTCAGGACCAGCTCCTCCTAAGCCCTCCACTTGCCCCCCACTTGAGACTCACTGATGCACTTGTTCATGTCTGGGTTCCGCAGGCCAAAGTAGCCCCCCGGACAGGAGGGGAGGCAAATGCCGGTCTGGCGAATGTCGTTCCGCTCCAGGAGGATGAAGAGTTTGGGGGAGCAGCGGAGGCAGCCATTGAACTCGGAGCAGAGGTCGCACCCCTTGGCACAGCCCTGGCTCATCTCGGCACTGACTGCAAATAAGAAGAGAAGGAGGTAGAAGAAGAAAAGCGAGGGAAAAGAGAGTGGCATGAGAAGGACCACAGTAGAGCCAGGCCGCCATCTGATCCATACCTTGGGAAGTCTGACTTGGCCACCGTGGTCCACGCTCTGGTTACATCCTGAATAGACTACTGCAACGCACTCTACATGGGGTTGCCTCTGAAGACTGTTCGGAAGCTCCAACTAGTCCAACACTCGGCAGCCAGGTTGCTCACGGGAGTGGGGTACAGGGAGCCCACAACCCCCCTGTTACACCAGCTCCACTGGCTGCCAATTAACTTCTGAGCACAATTCAGAGTGCTGGTTTTAACCTACAAAACCCTACACGGGTTTGGGCCTGGTTTACCTGTCCGAACGTATCTTCTATAAACCATCAAGGACTTTAAGATCTTCTGGAGAGGCCCTGCTCTCGGTCCCACCATCTTCACAGGCGCGTTTGGTGGCGACGAGAGACAAGACCTTCTCTGTGGTGCCCCCCCAGCTATGGAACTCTCTCCCCGGTGAGATTAGGTCTGCCCCCTCTCTCCTGTCATTCAGGAAGCAGCTAAATTCCTGGCTTTGGAATCAGGCATTTGCAGATTGATGAATGATTTGATATAGACTAAGAGTTATTTGGCCACAGCGTTTTGGACTGAGTTGGATGTTGTTTTTAATGTGATGAATGGTTTTTATATGTATTTTAGATCTTATTTACTGTATGTTGTTTATGACATTATTTATTGTTTAGCATGGAATTTTACTGTTAGCTGTTCTGAGTCCCTCCACAGAGGTAGAGACGAACGGGATACAAAGCTTCTAAATAAATAATCCTTGCAGCAGGACTTGGGATCAGCCTCTTAGGGTTGCATGTCCAGAGCACTGTCCAAAACCTGGTTGTCTCTCTGCCCACATGAATGTGCTGGGTTTCATTCCTGGACTGCACAAGTCTCTTGTGTCATCAAGTTTTCAGACCTCAATGTGTAGCTAGACTAGAGGTAGGATTAGGCTGAGGGATTCCTCCCCCAACATTCATGTTTCCCAAAAGGACTTTGTATTTATTTATTTGCCATACTTGTACCCCGACAGGGGGGCTCAAGGCGGCTTACAATGGCACAACGTCATGCCTCAACACAATCACCTAAACATTTCAAAAATTGCAACATATTAAAGAGAGTTAAAACAAACTTAGAAAGTTAAAAACTTAGAAAACATGCCATCCAAGTTCACGGTCTGAGTTCGTTCCGAGGTCAATTGCTCAAGGTTTTGATTCAAAAATACTGCATTGCCTTAATTTCCAAAGGCCTGCTCACAGAGCCAGGTTTTGACTCTTTTACTAAAAGCTAATAGGGAGGGAGCTACTCTGATGTCACTTGGGAGGGAGTTCCACAACTGAGGGGCCACCACTGAGAAGGCCCTGATTCTTGTCCCCACCAGCTGCGCTTGTGAGGCCGGCGAGACCAAGAGCAGGACCTTCCCAGAAGATGTTAATCTATGTGCTGGTTCATAGGGGATGATACATTCGGACAGGTAGCCTGGGCCAGAACCATTTAGGGCTTTATAGGCTAAAGCCAGCACTTTGAATTGTGCTCAGTAGCAAACTGGCAGCCAGTGGAGCTGACGCAGGAGGGGAGTTGTGTGCTCACTGACCGCCACTCTAGTGAGCAACCTGGCTCCTGCTTGCTGGACCAGTCGGAGCTTCCGAATAGTCTTCAAAGACAATCCCACATAGAGCACGTTGCAGTTATCTATACAGGATGTAATCAGAGCATGAACCACAGTGGCCAAGTCAGACTTCCCAAAATATGGGAGCAGTTGGTGCACAAGTTTTAACTGTGCAAAAGCTCCCCTGACCACCACCAAAACCTGTGGTTCCAGGCTCAGCAATGAGTCTAGGATCACTCCCAAGCTGTGAACCTGCGCCTTACTCGTTCTCCTTGCCACTGTCTCCTCCCCTTTGATGATGTAGGAATTGAATTCTGTGAGGGAACTTTCTGTTTAAAAGGTATTTTGTTGCCTTGGGCTGGCCATGTGACCATTCACCATTTTCCAGTCTCTTCTGCTTTTCTTTCTATGAGGATGCATATTTTTTGCCTCTCTCTAGGCAAAATGTATCTGTATGGACCTTTTACCTTTGATGACATAGTAATGGAATTCTGTGAGGGAACTTCCTCTGAAGTTTAAACTGCCCTGGGTTGACCATGCGGTCTCCACCATTTTCTGAGTTCTGCTTTTCTTTCTATCTATGAGGACGCACATTTTGCCTCTCTCTAGGCAAAATGTAGCTGCATGGACCTTTTACCCCTTTACCTCTTTAGAAGATGAGACTTAGTAAGCTAGTCACCTCCAAGACTTTTTCTATCAAGAATGTATTTCTTTTACCTCGATCAATACTTTTGAACCTAAAGTTCTGACTCTGCAATCCTGTGCCGTCCTAAAGAACAGAAGCTTATCCCAGCTCATCACATGTAAGTTTCCACTGGTTATGAAGTTTACTTCTGGTACATTGCAATATTTATGGTGGAATCACCCCCAATTGAGGGTTATTTTGAGCCTAATAGCTCAGATTCCCCAAAAGGAGAAAAAGCACTGGAAGAGCAAACCGGACTCCACAAGGCGATTCCTTTGGGCTTTGGCTCCCCTTCTGGACCTGTATTTCAAGCTATTGGTTCCAAGGTGACTTTTCTCATTGCCCTTTTCACAGGTTGCACTTAGGCTCCAAGAGGTTGCCTTGGATGAGCCGCCTTGAGCAATTGGCTCCTTGGGGTCGCTGCTGCTGGGTTTTGAGGTCAGCGTGTGGCATCCTAAGCAGGTGGTTAGTGGTTTGCTCTTCTCCACACTCACATGTCATGGATTCAACTTTGTAGCCCCATTTCTGAAGGTTGGCTCTGCATCTTGTGGTGCCTGTTCAGCGCCTTCCAAGTCGCCCAGTCTTCTGTGTGCCCAGGGGGGAGTCTCTCATCTGGTATCACTCACAGATTGAGGTGCTGGGTTTGAGCCTGCCACTTTTGAACTCTCGCTTGCTGAGGTGTTCCACCGAGTGTCTCTGTAGATCTAAGAAAACTATTTCTTGATTTAAGTCGTTGACGTGCTGGCTGATACCCAAACAAGGGATGAGCTGGAGATGTCTCTGCCTTGGTCCTTTCACTATTGGCTGCAACTTCCCGGCGGATGTCAAGTGGTGCAATACTGGCTAAGCAGTGTAATTTCTCCAGTGGTGTAGGGCGCAGACACCCCGTGATAATGCGGCATGTCTCATTAAGTGCCACATCTACTGTTTTAGTGTGGTGAGATGTGTTCCACACTGGGCATGCGTACTCAGCAGCAGAGTAGCATAGCGCAAGGGCAGATGTCTTCACTGTGTCTGGTTGTGATCCCCAGATTGTGCCAGTCAGCTTTCGTATGATATTGTTTCTAGCACCCACTTTTTGCTTGATGTTCAGGCAGTGCTTCTTGTAGTCCAGAGTGACTCCCAGGTATTTGGGTGCGCTGCAATGCTCCAGTGGGATTCCTTCCCAGGTAATCCTCAGAGCTCGGGATGCTTGTCTGTTCTTAAGGTGAAAGGCACATGTCTGTGTTTTAGATGGATTAGAGATCAGTTGGTTTTCCCTGTAATAGGCAGTAAGAGCACCTAGAGCTTCGGAGAGCTTCTGTTCAACCATCTCAAAGCTCCCTGCTTGAGCGGTAATGGCACGATCATCAGCATAGATGAAACTCTCTGTCCCTTCTGGCAGTGGCTGGTCATTTGTGTAGATGTTGAACATGGATGGAGCGAGCACGCTCCCCTGAGGCAGGCCGTTCTTCTGTTTCCGCCACCTGCTTCTCTGGCCCTGGACCTCAACAAAAAAGCTCCTGTTTTGTAGCAGGGTTACAAAAAAGCTCCTGTTTTGTAGCAGGATTACCTTAACAGCTCAGATTCCCCAACAAAATGCATGTCTTCATCTGAGGGGCTCATGCAAAGCTTTCCCAATGGCCATTAATAGCCCTGCAATTAGGTCTCCTCCTTTTTCCCTATGAGAATGGCCTGGCCCCGATGGGAGATGGGTCATCTTGGACCCCTGCACTTCCCTCCATTCCCTCTGTTTCGGGGAAGGCCTAGCGTTGCCCCACTGTGACAGGCGCCCCTTCTTTGCCCCCTTCCCCCCTTTGCTTCTTAACTAAGCTCTCTTTTGCCAGAAGCAGAAGGTATTGCCCCCCTGCTCCGCCAAGGGATGGATCCTTCCCCGGGCCCTTGGTTCTCGGTCCAACAAAAACATCCACTTTTATGTCTTCCCGGCTTTCTGGGATCAATTACCATGGACAACTCAGCCCAGTTTTTAAACAAATCGTCACAGGTTATTTATACTGGTTAATTATGCAAGCATGGGCTTTTGTTTACAGGAAGGAGGACATCTTTTTTGACTTTATTTTAAACATGTTATTTATTCTTCTTCCAAAGCAAGTGCTCTGGCATTCCTGAACATCGTCAGCCTTGGCTTCTCAGAGGCGGGGAGCTGTTTTCCCGAAAAGAGGGGCGAAATACACACAGGGCTTTTGTGAAGCTGCCACTCTCTTGGGAGGATCCAAGAGCTCTGTAGTCAGCGGTCAAAACCGGTCAATGTGGGGATGCTTCTTGTTCAAGTTCACTGAGGACCCTAAGGCTTGACCCTAACCCGAAACCTTTCAAGCAGCAAAACTGCCAAGGTTTATTTATTAGCCATATTTATACCCTGCCTTTCTCTACCCCAGCAGGAGGACTCAAGGCAGCTTAAAATGGCACATACACAATGCTTCAAAACAACAAATTCACCTTAAAATAGTTTAAAATTACGACATATTTAAAATGGTTAAAATACATTCAAAGTTAAAAACACACCACCCAGAGTTGAAGGTCTAAGGCCATTCCAAGGTCAAATTGCACATACAGTGTTCCCTCGCTACTTCGCAGTTCGCTTTTCGCAGACTCGCTGTTTCGCAGGTTTTTGCCTCCCAGTTTATGAATGGTTGCCGTTGCCCAGAGTGGGATTCAAATCCCACCTCCCGGCAACAATGGAGTGTGGAAAGGGGTTTCACCCTCCCTCTCAGGAGAGAGGTAGCCAATCAAGAGAGATTGCAAAGCAAAGCAGAGATATCTAGAAAAAAATAGTGCATGGTGTCTTTAAATCTTGCCTCTCTTCTGCCTCACCCTCAGAACACGATATACGTATATAGCATCCCTACTTAAGGGAATTTCACTTTTTGCGGGTGATCCTGGAGCGTAACACCCATGATAAGTGAGGGAACACTGTAATTCTATATTTGGCATACTGCATTGCCCTAATTTTCAAAAACCTGCTTACAGAGCCAGGTTTTGACTCTCTTCCTTAAGGCTAGTAGGGAGGGGGCTGATCTGATGTTGCTAGGGAGGGAGTTCCACAGGCAACACCACTGAGAAGGCCCTGTCTCTCGTCCCCACCAGCCATACTTTTGAGGCAGGCGGGACCAAGAGCAGGGCCTCCCCAGATGATCTTAGTCTCCGAGCTGGTTCATAGGGAAGATATGTTCGGACAGGTAGCCTGAGCCACAACTGTTTAGGGCTTCATAGGCTAAAGACGGCTCTTTGAATTGTGCTTGGTAGCAGACTGGCAGCCAGTGGAGTTGACACAACAGGGGTGTTGAATGCTCCCTGAGCACCGCTCCAGTGAGCAACCAGGCTGCCACTCGCTGGACCAGTTGGAGCTTCCTAACAGTCTTCAAAGGCCACCCCATAAAGAGTGCGTTGCAGTAATCTATATGGGATGTAACCAGAGTGTGGACCACCGTGGCCAAGTCAGACTTCCCAAGGTACAGGCGCAGTTGACATGCAAGTTTTAATTGTGCAAAAGCTCCCCTGGCCACCACCGAAACCTGAGGTTCCAGGCTCAGCGATTAGTCCAAGATCTCTCCCAAACCCTGGGTTTAGGCCCTTTGATAGGCAGCGCCTCTGGATCTCATACACGTGCCTGTGTTTCTCTCCTTCTCCCATTCCATACACACCTTTCTTTCCCCTTCCCCAAACTTTTGTATTTCAAAGATCACTCTCCAGCTCAGGGATTCCCTAAGTAAGTAGCCTTGAAGGATCCTCATTGCCCAAAGCCATGCTCTCCATGAACACCAAACAACGTGGCAGGACGCATTTCATTTAAGGACATTTGAGAACAAAGCAAGGCTTGAGTCAAGTTCCTGATGGGTTGGAGCTGCCATTGTTTGTGTTTCAAGGAATCCAGGGACTGGTACAAAGCTCTTGAAGCTGCACAGCTGGTGCAGGAAACCTTTCTCTCCCCCGCCCCCCACCCCAAAACCCAGCCATCCCATTACCACCAGCAGGAACCTTTCCTTTAACTCAGGCATGGGCAAACTTTGGCCCTCCAGATGTTTTGGACATCAACTCCCACACCTGGAAGGCCAAAGTTTGCCCGTGCCTATTCTAACCACTGTGAGGTGTAATGGGGGCAGGTTCTTCACAGCCCACAGTCTTCACAGCCAAGCCCCCCTCGCTTGAATGCAAGTCTAGATCCCCCATCATCCCCAGCCCTCAAAAGGTCTAGAAGAGCCACACCAGTGACCACCCAGCTGGTCATCCCATAGGGGCCACATGATACATACTTCGCCTCTGCCGCTTGCCCTTCGGTGACCTGCTGCTGCTACTGTTTTTTGCCAGATCCACCCAGCTAAGGAAGACCACCACGGCACACAGCAGCAGCGGCCCAAGCTGCATAGTCACGTCCCAGCCGCCCGGGGCCCTTGGGGGCAGCGTGGATGGAAGGATCCGGCCCAGGACCCCTTCCTTTCTTCCTCCTAATGCGAAAGGGGCCCGACTAGGGCCAAATGTCTGCATACGAAACCGGGTGAGTGGCCGTCTTCCTCTTGCGCCAATACTGTAGCCGCAGAAGCATTAAGTAGCCGACAGCAGGATTCTGTTTCCAGCCCCATAAGGAATGTGGGAGGTGGCAGGTAAGAGTTTCATCTGTGGGGCAGTTGGATCCACCGTCCTGTTTGCACCGGTAAGCTGTAAATGGACAGAATGGAAGCAGGTTAATTTGAAAGATAGAATAGATTGGCATTTTCTATGCTTCTCTCCTCTTACAAATGTGCAATGCCCAAGTGTGAAGCCCTGAAAAGCACAACATTGTGCATTTCTGTTTGCTCTTGTGAAAGAGATGGCTGTGTGATGACCAAGGCCACAAGTGGTGAGTGGGGTCCCTCCCAGGTTCACAGAAGTGGGACTGTTGCCATTGGCCATGATCCCCGACCACGACGGACAGACAGTGCATTTGGGCCAAACAGATGGAGAGGAGCCTTCGCTGCTCTCGCTCCTGTGGCTCTCCAGGCAGTTGCCAAGGCCGCCAGATTGTGTTGGTGTCAAGCATGTGTTTGCACTTAGAGAGACACTCCACCATTGCATCTGTCTGTGTGCTGTGTGTGCGCACGATTTCAAATAAACAATTAGCTGCTTTGTGTAAATCCCGCTTGGCTTTTGGCTCAGAGAGCTGTTTGATGCACCCCTGAAGTGCAAACACGCCCCTTAAGGGTCTGCATGTCTCTTGCCAAAGAGGGTCTCCTCTCCAGAGAAGGAGTCGAAGGGCTTCTCTGATGGACCCGCAAATGAAGCCCCCTTGTGATCTGCCTGTCCTCTCCTGGCCTGCAAATAAGGGTGTTGGGTTTCATCCCTTGACTGCACAAGTCTTATACCCCGCCTTTCTCTACCCCAGCAGGGGGACTCAAGGTGGCTTACAATGGCACATACACCGTGCCCCAAAACAACAAATTCACCTTAAAATAGTTTAAAATTATGATATTGTGTCATCAAGTTTCCAGACCTCAATGAGTAGCTAGTCTAGAGATAGGATTATGCTGAGGGATTCCTCCCCTCCTACATTCCTATGCATAATTCCCAAAACAGCTTTGTCTTTACTCTTCCTCCTTGCCACTGTCTCCTCCCCTTTGATGATGTAGCATTGGAATTCTGTGAGGGAACTTTTATTTCAAATTTATTTATTTCAAATATTTGTACCCCACCCTTCTCTACCCCCGAAGGGGGACTCAGGGCGGCTTACAGCAGGCAACAATTCAATGCCGTCCATATACACACAGATAAACAGCAATTACAAAATAGATAAAACATTAATATAAATTAAAACCATTTAAAATAGTGCAAATTCAATTAGTTGGCCAAATCTAAATCTGAGTTCTACAATCCACAACTTGGTCCGAAGTCTGTCCATAGTCCATTTACCATAGCATTATCATCATTTATCAACCTACTATCCAAATGCCTGGTCCCATAGCCACATTTTCAACTTTTGTTGTAATCCAGAGCAGGAAACGAGGCCCTAAGATAACTATCCACCACACTTGACTGTGAAAAAACAATCCTTTTTATTGAAGGAAAATGGTTACAAAATAAAGGAAAAATGCAAAGTCAAAAGCCACAGCAAAATCAGCAAACATGAATGTCCATGGACAAGATCAAAACCCAAAGCCACACTATAAAATACTGGAACCTGTTAGCAATCCACTAACCGTACTTGATGTCCTAGAAATCTTTCAAGACGATGGCCAGGGAAACAGGGAGAACTGCCAAGGTCCTCATCAATCTAAAACGATGCCTGAACTGAGAAAGTCTGCCCGGCGGAAGGCACTTAAAGCCGAGGAATTGGTTTCGTGATACGCCTCCCTGCTTTGAAGCCGTTGTTTGTTTTTCTTTTAATCTGGAAGACCTTCGCAAGCTGAGTGATATACTCCTGTCTTGCCAGATCAGGCCCCTTCTATTCTCATTAAGGTCCCCAGGTGCAGAAGGGAGTGGAAGGTCATCACTTCCCTCTGAAACATTCTCATGAACACTAGTACTTTCATTTTCCAAATCTACAGAAGTTTCTTCCTCACTAATTTCAGGAGCATTGACATCAAGAAGTACATTTTCATTAGCATCAGGAAGTACATTTTCATTAGCATCAGTAAATATATTTTCATTAGCATCAGGAGGTACAAACAGAGAATCAGGTTCAATCTCAGGCTGAACCCCAACAACTTTTTCCTGAAGGACAGAAGGGAAGCAGTTGACCTAATTTTGCTGGGGAGTGAGTTTCACAGACAGGGGGCCTCTGCCGAGGAGGCCCTGTCTCTCGTCCCTGCCAAACGCGTTTGCAACAGAGGCAGGATCGAGAGCAGGGCCTCCCTGGAAGATTGTAAGTTTTGAGGTGGGACTTCCTTTTTAAAGGTATTTTTTATTGACCTGGCCTGAGCCCTGTGGACATTTGCCATTTTCCAATCTCTTCTGCTTTTCTTTCTACCTATGAGGATGTACATTTTGCCTCTCTCTAGGCAAAATGTAGCTGCATGGACCTTTTACTCTTTTACCTCTTTACAAGCCCGATCAACATATTTAAAATATAAGACCCTAAAATACAAAATACATAAACAATAGCATAAAACAAAATAATACAACAACATTATAACGGAATATGAAAGCAACCATCAAACCAACAACCAATAAACATGCGATTAATTTCTGGGCATGGGTGGGCAATGGACTAATGCAAATCAATTGTGAGGATAGGACTGATGGATAAAGTGCAAAGTCAAATGGCAACAGTAAGGATAGGGGCAATGTAAAATTGAGCATTATACAGTAGTTTTGGGTACAGAACAGTAGTAAAGTGCAAGGATGAGATTTTGGGCCCTAGCTGGGCTAAGTTATCTGGGGAGTTGTCTAGTCCAAAGGACAGTGGAACATTCATGTCTTTGGACCTGAAGCTGCTTCAGGAACACAAGGAGCTCCTATTTGAGGGACCTCATCTCTAATTTAATGGCTAGGGCTCAATGTTATGAGATTCTGGGATTTGTAGTTTAGTGAGGCATTGTCAAATTACAGCCCCCATGACTCCAAGGCAGTTAAAGTGGATTCACTCTACAGTATAGTTGCACTTCAAGGTTAACTTCCCATTGCTGGAAGCTTTGGTGCTCTAACACTTTTGTTTTTAAAGAAGGAATTCTAATCTGGCTTTAGCACAGCAGGTTAATCACCAGCTGCAGTAAATCTTGCCAACCAAAAGATTGACAATTCGAAGTGGATCAGGGTGAGCTCCTGACCTTCAGCCCAGCTTTCCCGCCCATTTAGCAGATCGAAAACAACAGTGTGAGTAGATGAATAGGAACCGTATTACGCAGGGAGGCATTGTAGGCACGGCGTTTCGGAGGGAAGTTTACACACAAAGAAAGCTCTTCGGCAAGGAGATGGAGCGACAGCACACCCCTGTGGCCAGAACCGAGCACAGCCTCCAAAAGGTGCCGAATTATGAGAAAAAGCCTAAATATGCCTCTATTTCTTGTCTATCTTGTCATTGTAAAATCGGAATTGAATGTTTGCCATATATGAGTTCTGTGATTTGCCCTTCAGGGTGAGAAGGGTGGACTATATAAATGTGAAATATAATCTATCGTGAGGAATTGAACACAACGACATAGTTTTATAATTTTTATTATTTTTATTGCTTTTGTGGCTTTTAAATGTATTATTATGTAATTTTTTGCTTTTATCCGATGTATGTATTTATATATAGCATCTAATTATTGCTGATTTGTATGCTGCCCTGAGTTGCCTTCGGGCTGAAATGGGTGGGATAAAAATGATGTAAATAAAATAAATAATATAATATAAAATAAGTACTGTAAATAAAATAAATAATAAATAAGCATGCCAAAAACTGTACTACACACGTTTTTTGGCCAAATTACAAAGAGTGCACTTTTTGTAGTTGTGCATGACATTAGGCAGCGAATAATTTTTGGTTTCAGGGTTTTGAACATGGAGGTGCACATTACATTCGATGGCACATCAGATTCAAGTCAATACCATAGGCCTTCAGGCAACTACATCACATACACATATACAGAGCCAAGGCCAGTCAATGAGAAGGCCATTGACTGCCTCTCCCTGCCTGCCCCTCCACTATTTCTTGAAGCCACCCCAACACCAACCTTGGGGACAATACATTACAAAAGGAGATTTTGCTGGTTGCAGTCAGCTTTCTGGAATCCTTTAAAGTCTTTGGCCTCATGTGTGAAGCGATGGATTATACATTGTTGCTTACAAACGATCTTAATCTTCTCTCCTGTGAATCTTAGGCTGGCCAAGAGCTTCTGTTGTCCTTTGGACTGCTGGTATAAAATACTGCTAAATGCGGCAGCTGCTAAGAATGCCAGTTTGAATTGCTTGGACCTAGGATGAGGTCATGAAGAGTTGGAAGCGACTGAATGAATGAACAACAACAGGATTACCAGACAATCCCAAGCCTAAGTCACAGTAGAAAGAGGAGGAGTCCAGCAAGATGGGCCAAAACTAACAAAATGAAGTTCAACAGTGACAAATGCAAGATACTCCACTTTGGCAGGAAAAACAAAATGCAAACATACAGAATGGGGGACAATGCCTGGCTCGAGAGCAGTACGTGTGAAAAAGATCTTGGAGTCCTCGTGGACAACAAGTTAAACATGAGCCAACAATGTGAAGTGGCAGCAAAAAAAGCCAATGGGATTTTGGCCTGCATCAATAGGAGCATAGTGTCTAGATCTAGGGAAGTCATGCTACCCATGCTCTATTCTGCTTTGGTTAGACCACACCTGGAATATTGTGTCCAATTCTGGGCACCACAATTCAAGAGAGATATTGACAAGCTGGAATGTGTCCAGAGGAGGGCGACTAAAATGATCAAGGGTCTGGAGAACAAGCCCTATGAGGAGCGGCTTAAGGAGCTGGGCATGTTTAGCCTGAAGAAGAGAAGGCTGAGAGGAGATATGATAGCCATGTATAAATATGTGAGAGGAAGCCACAGGGAGGAGGGAGCAAGCTTGTTTTCTGCTTCCTTGGAGACTAGGACACGGAACAATGGCTTCAAACTACAGGAGAGGAGATTCCATCTGAACACGAGGAAGAACTTCCTGACTGTGAGAGCCGTTCAGCAGTGGAACTCTCTGCCCCGGAGTGTGGTGGAGGCTCCTTCTTTGGAA